ATCTATTAACTCTTTTCGATTCGGCCTCTTTTCGCAGCTATGACTTCACGGAGACGCTTCGGGTAGGATGCGACTGTGGTACGCAGGTATTCGATGGAAAGATTGTCCCATTCCGCCAGTAATGTCTTCTTCAGAGCCTCTACACTTGAATGGGGTTTTGCGTTGACCTTCTCCTGCAAGACCCCATCACGGGAAAGTCAAGCGGGTTCAGGTCTGGGGAGCAATCAGGCCATTCGGATGACTTGATGAAGTCGGGAAAATGGGTCTGGCACCACTCCTGAGTAGTTTTGGCAGTGTGGGCGGCTGCTCCGTCATGTTGAAAGACCCATTTCTGCCCACCGAAATGCGTTTGGGTCCAGGGCATCACATGCTTCTCCAAAATGTCCCGAACGTAGACTTCTTTGTTCACTTTCACCCCCTGATCCGCGAAAACCAGGGGGCACTTCCCGGTTGAGCAGATGGCAACGAAAACCATCATGCTGGCAGGATGTGAGGCTGGATGATATGTTCTTCTTTTCTCAGAAGCTTGCTGGGATGTCTGGGCAAGTACTCAATGGTTTTGTGAGTTGAATGCCGTCTCCACAGTGAACAGCTTCTCGTCGGAAAAGACAGTGACGAGGTGTTGTCCAGACCGCGTGCGAGCAAGAAGTCGTTTTGCTTTTTCGAAGCGTCTCTGCTTGCTGACGGCCGATAGAATTGCCGCTTTTTGGACACGATATGGGGTCAGTCCAAGCTTCGTTTTGACAATTTGTTCCATAGCGAAGATGCTCATTCCCATGTCTAACGCTATCTTTCTCATGCTCCTGTGGGGGTTTCGCCTGATCCTCGATTTGACGGCGTTGATCTTCTGAGGAGTGGTTACTGAGACGAGTCTTCCTTGTCTGGGACGGTGACTGGTCGTATTTAGCTCCTTGAAACGTTTGATGGTGTCGCAAACCGTTCTACGAGGCACACCGACCCGTTGAATGATGTCTCTCGAGCTCACATTTTGCTTATGAAGTTCGATAATGGAAGCGCAATGGATGTTAGCCTTCGCCATTTCTCGGAAACACATCCGAATGAGGTGAAACTTGGAAAGTAAGTAAAATATACCTTATTTAACAAAAATAAATTGTATTGGTGCACGAAAAGTGCGACAGCCAAGCTCTTCATGGCGTCAAACTTTTGTGCGGGAACTTAAATGACACCCTGTAGTTCACTTTGGGATAACGAATGGATGCCAAGAAGTCGATGTTACAGAATCACGGAATTTGCTATGTACAAAGAGCGCAGATCACGAAAAATGCGCATGGAACATCAAGGAGAACATTGCATTTAACTCGTGGACACGTGAAGCATGTTTGCGAGTAACAAAAAATGCAATAACATTGAGAGAATTGAAGATCGAATTCATAGAATCGCGAATGAAATGCATAAAAAATACCATCGCGTTTTCTAGAGAAACAGAACAAAAAGTATTAAGTGTGAAAAGATGCCCTAGAATGGGATCGTGTACGGAAAACAAATGCGCCAACATCACAGAAAATTCGAAAGTGACAGAACTGGACGAAGTCAATCGATTTCCAGGGACGACGGGTTGCAGTGAATCATGTGGTGGATGGGGGTGTGATTGTTTTTACACCAGCTCAGGATGCATTCTATACAGAATATACGCAGTACCGATCAACGAAGAAATCATGGAATTGTACAGATGCGATTGGAAGCATGAAATTGTGTTCAAAATCACGGAAACTCGGTTGCGGAGCTTCAAAAATGTCAAGAAACAATGGAATGTGACACTTGAAACAGGCAACACACTGGAAAAAATGTCCCTTCATCTACAAGAAGTGAGCCTTCCAACATCATCGATCAACAGCGAATGGTTTATGAAAGGAAACCAATCGACAAGTTTATGGACGAACGGGAAATTCCCAGAGCTAAGATGCAAATCACTGAAAGAAGCAGAATTGTTAAACTGTGAATTCGAAGAAAATTGTAAATGTGTACCAGCTGAAACACAAATGAATTGCAAATGCAAGAACTCATGGGAGGAATACCATGACATTCACAGAAAATTACCACTGCAACGGAACTTGTGGAAATTGGAGACTGACGATGAAGGACTGCAATTATGAAATCGACAGAAATAAACAATGCTGAACTTGTGTTGAAAATCGAAGACGATTCTCAATTGATGATTGTCAAAAACAGCGATGAGTGCAGAATTTCAAACGTCGAACTGACGGGTTGCTACAATTGTGCCAAAGGAGCAACAATTTCCTTAAAATGCCATTCACTAAAGGAACAATTGACTGGAGATGTGGAGTGTGGAAATCACAGGGCCGCAGTAAAATGCTCGCCGGCAGGCGAAGGAAATACGGCGAACATGTTTTTTGACAAAGCAAGGATTACAGAAAAATGCACGATCGACTGTGGCGGAAAAAGACCATAAATCAATTCAACTTGGAAGGAATCCTACGTTTTGAGGCCGACGTTTGGAGTTCAATGAGCCGCATACTGAACGGAGAAACAAAAATCTATGATGAATGGAAATTACCAGATTTTTGGTTCCTTTTGGAAACATACTTCCAATACATGGAATACGTTTTCATCGCAATAGCTACGGTTATAGTCATTATATTCTGCAGCTACTTGTTTTTGTGCAACTTGTTCAAATCTCTTCTTTGGAAACTTATCAGCCTTCCTTTCAAAATTTGTCGCAAATGCAAGCCCACACTGCGCAAAGACCACACTGCGTAAGTTTTTTTTTTAACTTTCTTGAGTGAATTGATGTGTATGCTTAACAATAATAATGCTTTTGTGTAAAAAAAAAAAATCTATCTTTTACTAATTTTAACTTAAACATCGTGAATAGTGGCGCAAATTTTGATGAAGTTTTTTTTTCTGAAGCCGGGAGGCCATTACGAAATTGGTTGAAGAATAATAGTTGTTACTTATCGCTCTTACATATACAATGTTAGATTTTAATTTTGAACATTGCCAATTCTGTTATCTTCTTGTTTCTAAATTTTAATTGTGTTTTGAAACTCAAGTGTATTAGTCACTTAAGCGTAGGCCCGGGGAGCCGTTGTGAAGTCGAAAACATTGGTGCATCGACAATTCGAACTTGGACGCAAACGTGTGCAGCAGAGAAGCCACTCAGCTGTTAAGTGGAACGTTTGAAGTCGACGACATTGGTGTGAAGTCGAAGACATTGGTGGGACGTCGAAGACATTGGTGTGAAGTCGAAGACATTGGTGTGACGTCGAAGACATTGTTGTGAAGTCGAAGGCATCGGTGGTTCAGTGGTAGAATGCTCGCCTGCCACGCGGGCGGCCCGGGTTCGTTTCCCGGTCGATGCACCAATGTTTTGACACCTCAAACTTGGGTAATTAAACCTTTTATTTAATAAACGAGGCAAGAATAAAATATAAGTAGGTTATAAAACTAACAAAAATACAAATAGAAAAAGCAATAATTCATAGCGAGCCACAATGTTAATAATGATTGATCATCGTTGTAACAATCACAAATATTGCATCAATGGGCGTGTCTGAACAGTGCTAACGAGCACAGGGTCCCCCCCTCGCGTTGTAGATTAATCATGACATGTTGCGGTGACACGAATCGTGCACTTTGAAATGTTGAAACTTCTGCAAAATTGCAGCATTGTGTCGCGACGATTTGGAGTACAGTTTTTTCTCACTCTTCAATTTGCTCATCAATTCTGGAACACGTGTAATTTCTGGAAATTGGCTTAGTCTGAAAAAAATCGTATTTTAGGCTTTCAATTTTATGGTTCCCAAAAAAAAAACAATAGCTTAAAATGAGAGAATTTGATAAATTCCGGATTCTACGTAGAAAATAATAGCACTTTGAGAGAAAAAAAATGAATCGGTCGCCACGAGACCCAGCGTATTTTTCGAGCCATTAAATTAATACTGTCGGTTTCAAACGAATTGCGTGCATTGCATTTACTATTCAGCCACTGTGGGTTTTCTTCGAAAATTTAAAAATTTGAATTTCCCGCCAGCCATTCGAATGCAGCGATTTAACGCTCTTTCATAATATTTGGAGTGATTTCGTTGTAAAAAAAAGAGGCATCAATTTTAAAAATCATGAATTCGCCAAAAAAACACAGGAAAATTATTTTTAATATTATTAATATTTGATTAAATAATTTTCAGTTGAGATTACTGTAGCTAAGATCGAGATATGCAACTCGGTGTACGCACACGGTGCATTGGATATCGCTGCAGTTTTTCACATTCGTCATTTTTCCGCAATAATTTTATTTAATACGCCACGAATTAACACAGTTTCAATTGTAATTTGAATTACCGCCTCGCAAAAAAATGCGATGGTCCACATGTTCTTAATTATCTGCGATGCTAATAAAATTTTTTTCATTTTAAAAATTCTCTGGTAAATAAAAATCAATAAGATTCAAAAATAATTTCGTTTTCAATCGAAATCAAATATTAATCACATTTGTTTCGAATTATTCCAAAATTTCAATCAATTTCGAAGATTTTTGAATCGAAATCCAAATTTCAAATCGAATTTAAACACGTCATCAATCGAATCCGGTTAATTTATATTACTTCGAATTCGATTTTCGTTTTTATTTACCTGAGAAATTGTGACAACACCATCACGCAAATTTGCAGACTGTGCAAAATTGAATAAAATCTCTCAAACTTGTTGTTTTCGGCAATTATTTGCAAAACGCCGCCCTCTCGTGATAAAACTTCGAGTTTCGATTATCAAACGTTTAGTTTCAACGTTGTGTTTTACAAATTTCCAATCAAAAAAAGAAATAAGTAAACATTTTTGTGCATATATTAGAATGCTTCGCAAAATTTCATCGTTCTCGCCGCTCAATAATCGCGTGAGTCATTATTCAACAAGTATTTTTTTTGCTCTGTGTACTCTTCACCCTCCGTTTGCTTTGTGCTCGTTGATAACAACCCCATAGATTTCCATTACATTGTTTGCCTCATTTCCACCTCACCGACGAAATGTCGACGACATCATCGTCGTCAAGAAGGCACGGCGCCAGGGTTTCGTGCACACCATTCACCATCACCACCAATCAGCTCGCCATGTTTGCAGATAATGGAGCCAACAATGGATCCGGCGGTTTACAACGTCAACGGCTCCGCTGTCATCACCAACATGCTTCTTCTCTACGGCTTCGGTGAGTTGGATGTCACGCGTCGGCGAATATTTTTCATTTTCGCCGAATCATTTCGATGAGCGCGATTGGACAAATTGTGTTCACCGCCGAAAACCTATTCGGCGCCGCGTTTCTCGGTAATTGTTGGCGTCGACAAAATGACTCCGAGTTCGTCTTCCAGCTGCCGTCGCGTTCATCGTGCCGACGATGACAGGCGTCGTTCGACGCGGATTCTTTTGCGACGACGAGTCGATTCGCTACGAGTACCGCGAGAATACCGTCAGCACTGCGATGTTGATCACTTATAATCTGCTGCTAGACTTCATCGTCGTCGCGACCGTCGAGTACTATCGAATATACACGGTTGAGAAAAGTATCAGAGTTTCGCAATACCGATGGCGTCGATGGCACATTAATGTGCTCTTTGTGCGTATTGCCACCTACTATGCTTATTCGCATATTGGATTCGTGATGAATATGGCGTTGAATATGACGACGAAGCATTTCGTCGGAAGACTTCGTCCGCATTTCCTTGACGTCTGCAAACCGGCGAATAATGTCTGCGCTGATATGCATTCTCATACGTAGTTCAATTCTTCATTGATTCCTAAAATGAAAGAACCATCTTCCAGGTACATCACTGATTATGTTTGCACTGGCACGCCGGAGCTCGTACTGGAAGCAAGGAAAAGCTTCTACAGCGGTCATTCGTGCATTTCGTTGTACTGCGCGGTCTGGGCAGCCCTCTATCTTCAAGCGCGACTCGCCACTGTCATCCACAATCGCGTCATCGTTCCATTGCTACAAACCACCATTTTATCAATCGGATTAATTATTAGCTGCTCTAGAATTACTGATAACATGCATCATTGGAGCGATGTGCTTGTTGGTGTGATTGTCGGCATCTTCTTCGCGGTTTACACGGTATGCGAGTTCCGAATTCAACAATTCGACTTTTATGGTTTTTTAGGGTGTCTTTTGGACCGATATGTTCAAGAACAATAGCGTTGAGGATGAAACAACGCCTTTGATTATTCGTGAAGAGCCTTCGACTCTAACTGCACCTTTAATGGAACGAACTCGTGCGGAAGAAACCTCCCGGCCGAATTTAACAGCCACTGTTAACGCATAATAAAATGTCTTAAATAATATTCTTGGGGAACTCTTGATTTATGGAGATCAATGTTTAAAACAAAAAACAAAACGAAATACATGATCAGCGGGGGAGTCCAAGAAATATGGGAGATAGGCGGGACGAAATGAAAATTGAGATGGAATAATAAATTAACAAACCAGAATCAAAATATGAAGAGTTTAAGTTGGAATAGATAGAATTCTGCATTTGATGATGTACAATTAGCGACGTCCGCGTGGTCCACCGCGTCCGCGACCACGACCTCTTCCACGAATTCCACCGCGTCCTCGTCCGCGGCCCGCTGGAATAAATCAAAATTTGAAGATACGTTTGAAAACTGAAATTACCTCCAGCACGAGCACGAGCTGCCTTCTTTCTTGGTTCATCATCAATTAGAAGTGTGTCGAGCGACAATGGATCCGGAAGAATTATATACCGAATATTGTTTCCTGAAAATATTATTTTACAATATCCAAAAATAATGCTTCCCGGTTTCATACCTCTAATCGAGAGAACATCAAGCTTCACCGGTTCTTTGTTTTTCTTTGTCATTGTGACGGCGCGGAGATGAGTGTTCATCGCAACGTCAACTCCCATAATAGTTCCTTAAAAAACGAACATTTTCGTTTATTTTTCCAACGAGCGTTTGATAACTCACCAGCAACCTGTGTTCCATTTTTCAGCTCAATCGTAACCGTCTCGTGTGAGAGTTTCATTAAGAACCTAACCAACTTCATGATTCTCTGAAACATAAAACATTTGAAAATTGTAATTTCAAAATGCAGAAAATAGATAGAAACGCAGAAGTGACGAAACAGTTAGCCAATTATGAATTTCAATAAGTTCGTGAATAAAAATGTATTTAACTTAAATGATCAGTGCAGTAACTTTAAGTCAGAACGTTATTTTTTAAAACTATACATGTTACGGATTATTCAGTCTAAATTTCAAATTTAAATGAAAAACAATTTTTGTTCCAAAAAAACGTCAATGCGACATACAAGAGTTTTATGTCAGAAATTAGTACATCTTGAAAACGAAAAATTTTAATCATAAGGAATAATCAATGCTAAAACCGGCGCATTAACTCAATTGTTGAAAAAAAGCGCAGCAGAAAATTCGAAATCAAATTGGCGCTGTGCCAGGTGTTCTCGCAACGAGCGTGGTGTACGGTAACAAGCGTCTCAACTGTGTCGGACACTTTCTGGCATTCAAACAATCGAGCGCCTCGCTGCGCACTCCATTTTTTGCGTGTTTCTTCGATTTTCGCACATCTCCATTTTGTTTCGAATTTATAAACCCTTTGAGAAACTCTGCTTCTTTCATTCTGTAGCATTGCATAATTCACTATTAGATAAGTCCGCTGGCACTTTTCGAATGTTTTCCGTATGAATTTCCCAGTGGGTTTCATCACATCGAAAAAATATTTGTTTTACTACTCAATTACCGGCAAATCGATGAAATTTTTTCAGAGATGGTTCGCATTTATCTCGGAAAACTTCCGTACCATGCGCGTGAGCGCGACATCGAAAAATTTCTGAAAGGATATGGTCGAATCACAAATATCTCGATGAAATACGGATTCGCTTTCGTCGATTTTGAAGATCGCCGGGATGCTGAAGACGCCTGTCATGATCTTCACGGAAAATGTATGGGCGAAAGGTTGGCATTGCTCGTTCAATATTTTTTAATGAGATTCTTTATTTTTCAGCTCAATGAGAATTGTGGTGGAATTGGCAAAAGGAAGACCGCGAGGAAGCGATGCCTACAAAGATAGATCGCCAAGAGATAGACGTCGCCGTTCGCGCAGTCGGTCGAGAGATAGAAGACGATCTCGAAGCCGTTCGCGTGATCGTAAGCATACGCGTAGATCCAGAACCCGCTCGAGGAGCCCATCGCGTTCCAGAAGACGTAGTCCGTCGCGAAGCCCGAGCCCTGATGATAGGTAAAATTTGAAATAGTTTGTTTTTATTTCGTTTTCCTAACGCAGTTTCGCGGACCCTATATCGTTTTAGAACGAAATGTTCAAGTCCAAAGCTCATTTGTCACCAACAAGTACTGCGAGACCATCGCCAACAGCATATGCTCATGAGCGCCATGTGCATCACTTAGTCGTTGTTTCTTCAAGTCAAATCAATCAGTCACACAAGCTCAAAGCAGTCCCACACCACCGTTCCCATTCCCCAACATTTCGCCGGGTAATTGTAAATTATTGTTTGTTTCCGGCGACGCAACTAAATCAAACATCAACAACAACCATTTAAATTATATTCAAAACATTTGAGGAAGCTTCGTGTTTTTTTCAGAAGAGAACCAAGTCGCTCCAGAAGTCGATCGAGATCGCCGACGCCTGCCCGTGACCGATCGGAAGAGAGATCGCGCAGCCCAACACCGGAAAAGGTGAGAAATTTTACGCTTCATTATTTCTTTTCTAATCAATTCATTTTCAGAATGGTAGAAGCGATCACAGCAGAAGCCGTAGTCGTAGCGGCAGCCGTGGAAGAAGAAGCCCATCGGGATCACGCTCACCATCGCCACGCTAATCAAAATATGAAAAACATCGATACATTCCGCTCTAGAGAAATCTGTTAATTTTTCTTGTTAATCTCGATTTTAAATTTTATCAATTTTTCTTTACAAATTTCTTTTTTTTTTTTCAACCTGGTTTTAATTTATTATTGTTCTCTGAGTTTTTTGTCCGTTTAATAATTGTTAATATTTCGCAAATTTCAAATTTTGTCAGCAATAAAATTGAAAGTGGCGTTGGAAAACTGGCAGAAGAAGGAACGTTCGCGATGCGATCCCAAAAAAACATTTGAAATTTCGCGGGCAAAACTGCAGCCAATCAGCGTGCAGCTGGCGCCGAGCCAAGAGAGCGACGCGCGTCGCGTCCCTTCAATGGGCGTGGTCTCGGCACGACGACGCTCCACGCCCCTTTCGAAACTCTGCCTTGCCTCATTCTTGGTTTTGCTGGGCCGCGGAGGAGGTCGCTGCTGTCGTCCTCGTCCTCTGCGTGTCTGCTGGCACAGCCTTGAGGTTGCTGCTGCTTGCTGGTGCGAGGACGACGAGCGTACCCTTTCGAGCATCGAGCGTGTTGCCTGCGAATATGCAAAATAAAATTTTCGAAAAACATTATCTCTATTATAAATTGTGAGAAATGATTTTTAAACGTACATTCTCACATTGCCGCTTCCAATTTGAGGGGAATAATTCGAAAATAGGGGAAAAATTAATAATTAATGCATTTTGGCCTAAAATTTGCATTTTCTCACATTCGCTTCAATTTTCACTGCATGTCTCGCTTTCATTGCTTTATTGTAGCTTGTAAGTTTCCAGAAAGTCCACAAATTCATCATCATGTCCGAGGTCGCTCAAGATACCGTCGCCGTCGAGCAGGAGAAGGTCGCCGCTCAGTCCGAGGAAAAGGAAGTCGAGCTCGTTGAGAAGAGCGATGCCGCTGCTGCCGATGAGCCGTATGTTTTTCTTACTTCTTCATTCTTTTTGGATTTTGTTCTCCTATTGCTAGTTATTTTTTGGGTCAGCGTTGTGTTTTTGTTTAGAGGTCAAGCCGTGCGGGCGAGGGAACGAGCGCGCGCGCGCCGGCCACCCCGGTCGTGTGGGAGAGGGGAAGGGGGGACGACGCTCGTTTTCCCCTTGTGTTCGCCACCCGGCCCGACCGGCCATAAACGTTTTTGACGCGTCTTGACAGCGGCGCGATTGTGTCAACATCGTAACGTACCATACGAAACGCGATAATTGTTACAGAGCCGAGAAGAACGGCGATGAGAAGGCCGATGACGAAGAGGATGAGGCCGCTGACGACGACGATGATGAGAAGAAGAACGGCGTCGACGCCGAGAAGGCCGCCGAGGCTCCAGCTGCGCAGAACGGCGAGGCCAAGGACACCAACGGAAATGTTTGCGAAAACTTGATGAGGGGATTTTTTTCAAAAAATCAAAATTGCAGGACCGCAAGCGGGTTTCCAGCGCTGGCGATGCCGCTGTCAATGAGGAGGACGAGGAGGCTACTACGAAGAAGGCCAAGGTCGATGAGGCCGCCGCCGCTGACGATGCTGCCGGAGACGCTCCGGTTGCCGCCGCTTCCGAATAATCTGTTGAATAATATTAATAATCCACATACAATAATAACACAAACACTTTTTTCATAATATTCTGTCAATCCCATTTCCTTTCGTTTCTCTCCCATCACGAAGAATCTCATCATCAAAGCTATCTGCTGTGTGTTTTTGCGCCAACAAAAAAGCACCCCCAGTTACGGTCTTCAATTGGTTTTAAGCGTTTCGGCAGCTGATGCCCTGTTCTATCGTTCTTTTATTTTTTTCCCAATGGTTTAACCTCTATTGTTTTATCTTCCCCACCAAAAACCCAATGAACCGATGGATATTCTTATTTATTAATTTATTATCTTTAAATAATAATTATTGTAATGGAGTTGAAGCGGTGCATATAAGGGAATTGTTATTGTTATTATCAATTGGAAAGCTAGGCAGTGGTCAGTTTGCTCTCGCCGGCCTCATCGACGATGACCTGAAATTTGGGCGGCGGTGCGAGCGGTTCGACCTTCTCTTGAATGGCGCCTCCTTCAGCAGCGGCGGCGGCGAGAAGCACTAGAAGAAATGATGAGACGCTAGGCGACTATTTTGACGGCGAGCTTACATTGTTGCGGGAAGAAGACGGACGCGGCGATGAGAAGCATCAAGAGGAGCAGAGCGACAGAGATGGTCGTCGACAGATTGATGAAGAGAACGCCGCACGTGGTGATCGCCGCGGCGCTCGGCATCTGAATTGTCAGCGAGCCGGCGAACGCGGTGAACACGCTCAGCCAGAAGTCATTGATCACCTGAACAAGGTTTTTCGTTTTTTTTCTTGAATTGCCTAGAGAAGGTTGTGAGACTTGATAATAAAGGCATAAGGCGATAAGAATGGTCCAAAGCACATAGAGGGCGAGGACGAGCTGGAAGAGCAAAAATCGTTTGGCGCGAGTCAGCGATGGCCACTGAAAATGATGTTTCCATTCGATTCACACATGGCGTTGGCTTCATTACTTTCAATACTGGCGCGATTAGGCGATACACGACGGTGGTGAGCGTCAAATAGAACAACGGCACGCCGATGAGACAATAGAAGACGGCGAAGACGCGCGACGCCGTCGTCGACGGCTCTTTGAAGCCGGCGCCGACGGTCAACACCAGCGAGTAGGCGAAATTGAAGCAGCTCGGCCACGTCCACGTGCGTCGCGACGGCGGTATCACGTCGAGTTTGTCCTCGTATCGTTTTAGTGATTCGACGAGTAATTGCTGAAAAAAAATCAGTCGCCTGCTGGAAATTTTCGTCGCACACGGCGGCGGCGACATCGCCTATTCAAATGAGAGCGCCAGAGAGTGCGAGTCGGGCCAGAGACGCAGAGGGCCGAATTGAACAAGCGCGCTCGGCGGCGGCGTCGCACTTTAATCGAATATCTGTTTATCACATTCAAGACGGTTGCGATGGGCAACCGCGGTGGGCCGCGCGGCCTGCCACTGCTGCTCAATCTCCTTATATGGATGGGGGAGGAGGAGCAGGTGTGTGAGGGGACGGCGCGCACCCTCTCTAATCCAGCGCACTTTGTTTTCCGCCTACCCAATTATATGCGCGGAAAATGACATTTGGGGTAAATATAGGTTTCGATTCGCAAAAGGGTGGGGAGGGGGAGGGGTCGAGATTTCGCGAGACCCCCCCCCCCAAAATCAAAATCGACACATTCGTCTCCGGATCAGGAACGGCTCCGATTCAAGGAATAAAATTGTTTGAAATTTTTTTTCTTGTTTGCGCAGGTGCGGCCGCGCAATTATTACGACGAGAATTCGATTTGATCGAGTCGCTTTTGAATTACGCATATCAAGAAGTCGTCATTTTTTCCCTCGAAAAGAAAAAAAACGGCGATATGAGTTCGATAAACTTCATAAGCGCATATTCCCCAAAGGACCATGATATTCGGGCCCAAACAACAACAGCAACAAAAAAGGAGAAGAAGAAGAAGAAGAACGAATCATGCTTCTTCTAATTCGTCCCCATTTTATTGTGGCGGCGAGGATTTCCGTTTCGCCGCGCGCGACGTCGGCACACCAAATCAGGCAACAATCGAATTTTTGGACGGATTTAACGAGCGTCGCGAATGCGGCCCATCGAAAATCGGCCGTCGCTAATTCGATTCAACGATTTAATTGCTAATTGATTGATTACCTGCACACGTTCGGTTTGCTCGCGATCGATGATGATGAGCAAATTGCGGGTGTCGTTGAAGATTCGCGAGCTGATCGATTTGGCGAATTGGCGTCTGAAGGCATGAGAGTCTCATGAATCTCCCGAGAGAGTTGTTGGTGGCAAAAAGTTGCGATAGGTGGACTCGGCCACCCATTCCAAACCCACCAATCTCAAACACCATCGGAATCCGCCTCATTTGCATATAAATGACATCGACACACTCACCGTTCGACCGCCAAATTCATATACCATTTGCGGACCTTCATCTCGTGACCGTCTTTCTCGAACAAATAGAAGCTTGTGGCGCCGACGAGCACGAATGTCGCGGTGAGGACGATGAGAAGAATTGGCGACCAGCGGACGAAGCACGCCGATCGCGTGATTCGCGCCATTCGCGACGCCGACGATTTGAGGCGTTCGAGCATTTCCTGGAAAAACAATGAAATAAGATGGCTCGCACTCTCTTATATGAATCGGCTTCAGCGTCGAAAATGGTCCCTTGAAGGCAATACGAGTGTTTTTTTTTCACAAAAGAAACTGACGCCGACGACATGCATTGAGGGAAATGGTCCCCTTGGCGTGATAACAACATCATCTAGATAACCTGATGAATGGTCTCGATGCGTCGCGAGATGGCGTGAAATGGCACCAACAAATTGGGCGGCGGCGATGGCGGCGGAGTTGGCGACATGGCGCTTTTTTATTTGAGGCGATGGAGGAGGAGGAGGAGAAGAAGGCGAAGAAGCTCCTTTGTAAATCGGGAAGAGCGCCGGAAGCTTCTTCTTGATTGCACCACACACACACACACACACACCCGAAATCAGTGACCAACTAACAGAGGACGAAAAAAAAAGAAAAGAAAAAGGAAAACTGCGAAAAAGCCGAAGCGCAAATTTGATGATACATCTCCGCACCACGGCTATCTATCTCAGTCAACACCAAACCGACCCACCCCGAAAACGCCAAATATGGGCGTGGTTGGTTGCGTTTGTGAGCACAACACCAAATCTGATAAATGCCCTTTGCTTTAAACGAGACGGCCCACAACATGAAGAAGAAGAAGAAGAAGGAGAAGCTCGAGACGAATTGGCAACATCGCCGAGTTTTGTTGTTGTTGTTGAAGTTCGCCGTAGAATTTGAGCGATTGATATCGCCATATACGGATGCGGCCGAGCTGTTCGTACTCCCGCCTGTAACCATCTAGTTGATTGCGAGCAATACATGGTCATGGTGTCTGTACTCCCGCGTGTAACCCCATTGCGCTAATGTCTATTGGCCCAGATATGGTCTCGAGACGACAAGACGCTGTACTCCACACTCTATTCTTTCTTTTTCACGAAGGGCTCTTATTGAGGCCTACCTGTACTCCCGCATGTAACCCTTTTCATCTCCCTCCTAGATAAATGCCAACTGCTCAAACTTCTGAGCGCCGTATTAGAAAAAAAAAAGACGATTCTGAGCACTTACGTGTCATCATTGAACGTCCTACACACACAATAGGAGATCGCCGAATCGGCAATCGACGGCAGGCATCCGTCAGCGATTCGTCGACGTCGCCGCGCCGATGACGTCGTCGCGTCAAGTTGCGCGCCAACAAGCGACGACATTTGCGACATATCGGCGCAATAATCGCCGCGACTCCTCTCTGAACAATCAAATTTTGATTCAATTCGGCTGCCCCCCCCCCCCTCGACGACGTCAATCCGTCATTCGAACCATTCTCGCGATTCACTATCGAATAGCAGAATGGAAGCGGTCGGCATCGTTGAACATCGCAATGATTGCATCGAATCCGAACAATCGCCGCCGGCAGTGAGATGTTCACCTGAAATTTGATGGCCATCATAATCCAACTACCTCAACCAACTCACATAGTGAAATGTCGGGTCTTGAGGTGAAATTGTCAGATTGCGATTGCTCAAATCGGCATCGACAAGACGACTCAACAGCAAGACGGCGGCGAGCATCGTGTGTCGCCAAGCAAACCAAAAAGAATAGAAAGACGAAAGCTATAGTGGCGGTGGGATGACGAAGAAAAAAAAAACACGAAAATGAGGCAAAATTTCCCAAGAGGGTCACCATTTATTGGGTTGGTCGGGCGGAATGAGACGGGAGGGAGGCGTCACAGAAAAAAAATACAAACGAAACATTGAAACCGATACAAAAAACACACACACACTCATAAAAGAAACGATGATGCGAAAATGCTCTCATTCCAGCACCACTAGCTCATTCGGCTGTCCAAATGCGTATTCCGATTCGATCGAGTTCAGCGTGTCGATGGCGCGTCCTAGAATGTTTGAACGTTCGATGATTGAATCGTGAGACGACCCACCTTCACCAACTGTCAGCGGTTTTCCCTTCTTCATGTTCACTAGGCGATTATTGAAAGTGGTCGGAACTCTGAAGAACTCGGATTTCGTCGTCAAGTAGCCGTCAAACCGGGATCACCTTGTCGCCAGACGATTCACCTGCGGATTCAAACCCCATCCGCTGCACATTCGATCCATGATGGCGTCGCGCGTGTTCTGCTTCAACTGCTTCAGCACACCTTCGCGCTCGAGTCGTTCGGCGAGCTCGCGACAACTCGACTCGGCGCGCTGCACGTTGACGCGCATCAAGTTGGCGAGCTCGAACTTCTCAGCGAAAACCAATTGCGACATGTACTCATTGGCGGTAATCGGCGGCTCGAGTTCAAGCTCAAGATTCTCCTTAAGCACATTCCATTCGTGATCATAGCAGAAGACGATGCAGGCGCGAATCATCGTTGGATCCGGGAGGTCGCCCATCGGCAGCATGTAGCTGAGAAGCTCCAGAAGGACCTAGAAATGACGCTTGATGATGAGGGCGATTCGGCGGTCTCACCTTGCCGGGCAGCAAGTTCTCACGAGCGCATTCCCGCTGGAACTCCGGTGTATATCTGGCGATGAGCTCGCCGTTCTGTCCAACGCTGAACATGTGTTTGCCGTGCGCTTCCAGCAGTCCCGAATTCACATAGAATTTGGTGCCGCGAAACAGCACGACGCTTTTCGTCTCATCGCCCGGCTCGAGCTCAAGAAATCCGGTCGGCGACGGCGTCGGATTGCGAAGTGTGGTGGCGTCGAACGGCGCCTGTCGGCCGGCGAGTATCGCCGGACACACGATGCGATGATAGACGTCGCGACCGCAAAATTGTTCGGGCTCGAATCCCTGCTGAATCATGCGATCCCAGGTGCCGTCGCGAGCCGCGCGAAACGCGAGCTCTCGAATCGCCGGCTCGAGGCGATTCTCAATTGCGGCCTGGAATCGCTGATGAAACGTCAGCTGCAAGATGGCAATGGATGAGTCTGATGTTGAAGCTCACCGGTCGGTAGTTGTATTCAATCAAATGTTTGGATAGGTGGTAGATCAGCGTGTCGCATTTGTAGCCGACGGCGGCGGCGACCAATCGTCGAAATGCCGCGTAAATCGGGCGACGCGTTGGATAGACTTGATAAAGCAGCTCGAGAAATGCGGCTTTCTCGATGTGAACGACCTTGATGCGATTCGGCGCTTCCGATCGCGTCGTCGCCAACTTCTCAATCTTCGCCATATAATCGGAAAGAAGCGCGAGAATGTTGGCGTAGATATGAATGGTGCTGCCGTCGTCAAACTCGATGGTGATGGCGCCCTCGTTGAATAACGGGTGTTCCAAGTGAAGCTTCAAAGAATCAAATATAAATGATTTTATTCAAATTCGATTCACCATATTAAGAACCCGCATTTCAAACTTGAGATACTTCACATCGCTCGAAGTGACCTCGACGTTAATCGGATAGCTGAAGGCGTCGAACTTGAAGACGTCCTTATCGACGACATTCAGCACGCTGGCCTCTTGGCCGGTTTTGATTCGGAGTTGCACAAGAAGCGACCATTCGGAATTCGGCGAGCTGCCGACATTCAAAAATACTCGACTATAGTCCTTCTGGAAGTGAGCAAATTGAAGGTGCTTGATGACGTCGATGGCTCACCTCGTGGACCTGATCGACGTAGAACTTGAAGTCGCCAAACGTGTAGACATTCTTCTCATCGGAATTGCTTAGATTCTGATCATCGACGGCGATGAACACGCAAATGTCCTGTCGACGATTGCGCAATATTTCGAGATCGATGTCATGGAAGCTGATGGCAGTTTCGGCCGACTGCTAATCATCATCGATTGGATTCTAGAATATTCTCACTTACCAAAAGCGATAGCTCAGACAGCGACATATTTGGGAATTGACGATAAATTGGAATTGACCAACGCTCGACCCAATGACGTGTTCGCCGCCGCGTTTTATTTATTATTTTTTATACAAAATCCGTCGAGATATGGTTAACGAATTTCTTAACTATGCAACTTTTCCATATTTCATCACATTGTTTGTGAGTTTTCTCATCGAGTTTTCGCTGAAGAATCGCTATTTGAAGGTCTTTCCGTTATTAATCTGTTTTTGCCATAAAAAGAAGGATAAAAAGACGCCGGAAGTGGTCAAGCTATCCGGCGAGGATGAAACGCAGGTGGACCACGTCGGACAGCTTGCCGACGATTTTTTGGCCAACGTGCACTTATTGGTGCGGTATTTTGTGAAAATTGAAGCGAATTTTGGAATATCTCTTAGACGCCTACCCTTCCCGGCGGTTGCACTGATGACAATGCAGCAAAAGAGGCGATGATGCGACATCGAACGAATCAATATTTTCCGCAACTAGAAATCCAGAAAGAAATGATTCTCAACAAAACGACAAGTGTAGGACCTGAAAATTTTGCAAGATTTTGCTCGCGAAAATGCTAAAGAAAAACTGTTGCAGAGCGAATTGCACGCGCTTCTCGACAAACTTCCACCACATCCGCCGCAGCGATTCCGCGCGAAAATCGATAAAAACATTGAGAAAATTGCGAGGGAACGCGAGGAAAAATATAAAAAGTATTTTTTTCGTAGAATTGATTACGGTAGACGCACGCGCTACCGCAAACACCAACACGCGAGTCTGCGTACAAATTTTTTTTTTTTGAAATTTCAGCTTACACGTTTCTTGGCACAATGTCGGGCTCGTTTATATAGTTCGCGGTAGTGATCCGGCACGTGCGAAAGTGAAACCGCCAGTGAACTCGAAAAATTGCTGAAACTGCGTGTTTCAGGACGATGGCGTTTCGGACACCATCGACTCGCCGTCGGGCAAAGAAAACGACGCGGCCAACGATGGAAACGGCGAAAATTTGAACTCGGAAATTCCGATGACCGGTCAGACGCCGGCCCGAACGCCGGCGAAAGAAAAAACGGAATCGATGAAGAAAAAAGATGCGAAAGCGACTAAGAGCAAAAAGAAGATTGAGCGAACCGCGACGGCGACCACGTTTGATAAAGAGGATACGAAGGAGAAGGAGAAGGAGAAGGACGAGAAGGAGAAGGAGAAGGAGGAGAAGCGGAATCGGAAGCGAAACAAAGAAATGGTGATGATTTTTGGAAAAATTCAATTTTTTTTCGAATATTATCAATTTTTGATTTTGCTCCAGCAAAAAAAAAATGGAGAAAATTAAACTTTTCTGATTTTCATTAGCGAGAAAATTGAAAAATGCGAATTTTTCGAAAAATCAACTATTTTACAATTTGAAATATTGCAATTTTTAAAAATTTTCTCTGCAATAACGCTAATTGATCCAGAAAAATGAAAACTTCTCAACGAAGATCTCATAAATTTTCGAGTTTTCCTCTGAAAAAATCGCTTAAAATTCCAGCAAAAGCCCACAGTCAGCCAACATACGACACAAGAAGAGGAGCCATCGAACCACAAGGACAAAGATGGTCCGACACCGCTGGCGTCAAAAACGCCGGCAAGCAACAAGGTGTCTCGACACGACGAGCCCGAGCCTCTCGTCGCTTCAACAGCACTTAATCTTCCTAATTAGGATAATTAATTAATTATTTATTTTTGTTTGAAACATAAAAAAAACAAGAAAAAAGAAAGAGAACAAACTGCTGACGTTAGTTAGGCTGACAAGAATCGATGAATGAGATTTTGGGCTATTCGAGGCGTTTAAAGGCGGGTGCTCTCGACTATCTAATTCCATTTTCTTGGTGGTCCCGTTGGCGGTGGAATGTTGTTGTTTCGCGGTTGGGCGAGCGTCGTGAAGAACGCTGACAATGCGGCTGCAATTTACATCATAAGCATGTTGGAAATTTTTTCGGACCATTTTCACCACAAACAAAAAAAGTTCAAATTTCTCTCACCGTTGACAATTTCGGGATTCGTCTGATTCAAATCCAACGCATCCAATCCGAACGCGATGTTCGCCGTCTGCGCCGATCCCGTTGGTCCGTAATCATCAATCCGATGATGGTGATGGTGATGATGCTGTTGGTGATATGGTGGTGCTCGGCGCGGATCAATCGGACCACTTCGAATCGACATCAGTGGCTGTGGCGGCGGTCGAGGAGGCGGCGGTAGTCGGGTGTCGGGTTCGCCCCTTAACAAATCTTGATAGCTTAATTGTACAGTCGGTTTTTTTTTTGAGGAAAAAGCGGCTATTAGAATCGATCGCTGTGAGACCCAACTGCGTGCGCCTTTAGTTACCGTATCCAATAAATATTTTGTAGAAAATTTTAAAAAGCCTCAAAGTTTTTGGAAGCAAAAAAAACATTCAATTTCGTCCTCTGCTATTCTCCGGCCAATCCATTCAAATTTAATTACTTTTTATAATTATTAGTTAAATTAGAGAATCGGAAATTTGCTGTGTGGCAATACTGTAAAAAATAGGCGATGCTCCATTTAATCGAGTGGTACGGTAGCAATTTTTTTTTCCAGAATCTTTCAACATCCAACGATTCCCATCATTCCATTCACGAACGCTTTATTCATTTCACGAAAAGATGAAGAAAAATTATTAATAAAATTTCAGCAAAAAAAGACGCAAAGAAAGATAAAGAAAGAAAGAAAGAAAAAAGACAAAACAACATTTTTTGGTTGAGTAAAACCCGAAAATCTCTCTCTCACTCGTCTCACATTACACGATTCCTTCGCAAAAAGAGCGCTCACACCGACAAATTTTGGAATTGTGACAAATTTGCAAATTTTTCCAAGTGATCGTTTTTTTTCGGGATGTGAAGCGTTCGTTAGAGGGAATGAGAGGAAGATTTCGTGTCGACAGTTTTTTCAAAATATATTAAAAAATGATATAATAATTTAAAAATTCGGGTTAATACCATCGGTGGTTCGGCGACGAATCCCAATAGCGGCGATCGCGGTCCGAATTCTGTGCTGGCGGTCCCGATCCGCCGCCGCCTCCGCGTGAATACGGCGAATAATCGTTGCGAGAAAAGTTGGAATATTGCTGAAATTTCGAATTCCTCTTGAAAATTGCAAGAAGAAAACCATTTTGTTGGGAAAATTTTCTGAATTTTGGGTTAAAAATTCGTCAATTTCAGGAAATTTTTAAAAAAATTGTTCAAGTCGTTCATTCTTTTCGTCAAAATCTCACCGACGACGGCTTCGAGTATCCTCGATCCGCATGCCTCCGATAGCCATATCCAGCAGGCAACCCATAATCCGAAGAAGGCGGTCCATAATCCGGTTTCCTAGAAAATAAAAACATTTCAACAACAACAAAAAAATAATCTTACGGCTCTTCTCTCGGCAATGCCAAACTCAACGCAAGCGAAGTTCCATTAATCATAAGAGATCCTTTTCTGAAAAAAAAAATATTTTGAAAAACCCAAAAATAGATTGAAAATCTCACTTAACAACTTCAAAGGCAACTTCTCCAGAAGACAAAGTGACAAATGCAAATCCTCGAAACGGCTTCGGAATAAAAACATCAGTAATCTGAAATTCAAAAGAGCATTTGACTCAAAAAGAAAACGCGATTCGCGATGAGACCCACCTTAACACTATCCGACACCTTTTTGGCCTCCTCGTCAATCGCATCTCTCAGCATTTCCTCACTTATTCGATCGGTGAGACGTCCAACAAAAATTCGGCTTATCATCGTCTTATTGCCTTTGTCCTGTAAGCAATCGATTCGCGTCAAACTTCAATCAATTAAGTCGAAACAAAAAAATTTACTCTTGCTTCGGGAATTTTCACATCGCACCGCCTTCCGTCAATCTCATGAAGTGCGACAGCTAGCACCTTGTTCTGCTCATCGACGGTTTCCATTCGAACGAATCCGAATCCCTTCGAGACACCGTCGGGTTTGCGTTTTATCTGTCAAAAACAATGCGATACGGTGGCGAGCGGAAATTGCGACGCATCAGAGAACGGGTGAATTGCATGTGCACCGGCGGCAACGCGACACACTCGCCTCGGAGCTGGTGCCGAGTCTCAACGACGGGTCTCGCCACGAGGTATACCATTCAAACGTCTTAACGCTACTATGGGGGCACTACAAAACGCGACTCTTGTAAATGGCCTCTCTAGAATGCAGTGCATACTAATCGCTCAAAAAAAAATTTATAATCAAAATCGACAACGTTTTTGATCTACTCGAGTTCTACAGTATTTTCTCGCTGCAAGACCTCACAAGGGCACAGTTTCTGCACAATGGGGTCTCGCGACGAATCAACGCCTGTGGTTTAGAGAGTCCCTATTTTTTTTTAAACGCGGATCACAAGGGATCAACGCCAAGAGGTGGGTTTGCTTTAGAACTTGAATTGATGATGGTCTCGCAACGAAAAACTCAGCACCGCTCCTCCAATGTGGGAAAAAAAGACAATTGTCGAAATTCATCATCTCATACCTCACAGTACACAACTTTGCCGAACTCTTCGAAATAATTGCGAAACGTCTCGTCGCTCGTCTTGAAGTCCACACCCAACACGATCAAATCGACGGATTGCTCGGGTTCGGGCGGCGCCGTTGCCGTCGACGCCGCCTTCGCCTCTTGCTGCTGAACGGCGCGTTTGCTTCGCGACCGCCCGTCGGTCTCATCGTCCGAGTCCGTCTCCTGATCGCTCGAGTTCACTTTTCGGCGTTTCGCGCCGCCCGCGGCGTCCGCTCCGCGCGCTCTCTCGACTTCTGCACAATTCGATTAAACGACGAGCCACAGAAAATTGAAAAATATTGTTGAAACGAAAACACAAAAAAAAGAAACAACCCCCCAATTCGCGATTTTTTTTTGATCCGCCTTCAAGACTCGCTTCACATTGTCGTCTTTGTTTCGTCGCGCCGGGTGGGGGAAACTCTCGCCCTCAATCTCGAGCCATTCGAAAAATCGCGAATTGGAAATGAGCCACTTCACACAATTTCCACCCCACCCAACATAAATGCTTTTCTTTTTTTGTTAAAAAATAAAGAACGTACGCGTCGACGCCGTTGGTGTTGCTGCCGGCGGAAAAATCGCCGAGAACGTCTTATCCTCCCATCCGTCGGCGGGCGCCATCAATCGCAATCCATTCGGATCGACCCTGAATCGACATTTACGCTATTCCACTGATTCAATGATTCCTACTGAACAACTCGATTCGCTCCAGTCTTCGGATTGCGATACTTGAGGCCGGTGGCGCCGGGAAATGTCGCTTGCAGTGTTGACATCAGAACGCAGCCTTCTGATGTTGGCACCTCGATGGGCTCGTTTGCTGCAAAAAAAATTTTGAGGAGCATTCAATCTCAAAATGTCAATTTTCAGAATAGAAAATAAAATGTTCTAATCAAAAATCTCGCTTTGAAGACTCACAAATTGGGACCATAAATAACATGTTTTAATTCTAAAAACCCCAAATTGCTTTCAAATCTTTTTTCTCTAGCGTAGTTGGTCCGCGGACCATAAAACATCATGACATTCCGGTTGAATGGGACCATCACGGACATTCCCCCCCCCCCCTTTGAGCAACTTCCTTCAAAATTTTTCGACATGTTCTGTGCACACCATGAACGCCTAAATTGTATTCGCACGGTGCGACAAGGGCAATTATCATTATGTGCCGATTACTCACTGCTCGCATCAAGAACCACTACATAATCGATGCTGTCGGTGCTCTTTTGCTGTTGCTCCTGAGGCTGCGCCGCCTGCTCGACTATCATCGCCTTCGCCTGAAATTCGTGATTAGCAATCGAGAATCGAAACATTTTGCTCGAAAATTCGTACAAATTCGGGTTTTTGTGGAATTTTGCAAAAAAAAACCCGGAAATTTTTGATATTTTAAATGATTTTCAAAATTTCAATTCGCACTTTAGACGCTCAAAAAAAAACATTCCAAAGTCGACATTTTAATCACGAATTATGCGTGTGTTTATCGAAAAAACTTTGTGTTTCATCATTAGGACGGTTGGCGATAAGCAAAAATTGTGTTTGGCTATGGAACAGATTAAAAATTCGCACTTCGACCTAGAAAAAATGGAAAAAACTGTCGTTTCAAAGTGCAATAATAGAAATTTGACAAATTTCCCCGCAAAAATTCTCCTACATTCTCGTCTTCTGCTGGTACTGTGTCCGCTACTGTCGCATCGTCATCTTTCTTCTGCTCCTCGACCGCCTGATTCTCATCGGCGCTCATCTGCAAATTGCGAATTTCATAATATGGTAAAAGGGGGTGGGGGGCGGAGCAAATCAGAATACACTACACATCAAGTTCACTATAAAAAAAAAATTTGGATTGGTGCCCGCGAAACAATTCGCCTACACCACCCTCGAGCAAATTTTTCTTCTCGAAAACACTCAAGTTCTCAAACTGATAAAGTTCGAACCGAACTTTCGCGCTATTTAAGAAGGTCGCCTCGAATTTCTGATTTATTACACATCAACAAAAATGCTCGACGAGACCTACTATCGTAATCTGTTGCGCGGTCGCATCCGCCTCGCCTATTTGAGTTTCACCATGGTCTCATTCCTAAGCTCCATTGGCTATCTAATTTGGTCAATTGATTGGATCAAACATACGACGAATTGCGGAAGAAGCGGCATTTTCATATCCTATTTCGCCATTGTCGCTACCGTATTCTACGCGGGTCTCGCCACGATCGGGCTATTTCTATTCCGAAGACCTACTAGGATCTTATCGAGAATCCTTATCGGGTAACTTTATAAAATGTTCGATAATATTGGTCATAAATTGATTTAGATTCGCTACTAGTAGCTCAATATTCGTAATTGGCATGATTTTGATCATGATTATCTCCATGATCGCCAGTTTTGAGCCATATTGCCTAAGGGATAAGAATACGGTAATAAAAATTTTAAAGAAGCGAAAGATTTAAATTTTCAGTTTGACGCCATCTACATTATCATTCTAACAGGAATCACTTGCACTATTCACGTTTCACTCCTAGTTTTCGCGATAATGGTTCGATATCCGGCGAGCTCACACCTACCAACCTATCGCGAAGCGATTTCAGCTACCGGCGGTAGCAAAATCATGTACATTTAAATAATTTGCATTAAATAATTGTTGCATTGTGTCATGAATAAATAAAAATGGAAGGAAAATCGAAAAAATAAGAAGGAAATTTGTGAGCAACGCGAGTCGCACAATAAAACGAAGCGGGTCCGCAATTGCGCGTCATATGCGTCGCTGCACTACACCAAAATTGTCAACCGTAGTCGAGCATTTATCCGTTTTTGTGAATTTTTTCAAATTTTCGAATTTCCAGCGAATCGCATGACGGAACGAAAGCCGATCGTCCTAAAAGCCACAGGAACTGCAGCATGGAAGCTAAGGTTTATTAAAAATTCATAAAAATAATAATGAGAAGCGCGAGAAAAGCGTTGAAATTTCTCGAATTCTTGCGTCGCGTCCGTCGAATCATCATCGTCGGGTTTTCGACTCGAACTTAACAAGAAAAATTCAGAAGAATCAATTTTTCGATGAAATTTTACACGTAATATTGCATTTTGTGCATAATTTGCCAAGTTCCACCAGATTATCATAGCTCAACTTTGTGTCAAACGCTTCAATCTCATAAATCTGATGGGATTTCGGGAAATGAATGCTTCCGATTTGATTTGGGGCGATGAGAAGTTTCGATGGTCCCTCGCGAAGGTTCTCAAACACCAATTTTTCGCCACTGTTTTCCATTTTCGGCAACATTTCACCGTCATATTCAATCACGCGTTTCGCAAATGCTTGATAGCCCAGAAAAAGGCCAATGTTTTGAGCGATTGCCCTTAACAAAATGAGATTGACAAAAATAAATTTAAAAAATAGCTATGGTAAATGAAAATTAGTCGGATTCGAAAATAATTTTGTTTTTATAAATCCAATTTGTTTTGATTTATTCCAAAATTTTAATCAATTTTGAAGATATTTGAATCAAAACCAACTTTTCAAATCAAATCGAATCTTGTTAATTTATATTTCATTTTTCTTTGAATCCGATTTGATTTTCATTTACCTGAAGGATTTGAGCCAACTTTTTTTGAGTGATTGCAATATCGCATTGACTAATATCGGTTGCGTTTTCAATATTGTCCAAAAAACAACAGTTCTCTGTGCACAATTTTCTATCGTTTTTTTTCGCCGATTAATTGCAGCCTTACGATTGCCGGGTGTAAAAGATTGATTCTTGTCGCAATTTTGCGCAAAAATCACCGTAAGAATCGCTGAAAATGCGAAAATTCGCATTTCAAATTTCGAAATGCTCAACGCTCACTATTTCACGCGTTCAGAATTTATTCGATTCTCCGATATCCGATGACGCGCACTGGACCCGCCGTCACCGCCGCCGTCGCCATTTATCTCATCGCGTTCAATGTCGGAATGAGGTGCGAGGAGTCCGTCTAATTAACCAATTAGCTTAATTATCCTAATTAAGGCTTTGGAAAGGCGACGAGCATCCGCTGAATCGATTCGTGTGGCGGATACGCGAACAAGAAGGCAGCTTGAATCCGGAATTGCTGTATAAGAAGAAGATTGTTCAAGACTATCATTATTCGCGAATTTTCGACGCTAAAGACGACCCGCCGCATCTAGGATATTAATTAATTAATTATAGGCTAATTAGGATCTCATAAATGCTCAATGTGTCGGTATTGATTTTTTTAAATTGGAAACATCGAGAATCTTGTTGAAATGCTCCTTTAAATCTTCCAATTCATTTTTATTCATATTTGGTTAAATTCATAATAATTTTTTGGCTGAAAATCAGAATTGAATGATTTTTTGGCGGCCAACTCAAAAAAGCAATTTGAAAATTCGCAACTCCTCCAATTTCAGGTGCGTCTTTCCAGCCGTCTCTTCCAAAATCAGATTCGCGAGGCACATGATAAAAATGCGAACAATTTCGGAAAAATACAACAGAAACGTCGGATTTCGGTCGGAAATGTCGCAAAATGCGAGCATGTGCAAAATCGAATTGAAAATTAATAGCAATTTCTGGCGGCGGACGTTGAAAACGAGCAGAATCGTGCAGAAAATCGGCGAAATCACGTCGAAATAACGAAACATCGAATTTCTGCAAAATGGCGAAAACAAAAATCGCAATTTCGTTCGACTTACAGCTCGCCAAATATGGAAATCCCGGCGAAACTTTGAAAAATCGCCAAAATCACATCAAAAATCAACAATCGACGATAATATCGGCAGAGTTTGTGCGGCGATGTGAAATCTGAAATTTGGTTTTCCAAACAATTTAAATATAGTCGATTTCTGAGATTAAAAAAACGCGGCTTCTACCAGAATCGGCCGAGTACGAGACTCAGCAGCACGAAAACTATATGCGCCTTTAATAACCGTGTTAAAAAATATTTTCAAAATCTTCGAGTTGTCCAGATCTTAGTGAATTCCAATTTTTTATTTGCTAATTTTCCTGATAGCCGCTTTTTTTCGTAAATTTAAATGCAAGTCCGCAGACTCTATGCTGCGTGAATGCACAATTTAATGGGAAAATTCGAAACCAGTGCAATCACGGCGCACCAATTCTGCGGACTTGCAGTCCAATCGACTACCATGTTTTCGAAAAAAAAATGAAATAATTCAGGAAAACACACAATACTTAAAAACCCTAAGTTTTCATTTAAAAACCGCAAAATTATTGTCAACATCTTATCAAAAAACGGCAAATTTTTCAAGTAAAGAATTCCAAAAAAAATGCCGCATGAAAAATCTCTTACTCGTAAAAATCGCGACACCGCTTGAAATTCGTGTGAAGCATCGCATCTCGCCATCGTCAAATTGCCCTAAATCACCTAATAAGGTACAAAAAGAAAAAGTTGAAAAAGAAATCAAACCAATATCAACAATCGCGGTGGCCATTATCAGGCAATCACAACCAATTCTATACGATATATAGTAAACGGATAGGCGTTTCTTCTTTATTGGCAAATAATCGAAACAAAAACGACGAGAAATCAATCAATCTAATTTAATTCGAGACTTCTGTTTTTTTTTTTAATTCTTATTCAAATTCTAACATCGATTTATCGGTAGGTTCCATATTCCTTCTTGTGATTTCCCCAATATTCCGGATCCGGCGCCGAATCGGCCGGAATTCCGAGCTCCTCGTCGGTGAACTCGTGCAAATAAGGCATGTACCAATGACCCTGAAACAGGCGCATTTTTACGAGGCGACCACACATACAGTTAACACACGACGATAAACCTGACCGATTTCAAGGCCACATTCTCCAAATTATTTCTCCTAATTCGCTATGAGGGCGCGCCATCGCCAAATTTCTTCAATTAATTCGTATTTAATGTAAATTTTCCAACAAAAATCGCCATTTTGATTCAAAATTATAGAAATTCATCAATTTTCTACTAAAAATAAATTAAAATTTGGCGAAATCACAAAGCGCACCGTCAAAAAATCGGTGGAACTATTTAATCTATAAAAATCTCGCAATAAAATCAAAATATGCCAAAAATCCACATTTCCATAATGCCGCTGACGGACAACTTTGAAATATTTGAATTTCGCAGCCTGTCAATTTACTAGCCCCGAATGAAATTAAACAAAACTCGCTTCTAACAAACTTTTCCATTCGAGACCCATGCCGGCAATTCAAATGAAAATATCCAGAAAAAAAACATAATTTTCGGTTAATTCTTAAGAAATATTGAGAAAAAAAGACGCGTTACTGGCGCCCATTAGGCCGTTTTGTCTCAAACCACCAAAAAATATTTCAAAACTCACGAAAATGTGTCCTGAATGATAGTACATGTGATAGCTGAACCACGCCCAAAGAAGAGCCGAGATGAAGTAGCTCACACATCGATCGATGTAAGTTCGTCCCATAGTCGGCGTACGATAGAAGTAGCTGGAATGACCAGAATTATTGACAGCGTCAATGAAGGCGTCGCCTACTCTGGAATGGGTTTGTCGCCCTTCGCGATTGTGCCGCGATAATCGCCGTCGTAGGTGTGAAGCTCCGGATTCTCCGGTGCTCCCATTTTGCCACCGACCGGCACGTTCGGTCCGACGGCGTCTTCGCCCCAAGCGAAACGATGTCTGTGAAAAAGAAACACGGAATTTTAGTCAAAATGCAGTTTTCGCGTAAAATTTGCACAATTTTTTACACAAATTGCTTTTAAAATGTCATTTTACACAATTATTAAGCGAAAAAAATATTAAAGCAAAAAATTTAAAACTTTAGGTTTAAAAATCAAAAATTTCGCAAATTTTCGATTGAAAATCAAAAAAATACTATAATTATTTTCAATCTAATCACATTTTTGTCATAGAGTGCACCATTTTCAAATTCAAACCAAAAAATTCAATTCTCCCTACCTCACTGTTGTCAATCTCGGCTGCGACGACAACAATCCGCGCATTTTCAGCTGGCGAATCGCCAATTGAGCAGCAACACGGTTTCCCAACATTTCAGCCTAAAAATGAGCTAAAAATGACTAAAATGGTCAAAATGAGGTAAAAATCTGTCAAAAAACAGTAAAATCATTTCTAAAAGAACAAGAAAATTACAATATTTATAACAAAAATGATAACAACTCAACAAAAAACAAACAATAACAACAGCATTTTTCAAAGGAAGAATCGCCGCCTGCTCGTCTCCATTTCATGCCGTTTAAGGACCCATTCGAATTCGCCCCATTTCGCATCGAATGTGCCCTTTTGCAGCCATTTCAGTCGCAATGTGAATCTGGGACCGAGTTCGAGCAACGCCGCCTTCGTACCCTCTTTTTTGAACTCATATCTGCAAAAACAAATTCGATTCCTTTCAAAATAAAAAAAAACCACCCACCTGTGATGTCTAAAAAATATGTAATCTCGCTGATTGTGCAATGTGACGACGCGTCGTCCGGTGAATTTCGGATCGTGCGGAAAAAGACACGCAAACATTCGAGCAATACTGCAAAACATGTTAAAATGAAGACTTCTTTTGAACATCGTCGTATAATGAACGGATTTGCAACGAAAATTGATTTCAAATTTGAGTTGCCGCATTGGTCTCGTATGGAAAGAACTTTCACGTACAAATTTTTTAATTTTAAGCTATACTTTTAAAAATCATAATTTTTCACAAATTTTAATATTTTTTAATATTTGAAATTGTCAAATTGACATTTGAAATGTCAGCCCGCGAAATTCAAATTTTCAAAATTCATCCGCTCACAACAATACCATAAAAGGCTTACTTGTGACCCAATCTAGTGTTAAAATTATTCAAAATCACTTCAGGATAATGCGATGTCGCTTCTCCAAATTTCTGCAAAAAAGACCACTAAAAAATCCAAAAAAATTAAAAACCTTTAAATCCTCGGTAAAAGTCAAACTGTTGATCTTGAAATACGCCGTCGGTCCTTCCGGAAGATGGCAAAGAATTATTCCATCTAAATAATCGGTTAATTACTATAATTAATGTGCGGCTAATTACTCGGCTTCTTGCGATCCTCATGAACAACCAAAAGATCGGTGAAATCTCGCTCTTTCGCCTGTTCGATGATTTTCTGCAAACATTGAGATCAAAACGAAAAACTTCAATTTCAAGACGAATACCTTTAAAAGCACATTCTTTCTTGAAAAGATTTCCGAGTTCGGAATGCATTTCTGAAGCTCAAAACAGAATTTCCAAGTGGTCTGCAATGAAAATTAATGATTGTAAGAGTTTTTTGTTTTTCAAATTGCTTAATAAAAAATGAAGTAAAATCAAAAGTTTCCCCATTCTTTAAAAAAATTTCAAATTGTTTCATTCAAAAATGAAGCTCAATTCCAAAATGTTCGATTAAATATCGCAAATATTAAAATTTTTATGAAAAATGCTGCCAAAATTGCAATTTTCATTTTTTTATGAAAAATGCTGCCAAAATTGCAATTTTCGTATTTTTTTTTCCAATTAAAAAACCGTTCAAGTGAATAAAACCCACAATCTTAGCTTTTGGCGTCATCGTAATCATAACTTTTGGTGTCGTTTGCCGATTGAAATACGGCGCAAACTCATCGTTCGCCTCATCGTGTTCGACTTCATCATCATCATCGGCGACCATCGTCGCGTCATACTCTCGAGTGCTTTCAATTGTCTTCGGCGCTTCTTTTTGGGGCGCCTGCTCGCCGAGCTCCTCGCGAATTTTCGCGCGTTCCGCCTGCCGTTCCCGTTTGTCCTAAAATTTACGAAAAATTAATTATTTTTCAATTATTATTTGAAAAATCGTGTTCTCACTTTTTTAAGCGCTTTTTTCAACGCTTTTCCCCTCTGATTCTTCGGCAAATGCTTGAAATCATCTTTTGTCTTCGTCGCCAGCGTTTTCGCTTCGTGATATTTCTTTATCAGCTCTTGCATTCGCTCATCGGATATCTCGATGATCTCCTCCTTCTTCACCTTCTTCGACACCTTTTTTCGCTTCGCTGCCGGCTCATCGTCAGAATCTGGAAAAAAAAATGGGTCTTGAAGGGAAATTGGAATAATATAGACGCCATTTGTTTGGAAAATTTGAATTGTTGAAATTTCAGGAAGCATCTTCATAATTACAGAAAAATAATTAAAATTATCTGATTCTCAAGTTTTTAAGCCGTTAGGCCTAGAATCAATATTAATTATATGCTTTTTCAATATAAATGTGATCATTAGTCGCTAAAAATGTCTAAAAAAAATTGTTTTTGGTATCTGAAATAGATTTTAGAACCAATTACAGTATTGCTCTTTGAAATTGCGAAATTTTACAAAAAAAGAGAAATTCTTAGCTAGAAGCAACCGACATCGTTCAACTAGCTCGAAACGATACTCACCTTCTTCGTCATCGTCATCTACTTCATCATCCTCTTCGGCTTCCTCGTCATCGTCGAAATTCTCCTCGGTCACCTCTTCTTCGACAAAATCGATCATCGATTCTTCGCTTTTCTTTTTATTTTTTCTCGGCGCCATCCTGAATCTAATTTTGATAAAATATCCCCAAAAAAAGTTGGAATAATGCTCGATATTTAGCAATGGTTGGAAAAAAGTCAAAGAGATAATTGCAAAAAAAATGAAGACGAGAAACTTTATGTGCTAGAGACGAAAAACGGTTCAAACATGGATGAAATTTCATAATTTCACAGTCTGAGAGAAATCCACAATTACTTCTCTTCTTCTTTGCTGATATTTTTTCGAAATTGGAATTGGCGTGAAACAACAAATTATTTCGATGTGATTGCGATCAAATAAAACGATTTTACATCTACGATAAACGCCAAAATCAACAAATGATTCAAATTCATCAAAATTGCGAATGAGCTTCGAAAAGAATCATGAAAACAGCGAGTTTTCAAGGCAAAAAAAAATTGAGGAACGAAGAAGAGCGGTTTAAATGGATGTGAATGCGCGTCGCGGTGTATGCACACGATACATCACGGATTTTCGTCAACCGTACCACACCAGGAAAAAACCGCTTTTGACGTTTTCAACAAAAAGGTAAGAAATATTTAAATGTGGAATATTTCTCCTTAATATTTACATTTTCAATATACAACTCTAATCTCTGAAATTCACATCCCGTGAAAAATGAATTAGGCCTTTGTGTATTAAGGTCTTGCATGGAAGACAAAGATGCGGCCATCTCGCGTAGTTAGTGATTAACAAATTGATTTTATAAATATATATTTATATCATGAAAAAATCACTCGAGTAAATTGAACGACACCCTGTGGAAAAAATTGAAACGCGACAGTTAATGAAAGGCAAGAGGAATGCACCAATATGGAAAACTACACTAATTAAAGCTCGTCGTTGAATCCAACAATTGATCGAATTTTGATAATTTCGAGATCCGTCTTCGCGTCGACCCTTTTGCAACCCGACGATGAGAACGCCTTCGTATCATTTGGGAAGTACTGAAACAAGTACTAAAATGGGCTGAACGACTTGATTGTGTACCTGTAGCGAGCTCAACACCCGATCGATCAAATCCGCGTCGGCGAGCAAGTCCGACCTTCCGCGCTTCCTTAAATGAGACTCGATGCACTTGCGAACATGCTCCTTCTGAAGGGGAAGGAAGGGCAGAAAGTGATCAATGAGATGATTCGAGATCAGCTCGCTCATATGCAATCCGCCGTCTTCGTTGTAGGTGGAAGACATGAGCACTCGTTCAAAGTTCTCAAGCTTCAATTCTTCTCTCGGATAGCCATTGTTATATTGGTGCAATGTAATTTCGGCGATATCGTTGCCGCCTTTGTTGCTGTACCGATAAACCATGTCAAATATTATGGGCCTCTTTTTCTTACCTTAGAAATATGAACACACTTTTTCGGATGTCAACATTCGACACCTGACCGTAATATTCCAAATATGGTTTGATTGAAGCGAGTAATTCTGGCGCGAGTTTGTCGGCCTCGTCAAAAATGAACAACGATCGTTGGCACTTTTTCACCCCGTTCAAAATTTCATTTCTCAATTCCGATTTGTACTTCTCCATTTGTGATTTGTCCGGAAAATCGGAGGTAGCGACAATGTGGTGCACAAATGAGCTTTGAAAACCCTTCCTAAGAATTGAATTTACTGATTTCTTAAAACAAATCTTACTTATAAGTGTTGTTGGCAATTATTTCGGCGACATAATTCTTGCCGCAACCTGTATATCCGTGAAACGATAAAACTAGCGGTTTTTTCGGGTTCTCATTAAGAAAATGCGATTTCAACGCGTTCACAACAATATCTTTGACGAGATGTTGCCCGAAGACATGTTTGTCGAGATCCCGTGAAAGTGCTAAAATTCGAAAATTTGTCTTCAAAATTCCGGCTGGTTATTTCTAACTGTATGGATTGAAAAACACATCTGGCTCTTGACAACATTCATATAGTGTGCATTTGATTCGATCTTTGAAACTATAAAACACGCCGGTGCCGATGGTGACTAATGTTCCTGGAATACAGCCAAGAATTAGGTGATTTGCAAAATTTGAATTAAACCTGCGATCAAACTAAACGGCTCTCCATTTACATGAACGACGATTAACGCGAAAATCAAAAAATGATTCAAATTCATCAAAATCGTGAACGAAATTGAAAATGAACCATGAAAACAGTGAGTTCACCGCAAAACGAATCGACGAACGAAAAAGAAGTGTTTAAATGTGTGCGAATATGCGTCGCGGTGTATGCACTCGAGGCGCATTTTGAGTCTTGCGAACCGTACCACAACAGCAAAAATAATTATAATCCATTTGCATGCGACAATGTGTTTCCAATTCTTCTCCTATTATACTTAATTTTAATGGTATTTACGTAATCAAAATCTCCAAATATATAGCCAATTGGAATTAGAATAGTAATATCATCATAATTACACCAATTAATTCCAAGAAAAATAATTGATTGTTGAATACTACCTAATAAATAGTTTAGGATTCCGATTGGAATGCGAATCTGAAATTTTCGGGTATGGTGGAGCTGAAAATTGAAAATTACCATAGAAATGAGAAGAATTGGCGTCGATTGAGCAGCAAAATTGTATTCGGCGTATTTTTTATTGCCGAAATATAATGGAATTGATCTCATTTTATAGAATGTGAGAACATAGATTAAAATTGTTGCAATTGGCATTATAAAATGAGCAATTATCTCGCCCTATAAGGCAATTTTGATATTTTTGAAGAATTCGAAAAAAAACTTTTTTGATTTCCATCGAAAATCGCGTTATTGTTTTTGTGTTATTATAAGGACAATTTGAGTCTTTTAAAATCACCTGAAACCAAATTTGAAATTCAAAAAGAATAAAAATGTGAATTCGACTGTTCGAATATGACAATGATCGGGATCATTTGTAATTGATAGGCCACAATCGAAATAATCGAGAAGAATTTGAAAAATTCCGATTTGAAGGGCAATAATGAGAATTATCGTTAATTTTTTTTCTGCAAAAAACACAAGAAAATATATGAAAATATTTTAGGCGTCGATTAAAATGCAAGTCCGCAATTTTTGCTTCACCACAGGCTCACCGAATCACAATTTCAATAATTGTGCAGTCACGCTGGATCATATTTGCGGACATGCATTTTAATCGATGCCAGAAGTTGCAGCAGTGGAAAATGACTTTAAATTTTCAGATGGTCATAACTCGTCTGAAACCCCCCAGTGCATTCTAGAATTTTGTGAACACTCTCAGAAGACCCTCTAGTTTATATATGCCAAGTTACAAAAAAATTTCAAAGCGGTAGGTAAAATGATTTTTTCAAAATTAAATGCTTATGATCTACTGGCTCGAGTAAACTTTTTTCTCGTTGGAAAAATAATTTATTGATTTTTATATTTAAAAAAGTTTACAAATTTTTAAAGGGAGGTCTTAAAATATTAAAAGACATCTCACTACTTCTCGTTTCCGCACGTTTGTATGCAAAATTCAAGGCGGGGCTGAAAATTTTGAAGGTCCGTATCTCGATAACTAGGAGTTTACGCAAGTTGTGTCACCAATTGTGGAAAAATGTGAAAAACAGCAGAATTTTAAAAAATCAATTATTTTTTTTTTCAAAAATTTTCAGTGTTTTCTTGTCGAATTTATGATTTTATGTATATTTTTTGTTGAAAACGTGTTTTCAAAGTTAATTGTTTTACATAAAATGAAACGATCAATAATTGATTAAACAATTTTCAGTTGAGATTACTGTAGCAAAGATTGAGCTGTGCGACTCGGTGTACGCACACAATGCATAGAAAATCGCTGCAGTTTTTCACATTCGTCAGTTTTCCACAATAAATTAAGCCGATTGGAAACTTTCTAAAAAAATCTGTCTGCAAAAAAATAAAAATTTAAGAATTACTGCAAAAAGGCCTCCCATCATTGTGGTCATTTCAACTTTGAAAATCTGCATTTTTTTTTTGAAAAATCAAAAAAGGAGAAAAAATCCAAAAAAATTACCCAGAGACATAATGATAATGCTTCTCGTTTTGAGTGACAATCACGAATCGCTGAATCGCGAGAATCAATTGAAACATCGGAATCATCAACGAATTAAATAGTTGATGGAGGAGAAAATGCAAGAAATAAGTGATTCTTGAAATTGGGAAAAATATTTTTTTTTGTTAAAATCTGATGATGTACACGGCAATTCCTATGATAATTGTTCCAAAGATGTTTTCGAAATCAGAAAATATTGAAACAAATAAATTATAGGAACGCGATAAGCATTTTGCGACAAATTTCAGAAAAAAATAATGCGAATTGAAGGCGATTAATTGGGAACGAAAACATCTGAAAATAGTGAGATGTGTGCATTTCGTCGTCACGGTGTACTACACAAAAAAAGCTCACAAATTGCTCGACGTGCCTTCGATTGTTCATAGTAATCCCATAAAAAGCTATGAGAATGAGTTCGAGCGCGAATATTGCAATATCGAAATTCGACTCGTCCATTTTTTTGAAATTAAATTCATATTCACATTTCAACAACAAATCTGAAATACAGCAAATGTCAGATAATTATAGAGAAAAATGAGGCAACCGCGAATTATCTTTGAAATCTTCTCAAACACGTCTAGCTGCCGCAGCGCTAGTGATGGCCTAGAAAAAATGACACAAATATTTTGGTTCGGCCACGGCCACACTTGATGGATTTGTTAATTTAAGTAAGTCGATTTTAAGGAGTACCCATATATGGTATGTTTCAAAAACCAAATATCAAAATGAAAGTCACAACTTCTTGAAAATAAAAGAAAATCGTGGCTAGGCATTAGGTAGTGTGCCGCAATTGCAGATTTTTTATAATTTGCGCGCCGCACTTGCATTTTTGCTTTTGGAAATGTTCTGACCAATTTTTCTTGACCGCACGTGCGTATTCGAGAGATGTGTGCGTACACCGACACCCAATAATGCACCATTCCAGCACACTTCGAGGAAATGAGTTCAAAATTCTATCCAATCAATTATTCTCCAGCAAATGTCAATAGAGCGCACTTGCTGCATTACTATTCAAATCATGAAAAGGCGAAGACAATTTTTATTAGATCAAAGTTCAATAGAGCGTACTTGCTCCATCTCTATCTATCAAGAAACCAATTAAAAATTCAATCCAAAGTCTTGAAGACCTGTTTCCCAGTGCACTTGTAAATGTATTGCTGCTCAACCGAATGACTGCCGTGCGAGTTCGTCGCCACCACCTTATAAACGCCCTGATCCTCCTGCGTCGGATTCTAGAATTAGCGCCGTACCAGCCTAATTATGGCCTAATTACTTTGATGTGCAGCGTCACCGTGTACTTGCCCACCATTTTTTTGATCTTCTGCACATATCGATCGCCGACGAGCTCTTTATCTTTGAGGAACCTGAGCAGAGCAATTAGCGTTAATTGGCCCCCCCCCCTCGTCATTACCATTTGATTGTCGGCTGCGGATTCGCGTTGCAAATGCATTCGAATAGGACGGAGCCGTCGGGCGAGATGATCAGCGACGGCGCTTTTTCGAAGAACGGCGCCAACATCGCGTCGAATCGATTTTCGAATTGATAATGACGAGCAGCTTCTGCTCGCCGCTGCTCAAACATCTCGATGACAACACGAGATAGAGAGAGAGAGTGCGGGGGCGTGAGAGACGCAGACAGTGTCGCGTTGTAAAAACTCCGGAATGAAGTTGGTTCGAAAATGTGAATCATGATGGGACAATTGAGAAGGGCCGCTTCGGGACCCGCCCGCTTAAAGGAGCATTGAAGGCATCGCTCTAAAATGGCCGGTGTCGGTTTATTGCATATGATTATGAAGCAATGCGCCTTTAATTATGGTATCTCGACGCTCTTGTACTTCATTTAATCAAAGCACCATCAATTTTTGTTAATTTGTATAGATTAGCGAGGCATGCGCCTTTAAACTGATATTCGATAATTTTGTTTAAAGGGGGGGGGGTGCTCGTTCAAACTAGACACTCGAAACCCTTCAGTTAAATTATTTCGAGATTAAAGGCGCATAATAGACATGTAGTAGATTCAATCGTTGCGAGACCTAATTTGAAGGTGCATTGATGTATAAAACGAAAATCAGTAGGCCTATCATGTTTAATTTGTTTTTAGAAAAAAAAAAGCGTGAGAAAATAACTGTCCCCATCGAATCAAAAATCAAAGTTCGGAAGAGGACGAGATGGTCCGTATCAGGGTTCTCAAAATGGGCAATCTTAAAATGGAAATTCGATTTGTATCTGCCGACATTTTCCGGGATGCGCCACAATCGCCTTTATGATGTATTTCGAGGTGGCGGCAATTCAAACACGGAGCCCTAAAGGGCTCCTGTCTGATTTTTTTCTGGACGACGACGACGAGATGGTCCGTATGATCACAGGAAGTCGTGGAAGCACCAGACGTGGATGATTCGAGGGAGCCTAATAATGCTGCCAATAATCAGAGGATGCCGAATAGAATTTTGGCGCGAATCACATTGTTCGATCTTCTGGAATTTTTTCCTGTTAGATTCTTTAAAAAAATCGCTTTGCCTTCAAACAACGACTTCATTTATTATTTTTCTGTGCGTCGTCATCTCTCCGTTTTCGCGCCGCCTTCTATACCGTCAGCCTCTCTGATTGTCTGAGTCTCTTCGGAATGCCTGAACCTTCAATTCTTTGAATTGAATTTTGTCAAACGACTTGACGAAATTAAAAAAATGATTGGCTATGTGCCAATGCGTCTCGAGGCAGCGAGACTGCGTACATTGCATTATAGCGTACGCGCATTTAATATTCAGTCAACGATAAATTTAAATCTACACTGATTTCGCGAATTTGAAGGCCCCGCCTCCATTCAGTCGTTTGACGCCGACAACATAATTGCATCACGTCTGTCTCGTATGGACAACAGAGCTGCACGGAATTTCGTTCTTCGATTTCATGAACTTCAAGGTCCGTACAGCTCTGTAAGAAATCTTCGAGTATTTTCTACATAAGCATTAAAAATGGATATAGTCGGCGGCCGGCGACTGGGTAGATTTACGCGCATGCGCCTTGAAAAGGTCTCGTCACGTGTGAACGCTTATTTCGCTGTTTTCAAGTGAACTGCTTCATTTTCTTGATAAGCTTCCCATTTTCTTGAATTCCCATCGATATTCGATTAAAAAATTATCGAACCGCTCCATAAAATTTGGAATGACGTGTTAGTCCGTGCGAGACCCAGTGAAAGACGCGTCTCCGTAAATCTACCTAGCAGTCGCCGGACGCCGACTTTATGCTTTTTTTCAAATTTGAATGAAATCATTTTCAGACATATTCATAGAATCATTCTCGAAGCAGTTCTAAGACGCACCGAAAGATGACAGGAGCCTAGGCAAAACGGTGTGTGAACGGCAAGTACTCAAAACCAATCGGATCCATAAAAATTCGGCCCCGGAATCAATCTTATCCGATTAGAAATTCTACGGATAAGATTGGTTATCTGTCAAATCCAATTCGAATTGAAATATTAAAAAACGGATTCGAATAATTAAGAATCCAATTGGATAATGTTGATTCTGGAGCCGAATTTCGTCAGATCCGATTGGTTTTTTTTTCTGAAAATTCATTTTGTTATCATTCGAGCAACAATTTGCGTCAATCGAGGTCAACTATTATACAGTTGTTATCGCCAGATAAGGAAATGTTTAAAAGCGTCGCCCGATGTTTTGCTGTTTTCGTGGCAATGCAATTCGCCAAATTCATTTTTCTTGTGCTCATCTCATCTTGTGCTGCAATTCGCTGCTTTAAAGGTCGAACAATTGTCGCTCAAAAACAATTCGAAATATTCAGGCGTTCGCGTAAAGGACAACAGGGGACCATACGGGCTGTTGCGCGAGCATTGCCCGCGAAATATGACGCAATGCATGAAGTGGCAATGTGTTTGCACAATGCGCAATAACGCACGACAATTTACAGAGCCGTCTTGTACGACTTTCCGGTGACTTTTGCGTACGCGTGCGCGGATCCCGCCGTTTTCACAAATTCTCCTGATGGTTGCATTCGACAAGGAATGCAGGAGATCTGCTTATGCAGCGAATGGGATTATTGCAACATCATTGATCGATAAAATAATTTTCAGTTGTTTCGAAATAAATTTGACTTTAAAATTTAATTTTTATGGAAACAAAAAAAAAACGAAAAAAAACCGTTTTGAAAAATCCTGGACCTTGCAAGATCCCTTCAATAACTCATTTTCTTCCTTCTTTCCCAGCCATACATAAAAGCGATAAATAATGAAGTTTTCAAAAACCGTGCGTGCGTCGGATCCCCTTTGAACACCAATTGCGAAATCTAGCCTGAAAAGAATTGGATTTAAATTCGAATTCAATACGAGACAATAGTTATTCGCAATCATACGACGAAACAAAAGGCCGGACGCGCGCGCGAGCACATGTTTTATAAGCTTTTGTTATTCCTCAAGCCCCTATCACAATGCTGACGGACATCTGGTTTAAAAAATTGGAGAAAAATTGAAACGAAAAATCGCAAAATTAATTTAAAACTGAAATATTGGTGCAATTTCGCGTCGCTGTGTACCTCGTACCCAAAAAATTACAGTACCATCAGATGATTAAAAAAATTATTTTTTTTGGCTCTTCTTTATTAAATCGTTTTTAATAATTAATAATTACAATTTTCAGTGGGAAAAGTGAAATTCACGTCATGGAACAAGAAAAAAATGAAGTAGAAGAGCTGAAAGATACATGGTAAAAGACGAATCGAGGAGAAATTTGGCGACAAGGTGAATTGAAAATACAATACAATTAAAATAAAATAGGAAAATGTTGGAGAATTTTTTTGACTAATCACAAACCGCGACTTGAATGTTGGCAAAAATCAGAATTTTAATGTGAGATGTTTTAAAAAAGATTTTTGAACATTCGAGTCCTCGGAGGAAAGGGAGGGAAAAAAAAGTGGAGAGGAGAAAACACACGGTAAATTAAAACACCAATTAATGAATAGGCGGAGGGGAAATTAAAAAAATAATAATAATCAAAGCTCTCAATTATTTCAGGCGGCACATTTTCGGCGGCGTCACATCATCATCGCTGAATCGCGATTTGCGTTTACCGGCGGATTCCGGCGACGAGACGTCCGACGAGAACCCCGAGTCGTTGAGCGGCGTCAACGGTGTGGCGGCGACGGCCGCCTCCACCATCACCATCGGCGGCGGCGGCGTCAGCGTTTCCGACGACGACGGTGGGGCGAACGGCGCGAACGGCGCCATCGACACATTCTGCGACGTCGGCGCAAACAGCGTGGTGTTGATGTTCTCGGGAAGCGAGTAGACGCGCTCGCCGCTCAAACATCGCTTCACCATTCCGTAGTAGCTCTCAACGAGACCCTAAAAACCAATGAGTTGAATACAATTATCAGACGACGCCGACGAACTAACCGATTGCAGTTGGAAAATGGCGGCGAGCAGCGATTTCGTCGAGCTGGCGAGCAGGATATCCGAGCACGCCGTGTCGGCGACGTACGACAACGCAATCGCGCACTGCATCGACGGGAACAACGAGGCCAATTTGTGGTCTGCAAAAAAAAACACAAAATAGTGAGTTACTTTATTTTTCGTCAAATTTCAATCGCCAACAATTTTCGACAATTTTTTCCCATTCATGGTGTTGAGGGTTGGTTGGTATTAGATGATTATCTCGAAGAAGTGCGAACGAGTCCTCCATCGCGCTCATCATCGCGCAAAACTGCGAAGATTGATCAACACGAGATTCGTTTTCCTCATCGCGCGCGGCACTATTTCGCAATTTTTGCCAAAACTGAGAGCGACAGGGAGATGCGCGTTTTCACACCTTTTTATGCGACGACGGCGCGCATCAATGTCAAACGGAAACTTTTTTTTCACCTCTCCCTTCAAAGGCAAACCGGAATTTTTGTGCGAATCAAGGTTGTTCAAGACGGGTCCTGAGTTTAAGAGCTCTCTACATCAAAGACCTAACGGCCGCCCTAATTGGCGGGGGATCTGTCGCAGATTCAAAAATCGCCTTTCCCGACTCCATCCCCCCCGCCACCCATAATTAGGCATCTAAGAGAATGTGTGGAAAGAACACAAGCGAGGGCCCCCCTTTCCCTCCGTCCGACGAGCACCTGTTGACAGCAGCGCGAAAATGTTGCATAATGGATCGGAGCAGCATCTGTCGCCGCGAATTCTAGTGGATTAGCCATCATTGTTTCAATTTCCAACTGTGTCGTCACTCAATTCAAATGAGGAGGTCATTAATGTGTTGAATGGCGGGAGATGGAGGGAATCAATAAGAAGACATTTATTTTCAAATGTGGGTCTGTATGTTTGCACTAGGTGTGTGTGTATGCCATTCATTCAAATATGGGTCATGTGATGAAGCATGGCCCATACAAGCCATTGGAAAAGTTCAGAACCAAACATGGCGTGACTAACGAATCATCCCAAAGCGTTTTTTTTTCTTCGTCGCCAACCCTGTACACCAACGACAGCAGGAAACAAAAAACGCGCGCGTGTGGGCGCGTGCCTCTCCTCGATTCGCCGACGCTCATTTATCAATCGAGCCGTTTTCCACCGTGTTTTTTTTTCTTGCTGTGTGAAGGTAGCACCAGCGAAGGTCGACACAACAACAGAGAGAGAGAAAAAAATCACTACCGGTCCGATTCGGTGCCGCCGACGACGACTGGCACTAGGTCAAATCCGGAAATGCGGATTCGAATTTTTCGCCGGGGCGGGGAGAGCCGGGTTCGTGCGCCTTTAAGATGGCTTCGATTCGAACTAATTCGAGCAATTGGTCTCGAAGCCAATCGCCCACCCAACATCGTTGGATTCCGAAATTTAACATTGGAGGATCTTGAACGCGCCTTTAAAAAAATCGAAGTAAGACCCCCTTCATTGGATTGGCGCATTTAAAATTGTTGAACACCCAACAAAACTCTTGCTGGGTCTCGAAGCGACGCGTCTACAAAATTCCAGTTCACACGTTCCTCTGATTATGGAATATGGGCGGATTGTCTCCCTCCCACTATGCAAATCGTCTACAGTACCCCCTCACCTAATGCTAATTGGCTTTGGTTTTGTTTGTCGTGATTACCCAATCCATTAGTATCTACCGTACACATTGCATTTTGCTGCTGCTACTAATCCTTCCACCCATCACCAACCCCATTCCGACCTTGTGTGTGTGTGTGTAGGTTTAAATGTGTAGAGAGAAGAAATAATATAAAAGGCGCCAAATTTGAAACTTCTAGAAGACATAAAGATTATAATCTCCAAAACTATGTGTGTGTGTGTATGTGAGGACGGTTGTCGTCGTCATCGTCGTCGATGACACAAGGCAGTTTATCTTCGATGGGTCACAACTCGGCCTCACGTCTGCGAGTTGCTCGAATTTCACGGCCAAAAATCGCCGGATAAACTATGCATTCTATTTTTTTTTTGTTGTGAGTCGCGCGAACGCGACGAGGTCAGCTGACTCGGAGCAAGTAACTCGATCCGGATCGGCTAGAGGAGATCGATCAAGACCCCAAAAAAAGAGAGGAAAAGGTAAACGCATGGATGACAGTGCCGAAAAAGACAACAATCGAATGATTTACGAGGTCCGCGAGCCAACACACATATATAAAATAGTCTCTTGTCGTGTTCACATATGCCGACGATGATTTATGAGTGGCACACTCGCGACGACGCGTGAGAGTTTTGGCGAATTCAAACCAAAAGAATTATGAGAATCACAAAAAAAAACGTGTTGAAAAACCAAAACCCCCCACTAATTTTCATGTCAAAAAAGCGGCGATCTTAAAGGGGCGGCGGCAAAAATAAAAATTTGCAACACGGCGACGGTCATTAAACTAAAAATGCTCGGTGTGGGGATTTGCAATTAAGCGCGCGCCGACGTAGCCGCTCGGCTTGAGCGCGATGACTATCTCAAAAAAAAAAGAAGAAGAAGGGGGTTTTGAATAGCATTCCTTCGAAACGCCAATTATGTCGAGGGCAATTGATTAAAACGAATCGGGGTCGAGGCATCAAGTGCGCAATGAGCCATACGCAAAAACACACACGCACAAAGGCATGGTTGTAAAATTCTAATTTTTATCGGCAGCCCCCAACCCTCCACCGGCGTCGTGTTTGGTCAACTTTCTCACTGTCACGTCATATGAGAGTGTCGAAGAAAGAAGGCGATGAGCAATGCACTTTTTCTTTTGGCTACCCGCGTTTTCTTTTTTTTTGGAACACAACCCCCCCCCCCTTTTCTCCAATTTTTCGCGCGCGCACCCTAAGATAAACGATCGTGTTATGCAAATCAGACCCCCCATCATTGGAAAAACGGGACAATGTCGTAAAAAAGAAGACCACCCAGGCCGAGTTGAAATGTAGAAGAAGAAGAATAAAAAAAAGAACTGTGCGACTAGTACGATTAGCAGGACACACACACACACAAAAAAGAACTGCGGGTGGAAGATTAGTGGCGGCGATAAATGGCCGCCCATGCGGTTGTTTGGAAAGAACACATGTTCGACAACAGCAAAAAAAAGAAGAAGCGAAAAACGCCATCCGACTCACTTTTTTGCATTCGATGCACCGTCTCCTGGAAATTGTCGCGAAGCGTCGAGACGATCGGCAAACGCGCGATGAGCTGATCGTAGAAGTCGAACGCCGTCGGCGCTTCCGTCTCCCAATCGAGCGTCGTGATCACCATCAGCTCCCAACTGAGAATGTCGGCGATTTTGCACGTGTCCTCCGAATAGTACGAGATTTTCGACGCGTTCATCGGATGCGGCGCTTTCAGTTTGCTGGCGATGAATAGGCACACGCCGGCGAGCATCTGGAATTTCACATCATACGCTCAAATTGAATCGTCGTCATTCGAAGCTCACCTGAACGTCGTGCTTGAAAATATTCTGGAATGACAGAAATCGATCCATAATCGAGACGGCCAACGGAAGAACGTCGCCGTCGCAACGCTCCTCCCTCGAAATATCATAGATCCAATCGATGGCTTCTTCGCGATGATACGGCGTGATGTGCTCCTGAATCGCGGTGAAATAGTGATAGTTCGATTTGTAGATCTCCTCGGCCTCCATGAGATTGAGTATCGATCGAACGTCGAGCTGAATCGCCTCGTCGATTCGATTGTACACCGAGCTCTTCGCGTTCGAGTTCAATAGGCGATCGGGTGTCGGCGAGCGTCGTCGGAGCACATGCGACGACTAGAAAATGAAAATCAATTGAACGTCAAGAAATGGAAATTGGGGAATCGATCGAATCGTGGCGACCGATCGCAATCTCGCTTACCATCATGATCCTCGGACGCGTACGATATTGTCGTTGCGGCGGCGGCGGCATCGGCGCCGACGTGCTCGGCGACTCGTTGAGCATCTCGGAGCATTCAAGATACCTATTGCTGCTACTCGGACCAGCCGATGCGCTTGCGGTTGTTGTGTACATATCACCCCCCTCCTGGAATCATGAAGAAGAGAGCTTTGGAAAATTGGATGGCGGACGAAACAAGAACAACAGAAAAAAAAAATGTGGGAGATGATGAAAATGAAGGTTGTTTAGGGGCAGGAGGACCCCCCTCCCCCACCTCGAAGGAAGCACCTCAACTGGTGTATGTCTGTGTGTGGCGGGCGAGGTCTGGGGGTAGAGTGACGGACGAGCGCGCGCCACCCCCTCCCGCGCGCGCGCGCGCACTCACACACCTCTTGGCTCCGCCTACTTTCGCCAAGCATACATAGCTATGATGATGATGATGACCATCTGGTCCAGCTACTATAGTACTGTAGGCTCGCTTTCTTCTTCTTATTATTATTGATCGCCTAATTTGCATTAGTTGATCGATGAGAAGAGGAAGCAACAAGGCGAAGAATTTCTAGGGCATTTTTCGGGTCCAAAGGTCAATCTCACTCCTGAGATTCTTGAATACTCCGCGATCAAGCTCGATCGCAAATGAATGACGTGTGCTCGGCGAGCCGCGCACCATCGCGCAAAAATTGCGCAATATGGCAATAAACCATAAAAAAAAATTGGGTGGTGGTGTTGCGCCATATTCGTCGATGCTCAATTTGTGGTGTCTCGACACCACCACACATCTGGGTGAGATTGGTGCTGCTCACAGCGGGAGTACATGCGGGAAGTTTGTGCGCGCCCGAGCACACCATCTCCAGAAAAAAAAGAGAATGAGAGGGTGGTGGGCTTTCGCCAAATATTGATGGTGTGGGGTTGGGGGATACAAAGGAATTAGGGAGGATGCTGCTGACGAATCGAAGATATTAGTGAAAGTTGATAGTCAGTCGAATTGACAGTCCAGGTGTTCGGTGCAGCTGTTGCATGGGAGGGCTGCCGCCGGCGGCCTTGCTATGCCGATGTTGACTTTATTTTGGAATTGAAAAATTTTTTTCTTGGGGGGGGGGCCGAACGCAAAAATTATTATGATTATTTTGTGGGAAAACGATGGCCCTCCCCCCGAAATGTGTCGGTGTTTCGCCTTTTATGGTTAAGAACAAAGAAAGGGGCGAGCGCGGGTAATGATGATGCATACCTTCAAAAAAAAAAGCGTTTTTTTGATGAAAATATGAGAAAAAAGAGAGAGAGAGACGGAATATTTGCGCGGTGTGGACGTCATGCTGTGGGTATAAGTATAAGTAACACATTTTTATGGGTGCCCCCTAATAAAGCGCGTGAAAATACCGCGCGCATACCCACTCACAATGGCACTTTCGTTGCTCTCTGCTCTTGTTACTGTAGACGACGCAAGCGCGGCTTCGCTCGATTATTTGAGATTCAGCCATGTCGGATTAAAAACTCGACAATTTCCCAAGAAATGCGAAACGCGTTTGAATTGGCCGCCTAAACACCGTAACTCGTGGTGTGCGCCTTTAAACCTATCCTTCCTTATACGCAAGGCTGTAAATCTACACCTTGGTTTGCGGCAATTTTCGACGAGAATGCAAGAACCCAACATCATGCATTGATCTTGTATAGACCTAATAAGAACTTTGTTCTATCTGGCTTCCTAGTAATTATTGGGGCCCCATAATTAATGGTGTATCTTTTAAGGGACCATGCCAGATTCTTTTGGCTCGATTGGCAGATTACAATTCAGAGCATGCTCATAATCTGCGATCATCATCTTGTCAATCGAGTCGTCAAAAAAAAACCATCTGGCTAATCCTTAGAAACGGCAGGTGTCAACTCAACTCGACGAAATAAATGATCTGATAAGACGGCGGGTGACATGCTAATTTGGCTGCACGATACCTCATACAACTTTACGTGTTAGTATCTTTGTGTGTGTGTGTGTGTATTTGTCCGATTACTCGTCAAGATACGGGTCAGATCGACACGATCAAGATATACGCAACGTCGTCTTCAGCCTCTGTTCGATGACGAGAACAAAGACGGAAAAACTCGGCGCGACAATTTCGCGCAAAAATTTGCATTTTTCCATTACGCATCATTTGACGCGTTTTTTTTTTGGTGAAAATGCCTCGTGGGTGGTGTTCGACGACCAAAAATGTCGCACTTCAAAAAAGAACCCCCCTTACAGTATCCCCTAAGCTACAGTATCATTAAATAGCAAAAAATGGAGCATAATCGGGATGTGGGAATGTTTCGCGCAAATCGCGTCGCGCTTATCAGCAAATGCAAACAATTTGGGTGCAATTGGCGCAACAATCCGCCAATTATCGCCTTAATTTGATTGACACTATCGATTTTGGGCGATCTTGTTGTTACAAGATGGTATCGCGACGATGAAAATGGAATGGTGAAATATTTTGTTGGTTGGTGGGGGGGGGGGGCGCATAATACAAAATGAGTGACCGATGCCTTGAATCGAGCACCTCCCGTCGTCGTATCAGTTGACCCGAGCAGGCACCGACTGTTACTGCCTCGGGGGCCCTTCCGACAACCGCATTATCAGCAAATCAATTCTCTTTGTCTATTCCGATTTCGATGCGCCAAAAAAATTTTTTTTCTCGTTTTGGCGAGAATTTCGGTGGCTTGCATCGAACTCGAATCGCAACCGATTCGGATTCACATATCGAAACTTTTTGGTGTTCGTTGTGCACTCTTATCAGCGCGCCATTGATAGTAGTGTGTTAATGCTTGAAAATCGTGCCGGCAAAAATGGGGGGGCGAGCACGACGCGGTGTTGAGTCGTTGGCGATTCGCGCAACAAAAGGCGAGCTATACCGCTAGACTATCAAGGGTTCAAGCGTTTGGGGAATGATTGGCGGTAATAAGGCGACGCGAGACGTCCGAATCTCAGCAAACCTTTTATGGCAAAAAATTGTAAATAAAAGAAATAAAAGCGAACAATTTGAATGCCATCGGCGACGAATTGCATAGATCCTCATCGCACACGCAATATCCCACCGAATTGGTCAAATTGCAGCCGACTTGCTGCAAAAATTTGGAAATTTGTCAGAAAAAAATTTTCAAATTACCACACTTGACGTCGGATCCACACAATTGAAAGTTATATTTTCATTTTTATGGAGGGTCCTTTTAAAAAATCAATTATCAATTTTATCAATAAAAATTGAATACTTTACGCATTTGTAAGCTCCCTCAAGGCAATATCGTTTCTCGAATGAAATTTCGAGTTCGGTATCATTGTTCACGATGATGATATAGCCTGCAAATTCGAATTTTCTCAATTCTCTTTTTTCTTTCTTTTACCTTCATAACAGCGAATTTGAATTGAAATATTGATAAAGCTGAAAAACAGTAGGATTAAAAGCTTCATCACAATAAAGATGGATGAAAAACTGACAATTTCAAGATTTTTCGGTTTGATGAAAAAGTCACGCAAAAATTAAAAAAAAAATATTTTCACACACCTATTTTGTGAATTGAACGATAGTATGTTTCTTTTGCATTCATTACTGTCGATTCAAATTAATTTAAAGGCGCATGCCATAAAATCGTAAAGGTCTTGACGCGAAAATCGTATACTTCCGTTTTTATTGTTTTAGAGCGACAAAATTGCCAAAATTTTTGAAAATTTTCACATTTCTATATATTTTTTCGCTTTTAGAACCAATATTTGACTCTTCTTCAAAAAATATCAGAGAATGCTTGTCCTATTTGATCATTCTAGCTTCTTCGCTTTTGCCTTGCGCGAGAGAGGTCGCTGACTCGACTCTTACGCAAAACCGTCACGCTTTTTACGAGGCGGTCCAGGTCCTTGAGGATTACCCAACAACAATGGATGAATGCAATAAACAGCATATCAAAACCCTCATCAAATAATCCGCGAACAGCGAGAAGACAAAGGTGCCGCCCGTGTTGCGTCACCGGCTGCATCGCGACGCATAGCATAATTAACACGATGATTACTATGTATACAATGTTGCGCGACAGGTGGTGATGATGGTCCCGGGATCTCTTTATTATACACAAAAATTGGGAAGGGATCACACAATCATAATTTTTTTAGTAGGAATTTGGGCAAAAAAAAAAACAAACAAACAAAAATTTAATAGACGGTCAACGACTTCTCGTAGAGCTTGCTAATAATCTCACGGTCAGTGGATTTCGGCGCAATCGCGATGTTCGGCACCGAATGGCTCGCCGCCTCCGTCAAAGTGTCTATATAAGGACGATATGAGTGCTGGAGATTGAAGGCGAGCACACACTCACCAATGTCGGAAAACTCGAATCCCATTCCTTTGAGTCCGTTCGGCACCCCGAAATCTTTCATATAAGCGCGAAGTTGATCGCAAAGCGTTCTCGAAATGTACTCATTGTCAGCATTCGGCTGAAAACCGCCCAAAAAAATAGTTGAAATTCGATGGGATGAGAAAATTCCAAAAGAAGTTGCTCACAATTTTCTTTCGGCTTCTTCCACAACCAATTTTTTGCGTGAAATTTAATGGAACTTTGTTGGTATTGGAAAAATAAAACTCAAAAAAATTGGTGAAACTAGCAATTTTGGCAATTTGCTTTGAGTTTTCAACGTTTTTCTTTTGGACTCAATTCCAAAAAACAAACTTTGGGACAAAATATTGAAAAAAAATATTTTCGTTGAAGAGAAAAAAAACTCAAATTTACCGGAATCTCAGCTCCAAGTGTCTTCGCGGCGACCAAATGCCTATCGGGGCACGCCGACGTCGTGAACTCGAAGTCGGCAACCGCCGTCGTCATAACCGACAGTCCGTGCGGAATCAGATTCTTCTTCTTCGGATAATCATCAGCCACACATTTTTTCGCTTGAGAACTGCAAAAATAAAGCGGATAGGTATGCGCCTTTAAAAAAAAGAAATTTGAAACAGCAAACACTTTGCAAACCTGATCGGATACGAGAGCCCATGGCACAAATGAACGCCGGCGTTGCCGAATCCGATGCCGGCGAACGAGCTCGCCTTGAGCATCTCCGTGCGCGCTTCCTCATCGCTCGGATCGAAAATCGATCGGCGGAAGTATTTGCCGATAATCTGCAAAAAGTCATCGATGGTGAATTGAATGCGATCCCGCCAACCCTGAGCGCTTCTCGACTCCAGACGTCGCTGATCGGATTCGATCCCTGATAGACGGGCCGCACTTCGGGATTCGCCGGCCTCGGCGAACGCTGATCGAACGGCAGCGCCGTGTAGCTCTCGAGCGCGTGACAAAGCACGTCGAAGCCCGAATAGATGGCGACATTTCGCGGCATACTCATCACGTTCAATGGGTCGACGATCGCCAAATACGGTTTGATGCAACGCAATCGGATGCCGGATTTGCACTTGTGTTCGGGCAAATCCATGATGGCGGTGCTCGTCGTCTCGCTGCCGGTGCCCGCCGTCGTCGGCACGGCGATCAGCGGCAGCATCGGTCGGTTCGGCACGATCGAGCGGCCGAATGGCGGGCCGACGAAATCCAAAAAGTCGGCGTCGGGATTCGACGCGTACAACGCGGCCGCTTTCGTCGTGTCGATGACCGAACCGCCGCCGACGGCGATGAAGCTGTCGAATTGGCGCGATCGCGCGAAATCGATCGCGTGCAGCATGCTCTTGTCGGTCGGCTCAATGAGCACATCATCATAGACTTCGTAGCTGGCGTCGACGCTTTTCAAAGCTTGCTCGGTGTTTCTGAAAATTCGAATTCAATATTGTCGCAAAACCTTTTCAAAATTGATTCGCGGACTTACTTGAATGCAATTGTGTTCTGAACATTCTTGTCGGTCACCACCAGCGTCTTCTTGGCGCCCAATGTCTTCAAATCATGCCCGACCTAATCAAATATCAATTCGCAATAAGTCTTCAGAAGAAAAATTACCTCCAAAGTGACACCGCGTCCGAATCGAAGTGTCGAGCACACCATTTCGAACGCATAATCGGTTGATTCTGGAATTTGTTGCGTAAATCGGCGATTTTGTGAAGAAATTTGAGGGGAATTTTCGAAATGATCGTCGTCAAATGTTGCGCAATTCGTGCAAACACCACCACGACTAAATGCACACTTTTCAGTTTCGACAAAAAAAAAACCAAAAAATTTGTGGAATTTCAGCCTTACTATTATTTCCGTGCAATTTGGCGAGCTTGAATGGATGTGCCGACGGATGAGCATGATGCGGACAACACGCGCCGCCCATTTTGTGGATCATTCCTCTCGCGAGCACCGACGACATCGTTCTGTGTGGAGCTGTGTGGGCAATTTTTTAATTATAATTTTTTTAAAAGCAAAACCTAAAGAAATGCGCTGGAAAACGTGGAAATTGAGGTGATTTTTGGCGTGAATTGATTTTTTTTGAGGAATATTAAAAATTGAATAATAAAAATTTGCCTTTTTTACCGATTACTGGATTGTTGGAATTTTTATTTGAAAAAAAATTAAAAATCTGGAAAAAATGCTTGAAAATTAAGAATGACCCTCCAAAGAAGCCTTTGATTTTCAGATTTTCGAGAAAAATTGAAAAATTCAGATACGTGGTCGAAAAAAATTAGCCAAAGCCCCAAAAATTAAGGTAAAAATTTGATTCGCTTCAATTATGAATGAAATTATAAAATTCGAATTCGTCTGAAACATTTCCAAAAGCAATGATTTAAATAATAGCTTTATAATCAAAAATGGTAAAATCGAAATTAACCTGGAGACGAGAAGCGAGAATAATAATATAGATGAGTTCAAATCGTTCAAGAAATAATCAAAGAACGTTTACGCCCAGCGAAAATATTGCGCGAGGTTGAGAGACGCAGACACGACGAGAGACGCAGACGGCGAGAGTGATCACAATTTGAAATGTCAACACTGATCATTTGCGGCAGATTTCGGCAAAATCACAAAAAAAATTCGATGGTACAGTAGTATGTTTTATTCGCTTTCAGATTTCTGAGAAAATCATGCTTAAATATCTCCAAAAAATGCAGTAAATTGCGAAATTTATGAAAAATCGAATGTCGAATTCATTTCATGTCATATTGGCATCGCAAATCGCGTTCTCGGTATTCTGAAGTGAGATGGAAAAGCTGCGCATCTTTTTTGGTCCCGAATTCTTTTTGCCAAGGATTTTGCGAAGCGCCACCAATCTGAAACCCTAAAATCAACACTCATCGAGAAATTTTGTGGACGATTTTTGCATCCAATCTAGTTTCTAGTTTTCACGAAAAATAAACATAGGGCTAAAGTCGCTTCGAGACCACGTCTCTGGCTATTTTCCAAAAATTCGAATTTCTGAAAGAAATCCTTACCTGTAAGTCGATACGCATGTGAGAAGAATGACAGCATCGAGTACTGGGAACCAGGCGAGCAGGCCGGTAGAGAGTGTGCCGAATAGAGAGAGCGAGACGTTGAGAGCCGCCGAGATGACGAACAGTCCGACCTGGATGGCTGTGCAGGCGAGTGTGACAGACGTCTGTGTGACCAGGTAGATGAGAAGCTGGCGGTGGATTCGACGCGTTCGCAAACTCATGTACGAAGCTGTGGTGAGGCGAGCAAGAATTATTGTGCACACGACGATGACGCAGCTCTGGAAAATCATTTTGAATTTATTTTGCGGGCATTTTCTAGAGAAAAAAATTGAGCAAAATAGTTACCTCGATCAATATAAGTAGACAGGAAACGAAGAAAGCCGCAATAACCGTGTGATAATCCGCTCCGCTTCCATCAACTTTCGCCGAAAATTGTGCAAAATGCTGTTTTTGGGTGACAATGCGAGCTTGCACCTCATCGAGCTCGATTTTCGAAACTCCCGGATTGCCCCAAAGACTATAAATCGGAAATGAGATATAAATTAAAGGCACAATAACAATTATCAAGGTAATCCATAATTTCTTAAATGGGATTTGATAGAATTTCGGAAAGACGTAGTAGGAAATCGTCCAGAATCGATAGACGAATAGAATCATTTGAATGGAAATTGATTGGATGAAAACGTATCCAAATATGGTCAGCATAATGCGACCATGAACGACGGAATTCCAGTCGCGGTAGGAGAAGAACACATAGACGTTGTTGGTTAGCGCGAAGCTCGGATGGACGATTGAGTGAAGAATTGTGTAGATGACATCACAGAATGTGTAAATTAGAAGCAGACATCTGAAAAATTTTTTTCGAGAAATTTAATTCCAAAAATTGAATTTCAACTTGAACACAATTTTTGACATAATTGAATTAAAAATGACTTTCAAAATTTTCATATTTTACATTTTAAATCAAAGAAACAATTTCAAAAATGTGAAAAATAGGAATAATAAATTTCGAATTTGAAAATTTTGTCGCGAAGTGTTGCGCAATGCGTGAATACACCGCGACGTAAAATCGCACAATCTACAGTAAGCGAAATGTTTATTTTTATTAGAAAACGTTGCATTTTCTCCCTCAAAATGTGAAAATTCCAGAGATCATTATTATAAGAGATTTTTCGTGACGAACTTACCCATTATTTACCGAAAAAAGGGCATCAAAATCGATGATTTGGTGCGTAAATACAAATTTGGGTGAAAACATGCGCAAAATTGACGTAAATGCCTATTTCTAGACGCTTTTAAGTCAAATGGAATAAGAGAAAAAAATTGCGGTTGAAATTTTGATTGAAAAAGAAAATAATGAAGAACAATTCTCACCTGAAATTGCGCATTTCTTCAGTTTTGACGGTTATAATGAAATAGAGGCAAACGAGATTGCTCAAAAATCCGAATAGGCTCATCAGATAGGAGTTGACGAGAAGCAGCGGCTCGAGCTCAAACAGCTCCATGTCCGAATGCCAGCTGAATGTTGTTCTCCATATTTACAATCACCATAATGGGATTTGGAAGGAAATTGCGTTGTATTTTCTTTATTCGTTTTTTTTGCCGGGTATAAATCGCGAATAACAACACGTTCGACGAGAACTCGCACTTTTCGACACACCAGAATTCGGGGGCGAGTTTCATAAAATGCGTGCTGCCGACAATTTCGAGTATTTGCAAACCGGATTTAAAGGCGCATATTGTCATACTGTCACACTATAGTTGGAATATGCAAATATCGGACAAGCATTTTTTGTGGCATTTTTTCAATTGTGCCAGTTTTCAAAAGACGCGATCATACTGTAGCACAAGTTCAGGTGTGTCAATAGAAATTTTTGGGATTGATCTCAAATTAAACACCGTAGTAGGAATGTTAAAGGAGCACACACAACAAATTTAAGATTCTTGCCATACTGTAGCATTACTTCAGATGTGTGCCAATTTTTGAAGAGCAACAATGGGTGTTTAAAGGCGCAGACTACTGTAGCACTGGATTAGAACGTTACGATTTTCAATAAGAGTACTGTAGCACTCGTTTGAAGTGTGGAATTACGACCGACTACAATGAAAACCAAGTGAGAGAAAAAAAGCATTGTGGGGTAAAGTCTTGCCGTGGTGTAGGGTAGATCAAAAGTATACTTCTACCCTCTAGCTAATTTTCCGCGGGAGAATATTTAAAAATCAATCAATAAATCGAGAATAGTATACATTTTTAGAGCGAAAATATAAGATTTGAAATTTTTGCTCCAATAAATAACTGGCAAATCGCCAAGCCCCGCCCACCACCAATGTATAATCGCCACTCGAATTTACGATAATTGCTATATATTATTAAGCGGGCATAGCTAGTAATTCTCACGGCTTAATTATTCCATGTATAATAAAAAATGAAAAAGATTTCAAAAAATTGATAGAGGTATGTGTACTTCAAGACGGCGAGGAATATTTGATTTTGGCAGAAAATTGTGCACATTGTCGTCGAGGAATTAATTTTTCGATTTTGTTGTTGTTTCTTGCAAATCAAAGATTTATTTGAAATAGAAAAATGAAAGAACTGAGACGACGGCGAGCATCTGCGACGACGTTTTTGACGAATTACAATAATTGCCGCTGCACAAACAATATCCGGAATTTCCTTGATACACGCAACGATTTGGACTCTAAATGAGCGCGTTGAACAAATCGCGAATGAAAATAATTAATTACATTATAATATGTATTCGGATCCGCACAGGAATACCCATAAACCGATGGCTGACCATAAGTGAAGGTTCTGCAAATCGTCGTCAAATGAGGCGCAACATGTGCAATCACTTACTTGAAACATTGTCGCGTGTGTGACGGGCATTCCATTTTGCCAATCTGCTTCACTTTCGTGTTTCCATAATCGGTCATTGATCCTTGAATTCTCAGAATTGTGTTTTTTCGGGGGCAATTCCAAATTTCTTACCATAATAGCAGTGTATTGAGGCCGTCGCTATCGAAATTCCGGCGACGAGTAGAAGAAAAACGGAAAATCGCATGTCGACCGAAGAATGATCATCAAATAGACGCCGAGTTTGCTATATAAACTATATCGTTATCAATTGATAACGCGTTAAGTGATTCATTCGAGTTGCTCAAATGTCATGACGAATTTTTATGGAAAAATGCGAATTTTTCGGGTTCGAGAAGACGAACATTTCGAATTTTCAGCAATAAAATATTCAAATTTTTAATTTCCACAAAAAATTGTGAGTGCCAATCAAACTTCATTAATTCTATGCGAAAAATCCACCAAGAAAATGTTTTTAAATAAAATTTTATTCTGCGATATTTGCGTCACGGTGTTTGCACACATTTTCCCACACTACCGTTTAGAGTGTTTAATTTAAATGTTTTTGTTTTCATTAAATTTTCGTTTAAAAAAATGAGCAAAACAAAAAATTTAAACATATTTGCGAGAAAATGCAAAAAAAATTCACCAACTTCATTGTTTGGGCGAATTTTGAAATATTAAAAATGAAGGAATATAAAAATTTGAATATTTGTAAAAAAAATAATCTTCAAACTTAGCAGAATCCCTCGACATGCGCCTTTAAAATGATTACGGTAGCAATTATTTTTCCATTCAATTTAATTTCGAAAATCGCATTTTTTTTCCCAACTCTAATCGAAAAATTCTCAGCGATCAATAAAAATGTCCAAAAATCGAAAAGGGTTCTTATCAATTTCGCCAGTTTCTCAATGCTTTGCTCATTGTTCCTAATAATCGCTGTATTATTGCACCCATCGACATCAATTTATTGCTATCTCGGTATAATCAACGCAGATGATTAATTAATTAATTAATTGGATAATTAGGAAGTCGAATTGCGTATGACAATCACGAAACCGAATCGATCACCACCACCAATTGTCCATACGCCTCATTTTGTGTGAAGTAAGTCGCATGCGCCTTTAAACCGAAAATCATGGTATCATCTCAAAGAAGCTTCAAAAAATCGAGGAATTCTGTTGAATACGCGTTCAGCTGCGCGGATCCGGCAAAATATTTTGTAGGTGTCTTTTTTTTTATTAAAACAAAATGCCTAGAATTGGAATTCCAGGAGCCCGGCTGTAATCGAATCTCAAAAAACGACGGCGTTTGCGTTTGCGCCGAAAATCTGTGCAATTCAACACGAAGCCATCAAAATTTATTCCTAATTATCGCCCTAATTATGATTTCATCTTCTTTTTTCGTTTCACTATCGAATTGATCTCAGCCATCTGCGAAATCGGCACAATTCGCCAATCAATGTCCTACAAAAAAGGGAAAATAAAAAAAAAATGAAAAGAAAAAAACTGACATTTTTATGAATTGCCTCCAATTGTTTCAAATTCTCCACATATCGCCAACATTTTCGCGCCTCCTCGCCGGTCACCGCAAAAATTCGCCGCAAATTTCGTCCCATTGATTTTTCTGCCAAAATCGCAAAATCTTCAATGGATTTCGTGTTGAGGACATGGCTGAAAAAATCGAATTCTTTAAAAATATGCCTGAGAATCGTTTTGAAACGTTCCCGCGCAACATTCGATACAATCCTCATCGTCGCCTAGGCGAACAACGCGAATCCTCTCGCCGACAATCCGATCCGCTTTCATCTCATCGGCAATCATCGGAATCCGTCGCGCCTCGTCGATGTCGAACTCCTCGAATTCGGCGCGTCTCGCCGATTCGATGCAATTCTGCACAAATCTCTCAACATCCGCCAATTTCGATTTGTCCCATTCGATTCGCGTGCCATAGTCGAATCGCAATCGATCGGATTCTGGAAAAAAATCAAATTTGGAGGGTCCAGTGAAATTCTACAAACCCACTGACGAGCCTTTCTGACCATTGCTCATGTTAAACCGTTTAAGCGCATAGTTTAAAAGGTGAGTGGCCGAGTGCGATCGCATTAAACCGCATCGCCGACCCTGAAAAAAAAATAAATAGTCCGCAAACACCGCGACGCGAAATCGCGGAGTTACCTCGTCAATGTTCTGCTCGACAATCTCGCCGATTTCCAGCGATTCCACACATTTGCCATACAACACGCTCAGTTTGCCGTCGTGATTTTTGCGAGCACTCTCGACAACAAAAATCGGCTTCTAAACAAAAAATGGAGGGGGCTCAAATTGTCGCCAATCACACACACACACCCCATGCGCCTTTAAAATACCGTAGTCCGACGCTTGGCCGCCTTGTTCGGCGTAAAATTGGCAATTCTCGACGAGAATCGAGCCCGCCGCCGCCGCCGAGGACAACTTCGTCGTCGGTTTGCCGGCCGAGTCGAACATCGCCAAAATTCTCGTCGAAATTTTGGGAAACACTGAGATTATCTCATTCTTTTGCTTCAAATCTTCCACAAACCATATTTTCCGTCAGTTTGAATGCGATAATCGTATTTGCAACGATCGGAATGTGTGGGAAACTCGCGCGAATCGAGTTTCAGCGTGAATTTCGACGCGTTCTTCGAGATTTTCTGCAAAAATTCCAGCCCTAGGAGGGGTTGGGCAGAAACAAAAAAAAAATACCCTCGCCTCATTTCGGTGATATTCGAACGCGATTTGATCGACACGCTTCCCCGCGTTCCTCGCCAATTCCTCGGTTATCGATAGTGGAAGGCCGTGAGCATCGAATAGTGTGAACGCGTCGATTCCTAAAAAAACGAAGAGCGCGAAAATCTAAAAAAAAACAAAAAACAAAATTTCCACCTGAAATCGTGTCCCCTTTGGTATTCTCGACGATTCTGAAGAAAATCTTCTTCGCTTTGTCGACCGTCGTCCAAAATTGGTGATCTTCTTTCGAAATGTGGGCGATGATCGATTGTTGCGAGTCTTCGAGTTCCGGATACGCGAATTTCTAGAAAAACTATCGATTTCTTCTCGTCTTCCCGAGAAAACGATAATTTTTCTTCATTTTATTGCGAGAAATTGAAAATTTTTGCAATTTCCATGCAAAAAAAAAAGCAAAATTAAGCGAATTTTCTAACCGAGCGTAGATTTTGATGAAAAATAGCTCGGAAAAATTGAAAAAAAATTATTTTTTCTAATATTTTCGAGGTCTCAAATCATCCAAAAAACCTTCAGATTTTGTGAATTTCAGTTTGAAAATACCTCAAATTTCTCAAAAAATGCTCATTGAGGCTATAAAACCGCGGGGAAAAGCTTGGCTCACCATGGTATCGACAACAATGGGCACCAAATGTTCGAGTTGTCCTCGCTCGAAACCGAGATGTTCGCTGGACTCGATGAACATTCGCCTCAACATTTTACGGACCACAAAGCCCGCGTCGACTTGATCCGGCACAATTCGATCGGAGATGGCGAACGCGACGGCGCGAATGTGATCGGCGACGAGGCGAATCGCTTGATCCTCGCGTCGATTCAATTCGCCCAAATATTTCATTTTGGACAACTGGAGAATTTTCAGAGATTGTCTGGAACAGAAACAGAAAAAAAACCAACTTCGCATATTTTGGCAATTATCGGCGAAAACACGTCGGTGTCGAAATTCGACGATTTGCCCTGGCACACCGCCAATATCCGCTCGAGACCCATTCCGGTGTCGATGTGGCTTCGCCCGAGCGATTTGATCTCGCCGGTAGACGTCCTTTAAATTGGTTACGGTAGGGTCTCGCCACGATGATTTGTTTTTTTTTTTTGGAAATTGTCTTCCCTCCCCACCTCAATTTGTCCATGAACACAATATTCCAAATCTCGACGACAGAATCGTGGCGATTCACGAGATTTTCGGCATTTCGTGAACCGATTCGATCGAAATGAATCTCGGTCGACGGACCACATGGTCCGCTAGCGCCCATTTCCCAAAAATTTTCGCCGGAAAACGGCAAAATTCGATTTTCGGCGACTCTAGCAAAAAAAATGAAATGAATAGCCAAGTAAAAAAAACAGTGAATACCCGAGTTTCGTCCAAATTCGCCTACACTCCAAATCGGGAGCCAATCCGGACGAGCCGGCGAAATAGGAGACATACAAACGGTCTTGCGGGATTTTCAGCGTCTCGCATAGAAATTTCCACGCGAATTCGCAAGCGTCTTCCTGAAAAAAAATTATTTTCCATTTTTTTTTCAAACTAAAAATCAATATTTTCTATGGAAAATTGCATCGATTTGATTGTTTTCACTCAAAATTCGGTTTTCGGAGAAAAATATTGTGATTTTTTGCAGAAAAAAACGTGAAATCCTATTGAAAATTCTGATTTTTTCGACAAAATGGGCAATTTTTCATTTTTTGAACGGAAAATCATGAAATTGTATTGAAAATTTTCAAAAACAGCTTTTTTTTCTCGAAAAAATTTAATTTTTGCGCTTATCGGAGAATTTCAAGAATTTTCTTTTATTAGGATATGGAAAATCTTTTATTCTATTTAAAAGATATTCCGTTTCGACAAAATTATAGCATTTTTGCTTCATTTTGACAATTTTTCATGTAAAAAAGCGAAAATTCAAACATTTTTCAAAAAAATCCGATTTTCTCCCTCTCAAAAATAATACCTTTGAATAGGCATTATTGAAAGACCAATTTCCCATCATCTCAAAGAACGTGTGATGATGAAAATCCTTGCCGACGTCATCCAAATCGTTGTGTTTTCCGCCGGCCCGAATGCATTTTTGAATATTTGCCAATTTTTGCGGTTTTTCGCCATTCAGAATGATCGGTTTGAACTGAAAAAAAAAACACAACCCCAACGATTTTCGTTTCGCTCTCTTCAAAATTCTCAATTTTCACTTGATTCATTCCGGCGTTTGTGAATAAAACGCTTTCATCGGCTTCATTTGGCTTCAGCGAGGCCGATTTCACGATTTTATGGCCGTTTCTCGCGAAATAATCCACAAAAGTTTGGCGAAGCTGCGAAAAAAAATAGAAAATGTTTTTTTTCATTATTTACGACGGCCGCAAAAAACCTCATTATGGGAAAAATACGATGTGGACGGCGACGAGCTGTAATGTCGACATGTACACCAACGTCTGAGCATCAATTTCTAAACCAATTTTTACGATTTATTCCAGTTTTGAAGCGAAAACGCGAAGAATATAAAAAAACGAAATTACAGTAATACTCCGCTAAAGACCTTAATCGTTTTACTACATGTGCCTTTAATCCAGATACTGTATTAGATGTTTTTTTTAATTTTATTGATGAGTTTTTCCCGATATTTTTTATCTTTGATGGTTTCCGGCTTGATCTATTAACTAGTTAAATATGCAAAAAATGTTGCTTTCTTATGATGGGTTTCTCCAAAATTTGCTAATTTCAATTAAATAATTTTGGTGAAAATAATTGTTAGTAATTTTAAAATTTACATTACAAAACACTGCTAAGCAATAATCAACTCCAATTTGTTAAAAAAAATTCAAAAGAAAAATTTCAATTTTCTTCCTGTTCTCCTTCCGAACTATCAACATTATCAATAGAGCACATTTGCCTCTTCTCAAATTTAATTTAAAAAAATTTAAAACTCCAAATTTTCGAGGGAAAATATCGTTTTCAAGATGGAATGAAATCAAAATAGCGTGGTGTTGAATCGAAACAAGAATCCCGTCGTCAAATAATTCGAGCCAATAAAAACCGTCTTTTTTTTTCGTCATCTTTCAGGCCTCGGCCGGCTGACCGCGGCAAAAATAAACAAACCAGGTTCGTCGTGATCGAAACGAGAAAACGAATCGGAAAACCCTTGCGCCGCACTCTTTTACACTTCATTTGTTGTATATTATTCTATATTAGAATATATGTAGTTAACAAGTCGTCTAACCGTCTAACCGCACTCTCAATCACATGCACTATTTCGCGGAGTTCACACATTATTAATTTGTATGGTTTTTCGTTGATATATAAAAAATTTAATATTTTGTGTTGCAAAAAAAAACACACTCATGATTCCCAAAGCGAAACCGGTCGTCTGCTGCCAACATGTCATTTCGCCGCGGGTTTTTTTTCGCATTTCTCCTCCTCGTGCTGTTTGCGTGTGTTGTATCTTTCTACACGTCGTAGTTAGTTATGAAAAAAAAATTGCTGCTAAAAAAACCGAATCTGAAACTCAAATTTTCGTCCTTATCACTTCGCCGTCGCTTTTTTTTCTGGTCTTGTTGATTTAATGATAAAACTTTCCACTTTATTTGCAGATGTCGGCAAACACCGATGACAATGAATTCGTTGAGCCTGAAGATGGGTATGCCGACGACGATCTTCTCACTTCTGATGATCTTAGCGGTAAATTGTTGACAAATTTTCAGAATTTTCAATTTTTTTTCTAGTGAGCATGTCATCGGGAATGACGCCGTCTCGAAGTTTCCTCGAAACGACCGATTTCGAGTCCGAACTTGGCGGTGTCGAACCATTTGAAGATTCCTATTCCGATATATCATCGCATGAAATCGTGCAAGTGATTGCCGATGGCGATCGAGTTGGAAGGTGAGAAGCAAATAATACAGTGCTCCACATAATTATACGGTCAACAACAAAAATAACAAAACCGGAGTTGCTACATGGGAATACAATTTTGTTTTGGTAGCAAAAGGAATATCCCGAACCATCCAGTTTGGGTCCTGAAGCGAATACGAAATTAACATGACCAACGAATTTTTTTCCATTTTTTTCGAAAAAGTGCGAAAAAAAAATCCACATAATTATACGGTCACTTTTATTTTTTGACCTTTTTTCAATTTTTTTTTTCAATTTTCAAGTACTCGAAAATTTTTTAAATAAACGTTTATTGTTTTCTAGGTATGAGTAGAGGAAAAAAGCTCACAGAGTATGAAAAAGGTCAAATTGACGCTAAATTAGCCCAAGGGCTCTCTCATCGTCAAATTTCGAGAGATATGGGCCGTTCGCAAGACGTAATTTCTCGATATGCGGCCAATCCAGCAGAATATGGCACGAAAAAGTCTACTGGCCGCCCATCTCTCCTTTCGAACCGAGAAAAGCGTAGAATTCTACGCAGAGCATCAAACTCAGTCATCTCCTGTTCAAAAATCAGAAGCGAACTCAAACTTCCCGTCTCCAATGAAACCGTCCGACGGGTTTTAAGCAAGAGCATGTTTATTAAAAACAGGAAAATGAGGAAAGGACCAATGCTGACCCGAATCCACAGAGAAAATCGATTGCAATTCGCCAAAAAGAATCAGCATACTGATTGGACTCAGGTTAGGATTGCAGCTGCACTCTTTAAATTTGGTTTCATATGTCAGGTTATTTTTTCCGATGAAAAAAAGTTTAACTGCGATGGACCAGATGGATTCCGCAATTACTGGCACGATCTTCGTAAACAGAAACTGCGTTATTCCCGCCGAAACTTTAAAGGAGGAGGTGTAATGGTTTGGGCCGCAATCAGTTCACACGGTCGCATCAAATTATGCTTTGTTTCGAAAAAAATGAGTGGCTCCGACTACAGATATACACTGAGGCGTGGTTTGATGCCATTTTGGCACCGAAATCGCAACCGCCAGCTTATTTTTATGCAAGATGGAGCGCTGTGTCACTGTGCTCGTCGAACAATCAAATGGTTAAATGACAGAAAGATCCCAATTTTGAATTGGCCCGCTTGTTCTCCTGATTTGAACATAATCGAAAATGTGTGGGGATTTTATGACAATGTTTCGGACCTCAAAAAAGCGATTATCGCTTCATGGAAACTTGTTGATCAAACACTTCTTGATAATCTATATATATCAATGGATAACCGTATTTTTGATATAGTCAGATGCAATGGTGGTCCAGTTGATTATTAAGAATTGTTCTTTGTTTATTTTTACGTTTTTGAATCGTTTTGCATCATATCTCATTACTGACCGTATAATTATGTGGAAGAAAATTTTCAATTTTTTTGTTAATTTTATGATAAGATTATGTACAATTATTTTTGTAATTTTTTGTTATAAACAGATGAAATGTTGCTAAATGTGGATAATTATTCAATGGGAAGATTTCCCGAAACTTTCAAAATTTTCGAAATTTTGAGAAAAAATCAATTGACCGTATAATTATGTGGAGCACTGTATTTGATATATAAAATAGCAAAAAAATTTCAAAATTCTTTTTTGGATTTTTGCTTAATTTCGCCAATTTAAAATCGACAAAAATAATTATTCTTCATTTTTTTGCAAATCTGGATAAATTTTATCAAATCTTCAGGCCGATTATCGTCGTCTACGCCTATCGACTGCCATCGAGTAAAGAAATTGATCATAGTCGATTATTACGATACATGCAGCATATATTCGACAAGGTTGGTCAAAGGCAACAAAAAAAAACAAATTGCATCAAATTGAAGGTGGTCGAACTCGATTACACGATCGTCTATTTCCATTACGGCCTTCGAAGTCACAACAAGCCGCCGATTCGATGGTTGTTCCAAGCGTACAAGATGCTCGACAGACGGTTCGCGTTTCCGCACCACAACATCCATCATGGTCGACATTTTCAGATTCAAAAAGAACCTCAAAGCGCTCTATGTCGTCCATCCGACAAAATTCATTCGAATCATTTTCAATTTGTTCAAAAGTTTCATCTCGAGCAAATTCGAGAACAAATTCCACTATGTGATGTGCATCGATGAGCTCGAATCGGCGTTGAGTGTCGCGCGATTGAATCTGCCGACGCCGATTCGCGAGCACGACAAAACGTTCGCGCAAGTGAGCACGACGCCCGAAACGCCGCCAACGCAACCATTGCCGACGCAACAATTCGGCGTCCCATTGGAATTGTGAGTTTTGAGGAAATATCCAGACTTAAAAATGATTTTAATCGGGTCTTGACACACAAAAAACGGTTAGGGTCCAAAGGTCAGACTTCCTTCCTTTGTACTTGAGCTCTTCCAACACTCGTCGATCGTAACTGAAAATGAGTTGCTAGAATCTCCCAACTATAATTCACATTTTTGTTTACCTCTGCGGTGAACTCGAGCGTCCGTTTCGTCTCGGCGACGTCCGACGGATTCAGATGCGCAATGAACATCGTCTTCGCCGAGCCATTGCCGAGGAACAGCCTCAGCAGTGCGGTGAGTTTGCTCTCGCGAAACGGCACGTGCGACGACCTCATCATTTGCGCCCGAATGCACTTCTTCAGTGTCGTCAACGATTGATTGATGTTGGTGAGCTCGACGAATCGTTCGCCGGTGGCGCCGCAATCGCGAACGCGCTCCGATCCAGCGAGATCGACGAGCGTCAGTGTGCACTTCGCGTTCTCGCCGGTCGTCGAGTTGATCGATTCGACGTGGACGTCGAATAGCGCGTGCGAGCGCGACGACAACTCGTTGCAGCCGGTCGCCGCTGTCGAACGATGATCGCCGGCGTGCGCGAGTATCACGTCGACGTCTTCGAGACATCGAATCGGCAACTTTTTGACGCTCGGCGCGCTTCCGATAGCGATTTTGAGTTTTTTGCGATCGTCGAGAAGATCGAACACCTCTTCATTGTAGACTTCGACGTAGGAGGCCGAGAATCGAAACTGCCATCCGATGTCGGCGAGATCCTTGGATGACTGCTCGAGTAGGAAACGAATCGAACGCGGCACGACACCTTCATTGTCGGACTCGCCGAACATCGTGAACGTCTTGCCGCTTCCCGTTGGCCCGTAGGCGACCAGACACACGTTGTAGCCATGGAGCACACTCTGGATGAGCTCTTTGATCTCTTTGAAGACGTCGAGTTGCTTCAATGTCGGCGCGAAGACGTGCTCGAATTGATAAGGCTGTCCATTGGGATCCAAACGGACCTCCGATTTGCAGCATACAATTTTCGATAAGGAATCACGAATCCTGACGGCTACCCGAATTTGTCCCTGAACACTTATTCGGTTGTCTCTATAAAAAAAAGGGAATCTCCTAGTACCTTGAGGTCGACCAGCTCGTTGTGCTGCTCGCGAATGATCCGATCCTTCTCGATGAGCTTCTCGTTGAACTCGCTTTTGAGCTCCTGCAGCTCTTTTTTACATCGATCGGCAATTTGCACAATCCTCCTGTCGTGCTCCTTCTTTGTGATCGTCGAATTTTTGTAGTCGTCGAGTTCGGCGCGAAGCCGCTTATTCTCGAGATTCAACAATCGCACCATATCGTTTTTGCTGCTGGTGTGCACCTTGATGGCGGGGGTTGATTCAAATGAATTCGGCATGATCGCTTCTTACCAATGACATCCGTCGCGTCTTGTTGCTGTTATTGTTGTTGTTGTTGTCGATCTCATTGAATTTGTCGATTTGAAGCTGAATATTGGATTTTGGCAAAGAATCGCTAGTCGACGACGCCACCTTCTTCTGAAATCCGCCGATTAGCTGTCGAAAACCGGGCATTTGAACCTCGAGCTCGCCGAGTTTCCTGCTCATTTTCTCGCGATTCGCCGAGCCGATTAGCTTCGAGATTGAGATCGTCGGCTCCTCGTCCGTCATTGTGTTTCTTTTTTTTAATTTGATTCTAGTTCGAGAATTTTCAGAAATGACGGTTGCCTCGTTTTCACGGAATTATCAGTTTTTTTTTGTTGAGAAAAATGAATTTATTATTTCAATTGGGTTACTGTAGAGAGTTGTGGTGTGTGATAGCGCGTCTCGGTGTTTGCGCACAGATTTTTTTGGGACTTTGCGATTTTTCGCCATAAATTGCCGCAAAATCGCATTTTCAGCATTCTGTCGCATACTGAAAGCGACATTCCGCCGATTGTCGAGCAGCTCATCGAATTTCTTGAGAAACATGCACTGGAAATGGAAGGAGTTTTTCGAAAAAGCGCAAATATTGGAAGTATTAAGCGATTGCAAGATCGGATAAATAAAGGTAACCATTTTAAAACGTTTTTTTATTTTCTCGAGTTTCAGGCGAAAAAGTGGATTTTGAGAATGATGCGGAATACAAGGACAATGAATATGTGGCGTGTTTGCATGCATCGGTTCTTCTGAAGACGTTCTTCAGAAGTCTTGGAGAGCCGCTTACGACGAACGCATTGTACCCGAAATTGGCGCAACTTTCCGGTAATTTAAACGAAATTGAGATCTCTCGCGCAAAATTTAAAAAAAAACTACAAAATTCCCTTTCTTTTTGTTTTGCCTACTCGATTCAAACCGAAAATTTTCAGATGTGCCGAAAAACGAGAAAACCGCCGCCGTCAAAGAATTCGTCAAACTTCTGCCACGTCCCAACTATCTCCTTCTCAAGACCATTGTTCGATTTTTGACTCGCGTCGCCGAGCACAGCAAAGTGAACTTGATGAACGCCAACAATTTGAGCGTCGTGTTCGGACCGAATCTCACATGGCCCACCGATCAGCAGGTCCCAATATCGCAATTGAACAACCTTAACAATTTTTGCTATCGGCTAATCGTCGATTACGACATCATATTCGATATTTAATTGCATTTCTTCTATCTATTTATCTCGAATAATATATAATTTAAACAAAGTCTCGATGATGGATTATTTCTCTGATTTTTTGACAATGACTGGACCAACGTTGTCGCCGGTTTCCTTGTTGTGAGCGCCATGGCTTCCGTCGCAGTACGGGAACTTCTTGCTCTTCCAGCAACGGCAGAACGCCTTTTTCTCGCCGATGTCCTCAATGTCGACGCTGTCAGCGACCTTCGCCGAATCCAATTGAATGATATTGTTGATTCGAGCTTTACGCTGAGCGACTTTGTAGCCAATCTAAATTTGAAAGAAAAACTTGTAGAGCTTCATCGAATAATCTCTTAATACTCACGATGTATCCAATAAGCGCTCCACCGGCGAGAATCGCCACCGTCGAAGCGATGCATTTTCCAGAAGCTTGACCAGAACTACACGTCATTTTCACTGAAAATTTTGAGAAATACATTTTTACAGAATTGGAGAAAAAGAAAGAAACAGGGCGAAAATAAAAACGAGAAGCAATTGACCAATTTCGGGATTCGCCGTCGTCGACAACGAGCACGCCGGATCATGCGTGAGAACCAGACTACAAAATCCGCCGATCGTCATTTTCTAGTTAGTGTCTAGTTGGAAATTCCGACGAAAATGAAATAGAATTGTTTTCTCACGCGTTGGAACGAGGAAAAATAAATGACGAGCGCGGGAGAAGTGGGAGATAAGAAGATGGGCGGCAACAATAGAAATCTGCAAATTCGTTCATCGATTGCGAAACACTGTTTAAACATCGACGACAAACTACACAAATTTGAAGTTTTTCTCTATTTTCATCCTTCAATATTATCAAAATGTAATTCTAAAATTATTCGAAGTCGAAAAAGTTTTAAAAACAAAAAAAAGAAAAAAAAGATTCAAAATTTGAAAATTTTCTGAATTTACAAGCCTTATTAATTTTCTCCATTTAAAATTGACAAAATCAAATTACATAAACACGTTTGTTTTATAAAAATTCGAAAAATTAAAAAAAATTCGTGTTGCCCGAAAACAAGAAGTGTCGTCAATTATAGCGCAACCTCGACGCAAATTTGCAGACCAAAATGAAATATATTATTTTTTCAAAATATTATCCGCTGAAAACGTGTAAAAATAAAATAAAATGCCAAAATCGAAAAAAAAGTTTATTAATTTCCAAAAAAACGTGAATTAAACGCAAAAATTTTGAGGATTGCAGGGTCGGTAGGCTGTTGAAGGGAGGGATGAAGGCAAAAAAGGGAATATTTCAAAAAAAAAAAGAGAGAAAAATACACAGAATAATTGCCTAATCTAACCTACACGTGAAAAATCATCGAAAAAGGACATCAAGAACGAAAAAAAAAACAAAAACAACAATTCTAAATTCAACTATCCGCTATCGATATGTATAATATGAATATTGCTCTATGCCGATTTGTCTTGCTCGAAAGACAACACAAATTTGAAAAGCTCGTAAACCGACCATGATAAAGCCGTCGCGGGAACCTAGAAAAAAAAAACAACGTCGATTGTTGTCGATTTACGGAACCACTTCATTGGGTCTCACCTGGAAAATGACTCTCGCCTGTAGTCCACACGCGAACCCATTAATTCCGCGCTGTGTGTAGATCGTCCGCACCGCGTCCGAAATTCCGCGATATCGATACCTCGCCTATAATTGGGCCAATTATATGAACTATTGGAGTAATTATAGATTTTCTCGGGCAAAAATTACAATTTTTCTCATCTTTTCATAACCTTCTTCACAAAATCGTTATTTTTTTTTCATTTTCGCAAATTTGCACATTCCTCACCTGTAAAAAGATCCGCCTATTGACCGGATCAGTTTCCGCCGATTGTTGGGTGTTCAGAACCGTCTTCACACAATCCATTGGTGTCGTCAAAGCCGCCGCCAATCCGCCAGCGAGTCCACCAGCGATCAAATGCGACTTCGGATCATATTTGTGCTCCGGATTCAGAACCTACAAAACAGAAACCAAAATGAGGTGCCATCATTTTCTTTCGGCTTCTAACATGCTGCCAAAACTCGTAGTTCATAAAATGAATCGTCTGAAACGGAATATTCATCGCCAACTGTGTCGTATACGATCGATAGAACGCCGCGATGCCTTCTCGATTATAAATGCACCTAACGCATTCCAGCGACGATCCATATGGCGAGAACGCCATTTGCATTCGCTGTTTGACAACCTGAATGGATCATATTGCCATCGAGCAATTGAGGCTACGCATCACCTCCGCCGGATTCATGACGGCGTCGTGAATGAGCGTCGCGACGATTCCCGACACTCCATACGCCCACGTGTTCATATGTCCGCTCGTGTTGCCCGTCAAATAATTTTTCAGCATCTCGTACACCGTGAAATAGAGTGCATGCGCCGGCATCGAGCCAGCCGCCACCGCGTTCACACCGCGCAACGGTCGAAGCCAACCCTCACTGAAATCAATCTATCGCGTGCACCAACAAAGTCCGCCGACGAACCGTTTGACAATGCTCATCAGCGAGTGTACCGGCGTCGGACATTTCGTTTCGGGACACGGACACAACGATTGCATTCGCGTTTTGACCGAATCGAACGGGAACATCACACAGTGCTCGACAGCGCCCGCCAATGCGCCGGCGGCCAAATGGACCTGCAACTGGAAACGGTTTCAACGATTCACGACCGAAATTTCCAACTTTTTTCGGTGAAAAAAATGCTCAAAATCTCAAACTGACTCATATTTCACGATAAAATATCAATTTTACGGTGCAGTATAGATTTTGTAGAAAAAATATTAAAATATTACTTTGGAGCAGTAAATAATGAATTTTTCGGCTAACAAAAATTTTAAAACTAATTTTTTTCACTAAAAAATTCCATATTTAATCAAACAAATAAAAAAAATTAAATCAATAAATCATACCGGAATACTATGCGTCGGAAGCGACTCATATTCATCTTCTCCAACTCCAGTCATTGCCCAGAACCAATTCTGAAAAAACCAAATGATATTTTCCAAAAAAACTGCGGCAATTTGACGTGACGAAAAAAAAAGATAATAAAAACCGGCGTGGAATTACCGAATCTTCTCGAAAACTTTGAAAGAGCCGTAAGTTTTTTTTATAAATATGTGTGACAAAAAAAAGAAAACAACAAAATCAACAAAAACAAAAACGATTCGTAAACGATGGATTATGGGTCGGCGAGTCGGCGAAACACGGCCGACCACTTTTGTCCATTATTTCTCGTCACTTTCTGCCCTTCTTCGGTGCTCTCATAAAGGAGTCCGACTACCGGGTCCGCCTCGAGCTCCTGTTCGGTGAGCCTCTCGTAAAGAGGGTGCTCGGTGAGATGTTTCACCATCCAATCATGAAGATCCTTTACATCGGTGATGGTGTAGATCAAACCTGGAAAATAATATTTATAGGGGAATTTAGTTGGCCAATGTCGAAAGCCGTTATCTACTTTAAGGTTGGGTCTCGCAACGAAAAAGTAGTTTTTAGAAAATTTGATCAAAAATCACTAGCAAAACAAATAGTTCATTTTTCATCAAAAGTTTTTTATTAATAGTTTTTTTAATCAAGATTGATGTCTTAAAGCGATAAAATAACATTGAATCCGATATTTGGCGGAAAAAATAATCGAAAAATTCAATATTTTTTTAAAAGAACAAATACTAGAAGAATGATTTTCAAGAAAATCTGAGGTTTTGTGTAAATTTGCATCATGCCAAATAGATAAGCGCATGAAAATGACGAGAAATACATTTTAAAGCCATATTTCTCTCAATTGTGAACTCAAACAGTTAAGACAAACATCAACAGTTCAAAAAAATTGCGGCAAACAGAAATCACAAGAGATCTTTTGATTCGCCTCGTGGCCGGCCAGTGATACGCGTTATCAATCATGAATCATTGCAAGACGACCAACCTTGAGGCCTTAGAACATAGGCGTATTCGGATAACAATGATGGTGTGATGATCCTCCATTTATGCTTTTTGTTCTTAAAATGCGGGTCCGGAAACAAAAAGAACATTTTTGAGAGCTGATGCTTATGAAAATAATTCTCCATGTATTTCATCGCGTTCGTTCGAAGGCATGCGATGTTTCTATAAGCTCCGGTATCCTCGTGATGTTTTCTTAACGCTTTAATCTTCTCGCACACAAAATCTGAAACCTATGATAGATTTTTTCAAAATGTTTTCTACGAAATATGCTACTTTTACTCGAATCTCCATTCCAACCATCAAAGTGTCTGGGAATAGCGGTGATAGCCTCATCAGAAGCCCACCATAACCGCAGCCGATGTCTGCGAATTCCACAGTTCTGCCAATTGCGAAATCACCGTAAAGTTTGGTCCAATCCATTCTAAAGTTACATAAATACCTTTAAAAATTTGTTTTTTTTTTTCAATATACTTGTCTGGAGAGATTGGATAATCGATATCATGATCGGAATGTGGATTAGAATGCGCTCGTTGTCTAAAATTTAAATTTTTTCATAAAAAGAAATTTTTTGAAAAAACAAACCTATAGAATTTCTTTTGCGGCAATCCTGGAACGGTTTCGCACGTTGGTTTAGGATCAAGCTCCATCGCCAAGCTCATCTAAAATTTAAAAATGAAAAATTCAATTCGATGATCTATGAAAAAATAGAGAAAAATATAAAATGTGAGAAAAATGAGAGGCACGCGAAACACGTCAAGCCTATTCAAAATGCGCTAGTCAATTTCGCTGCTAGCGCAAAACGCGTTCTACTGGTTTGTGTCTGCGTTTCCGGCGAACCCACACTCATTTCACCGTATATTCAGCATAATAGATTCCGAGAAGCAAGAAAAAAAACGCCACAGCTGTCGACTGTGTTATTGTTATATTACTATTGTGCTTTCAATTGCTACAAGGTTTTCCAGACATATTCCGTATTTCAGGCCGAGCAAATGCGCTGAAAATGAGGCCGTGTGTTTGTTTATTCCGCAATTTCTCGCCGAAACGTCTTATCATTTTTGCGGTTCTCGCCACCATCATCTATGTCGCATTATTAAGGAATTGGGCTCTCGAGGAGCAACAAAGGTAGTTTGCCATCACAAAATTGGCGCTGCAAGACAATTTTTTTCGTTCAGATTCACAGCATCTCTTAACGACGGCGTCAAAATCGAAAAGCATATCGAAACAGCCACTAATCGAAATGTAGTTTTGAAGTTGGTTTTCAAATTCTCGAAAGTATAGTTTTTTTTTGTTATTTGCAGAGAGAATATTGCCGAAGATCCGGTTGAATTGGAATTGGCCCGACAGACAATAACGTTGTTCGCAATGGATGAAACATCAACACAAAGAAAATCGATAAAAATGTAAGAAAACTTTTAATTTCACGATTTTTGATTTCGTTTTCAGAGCCGACGAGGGTGGCTCTTGTCCGCAAGTCGAATCGATCCCGGACCTTCAGGGCGCCCTTCCTCAGGCGGTCCTGCTCATTCAGAATCTGCAGGAGGGCGAAGTTCATGCAGCTCATCCCGAGATCCAACCAGGTGGCTCGTGGAAGCCAAACGATTGCAAAGCTCGCGATAAAATCGCCATCATTATTCCGTATCGCGATCGGCAGACCCATTTGACGAGGCTTATCGATTTTCTAATTCCGATTCTTCAGCGACAGCGTCTTGATTTTCGATTCATAGTCACTGAGCAGGTCGAATAATTATTTTGTCTAATTAATTGAACGATTAAATTGTAGTATGGAAGCGATCTATTCAACAAGGGAAGGATTATGAATGCGGCTTTCACATTCGCCGAGAAGCTTGGCGTCGATTGCGTCGTTTTTCACGATGTTGATATGTTTCCACAGGTGATTTTAGTGGATGGCAATTTTTAAAGGCGCAATACGGTGTTCCGTTTTTTTGCAGAACGACAAAAACCCGTACTCATGCCCGCCAACACCTCGTCATCTCGGCGCGTTCGTCAGCAATCTCGGCTATCAATTGTGGTATAAAGAAATTGTGGGCGGCGTTTTGGCGGTATCAATGGGCGATTATCGCGCCATCAACGGCTACTCGAACAAATTTTGGGCGTGGGGTGGTGAAGACGACGATATGGGTGTGATTTAAAAAAAATGAAGCTCAAAAAAAAAGAACAAATAATTGTAGGCCAACGAATTTTGTCGCTAAATTACACTATTGAGCGGCCTGATCCGAAGACTGGAAGATACTCGATGCTGAAGCATGTGAAGCGAAAACGAACGGCGCCGAAACTGATGTAATCGATTTCGGGTTTGACGTTGATGGCGCCGATTTTCAGATACGCCCTTCTTGGGGACAGTGCGAGTCGTGTCGCCTATGACGGACTCAATGAGACAAACCAATGGACGATTAGGAAAGTGACGACGAGACCCCTGTACTATCATCTGTATGTCGATGTTGGGCCGGCGCCGGACCAATGGAGAAACAACGCCTAGTTTGGGTCGATCCGCCGCGCATATCAAATGATTTTCACTTGCCGTTCGATTTCTGTTACTATGGGTATAAGACACGCACAATATTAAATATTATTAAAAATAATAATAATAATACGCATTTTCGGTTTTATTTGTTGTTACTGATGGTAGCAAATATGCGAGAACATTTAGATAGTTTTGAATGTCGACGTCTTCTGGTTTTCCCGTTGTGGTGGTGATTGTTGTTGTTGGTGCTTCAGATGTGCTCGTTGAAGAAGATTCGGATGTTGATGGAGTGGTTGTTGTTGGCAACGATGACGAAGATGTTGAAGAGAATTCCGCTGTTGAAGATGTTGAAGAAGATTCCGCTGTCGTTGGTAATGGCATCGAGCTGGAACATGGTGTACGCCAAAAGAAAAATCAATGCAACCCACTCGTTGTTCGAATCGGCGAAAATGTTGGGCACTTTTCCAATGTGCATTAGGAATGAATATCCCAACGCGAAAAGCGCCAAAATTGCGATGAACATGAAAAACGCCGAGCACATACACCAAATTGTCGTCACGTCGAGACCGCGCCGATTCGGCGGTGATCGATCTCTCTGCCGACGGCGTCGCATCAGCTCAACTCGTTCCATCTCCTCCTCGCCGTCCAAAGTGCCTGCAACGCATACACATAGAGCCGCAAACTGTCGCCGTCAATCAATACCGGATAACGTGTCCGGCTCTTTTTCGGTGTCTCGACTCCACGCCGGCGTCTCTGCGTCGGGTTTGAGAAGCGATTCGGTGTCGAGATTGACGTCGTCGCCTTCTCTGCAATTGCCGCCCAATTGCGTTTCGCGAGTTGATCTACCTTAAAGGCGCCGGTGGTTTCGGCGGTATTCGGCTCACCGGCTCGAGACCCTCATATTGATTCTCATCGGTTTGATGTTTTTTTGTTTTCATCGATTTTCGAAAATCTTTTTTCAATTAGAAATGAGCCATCAACTCAACGACGTCGCAACGCTCTCGCGTGACCCACAATGCGTTTTTTTTCGCGCGAATTTTGCAGCAAAAAAAATGTTGAAATTGCTCGAAATGTTGCTCATTTTTTCAATTGTTCCCAATATTTTCAATCTGAAATGTTTTCATCGTGAGTTTCTCAATCCACAACAATTTGCCTAATCCTGATAGTTTCAGATGAGCGGGACATTGTGACGAAAACTGAAACCGATTTCGACAAAACGGAATGTGATGAGACAATCACAAAATGCCAAAAGTGGGCAAAAGTTGGTGAACAATTTTGAAATTCCCAAAAAATTTTAGGCATACCACATTAATTGGAAATATTATTCATGGATGTGCCGACGAGATGTATACAAATGTGAGCATGCCAAAAAAAATAATCGCAAAATTTTTCCTTCTTCGACAGAATTCGGCTCGAGAATGCTTTGTGGTGTATAATGGCGAGATTTGCTTATGTCCGACGGATTTGTGCAATTCGACGCCGATTCTCAAATTTGATCTGCTCTCCATTGTTTTAGTTTTGTGCTATTTTACCTGAAAATTTCTGCCTGCCTTGTTTTTTTAAGGCAGACTTGAAAGTGGATAAAAATTGAGGCGATGATTGCCAAAAATATTCCCCGAGTCGAAAACTGTAGGTGGGCGCATTTGAAAAAAAAATGGACGAAGCAAACGCCAGACAATAATGACCCTGCCTCATTAAATAAATAATTGCACTTTATTACTATCACAATTAATTTTAAGACATGAGCCTAGATTATTACTGGATGCGTTCCATGAGAGTTTTTACCGCTTTATCGACTTGAGCCCGCGTTTCCGTGTAGTCCCATAATGAGCAAAAAACCACATTCGAATTGTCGATGCGCTCCTTATTCGTTATCTGCGACGCCATTCTTGCGTTCGCCTGCTCCTCGCTGACATTGTCGCGATCGACAACACGCCGAATCGTCTCCTCCGGTGGAATGAAGACCGTCCACACTTCGGGCAGCTGTCTATGCCAGCCGGCTTCGATGAGAGCGGCGGCTTCGATCACGGCGACTTTCGAAGTCGACTGCTCGATCAGCTTCATGGCGCGTTCTTGAACAACAGGCCACACCAATTGGTTTAATTGGTGAAGTTTCGCCTGAAAATTGTTGGTTTGGACCAAAAAATGAATATTTTCATACGGAATCTCCGAAAACGATGCTTCCGAGCTTCTTTCGATCGACAACTCCATCGACGACCACATCAATTCCGAACGTCTCGCCAATTTTCTGACACAAGACACTTCCCGGCTCATAGCACGAATGAGCAAGTTTATCGCAATCGATCACATCGAATCCATGCTTTTGCTTGAGATATTTGGCAACACTCGATTTGCCCGATGCGATTCCGCCAGTCAATCCGATAACGTATGGCCGCCTCTCGAAATGCTTCGGTGCTCGCAAGTATGTTCCGAGCGCCTCTCTTCGCTTTGTCGACGAGCTTATTTTGGTCTCGTTGAGAATTTCATCGACGCCTTCGACTAATTCGACGACAATCACGTCCAACTGTGGCATTCCTTTTTCATCGCGCTTCCGATTCACAGCATCTGCTCCTTTAATTGTCTCTCGGCTCACAACAATCGCTTCAAGATCTTCCATGCGAGTCGACGATCCAAAAGGATCAACGATAGGCTCGGTGATGCATTTGACGTTGAATGTGATGTCTTCAACAAACTCGGCGACCTTTTCCATTCGATATTCAACCGGCTCGATCATCTCGTAAAGAGATTTCTCTAAAAAAGGAATCAAGTGGTCAAAAATGAGTATCTGCAGCTCACTCAAAATCATATTCTTTTCTGTAACTCCAACAACAACCCTCTCCGAGGCCATCTCGGCTGCCTTAGTCAGTAGAACCTTGTGGCCATTGTGTAATCGATCAAACGTTCCGCCCAGCACAATATTTTTGTATTTCGGAGTAACTGATTGGGTTTCTTCAGGATTTACATCTCCAATCAACGCATAATCTATATTTTATAAATATCAGCGATCGAATTGATTTCGTGCCAAGCCTTGTGGATTCTGAGCCTTCGTTAACACACGCACGTCTAATTTTGGGCATTTGGAGGATGAATAAAGATAAATTTTTCCAACAACATCGTCAGTTCTTGGTTGATCCGGATTAAATCTTTAATACAATTTTTATAATTCTCAAATAGCAAATGGAAATAACCTTATATATAGTTTATTGGAAACTGCGCTCGCTGCTGTTGTTAGAAGCTCCTTGAGATTTCCGATATTTCGCGGGGACAATGCGAGAAGCCCAATTTTTCCGGTCATCGGTAAGTCGAAAAACTTGGATATCTATCGTTTGACCGATGATAAATATATTTTCTTGAGCGGACATGCACGGACTAGATTAACAAAAGTCCACGGTCACGGCCGCGAAAATTCAAAATAGTAAAAGGGGTTTTACGCTGTCAGAAATCGTTGAGAATTGAGAACTAAGCAGAAAAACCATTTGTTTCGAATGAATACAAACAAAATGCCCCTAATACGGTTAGAAAATGTGCAATTTTTCGTGTCGTGTTTGCAGATTCGAGGTACTCGGTCATCACAAAACCAATCGGATCTGTTCCGAGCATATCCAAAAAACTGATAATTTAAAAGAATAGCTTTTAACATATAAGCTGAGTGTTTGTCGCGAAATGAAAATTTTATTTGAAGGCCCTACAATTCTGAAATTTGATTCCCCAATTTGAAAGCTTGACCGAAATCGCCTGACTTTCGGCAAATTGAACAAAATCGTCGAGGCCAAAAAGCGATTCTTGAAACGCATTTATCTGTACGGGCGGCCATGTAACACGACAATCTCATGGGTTAATAGACGACGCGAAGCGAGGCATTCACTTTCGCCAAAAATGGTCACCCAAGGTATCAACGTTCTTTTCTTTGTTGAAAAAAAAATCAGATTTACAGCATTGAGAACGATTTTAAGAGATGTTGCCAAAGAATCTGCTAAAACGATGCCCGGATTTCGATTTTTAATGTTCATCTACATTGCCATGTAAGGGCATTTCAAATTTTTCTCCTCAAGCTTTTCATTCAGAAGCCGCAACAGTTTTGATTTTTTCCTCAACAAATTCATCGGTTTTCTGTGCACGAAATTTATCGCGACCACCATTTTCGATACCGATTTTGCCTATCCTTATTTGGCGATTGTTTGCAACATTTATATTCATTTGTTTGTAAGACAAACTCGATCTGATCGACTATTCGCTCTTTTTCTTACCGTTGACAGTGTTAAGCAGCTTTTTGATATTGTTGAGCAATTTTTGGAATTTTACGAGTGATATTGTGTCCCGTGTCATAAAAATTCCAGTTTTTGAGTCTACTTATTCCATTTTTGTGCTCACCATTGCTCACATCACACTAAAAAGGGTACGTGTTGCTACAGTATCTGAATCTTTATTCTATCACGGAAATACCAAAGAAGATTCAACAATTTACAATAAAGTTTGACGACTATTCAAATTTGAATTTTAGGCGTAAAATTGTTTACATCTAATATTGTGTGCGCCTTTGAAATGATTACTGTATTTTTTTTTAAGTTTTCGCGATTTATCATTTTAAATCCGGTTTTGTGCAAGTTTTTCCCCTTTTTTTAAGTAAATTTTTTTAATAAGTCATATTTAAACGTCAACAATACATTTTAAAGGTAACAATTAAAACATTCTATTTTTTGCGATATAACACACACGCATTTTTCATTTTCATTTCATTCCTAAAAATTTGTTCTCGTATTTATTTGACTCGTCTCGTTCACCACTATTAGCCAGAAATAAAAAGAACGCAATATGCTAATCACAAGTATCAAAGATTTGCTGAACTCGCAAATCAACTGCTCGTCGCCGCATCACGATCTCGTCGTTTATCCAAAGTGCTCACCGATGGGCGGCGTGGAATCGGTTTGAAATTCGATGTTTCAGATGGATCGTCTTCTATTCGGACGTCAATTATAAGAAGCCGTGCTTCGTCAAGTTCTTCATTCAAAATCGCGATCGATTTCCCGTCGTCTACACGATCAAATCAAAGGTTTCCGTCATGGTCCCAAAAAAATTTTTGATTTTTTCTTTTTCAGCAAAAACTCTTCAAAATAATGGATAGCAGTTGCGGAATTCTTCAGCCCGGCGAGAAGAAGACGTTCAAAGTATTTGAGACGTTGTTGAGATTCTGAAACTCTCATTTCAGCTTTACCTTCTCGCCGCTGATGATTGGCCTCTGGGCGTCAATGACTACGTTCACAAACATCTGAAGCTGGCGATCGAGAATCTCCGCATCCCCTACAACATCAAACCAGAGAATAAGCTTGAGAGTCAGACGATCGCCAAAAATATTTGGAAACGCTCAATAACTGAATGGCCGATGGAGAGGATGTACACAAAAATAAGTGTAATGCTCGAAAAATGCGAATGAATTGCTTTATATAGACCGTTAGAGTACCCAAAAAAAAAACCAAGGAAATACCAAGAAAACTATCACATGAATGATTAGAGCTCTTCGTGCTTCGACGCCTTATCGGGATCGTCGCACGCGAGCGGGGTTCGGAACACATAGTGGTATTCGCATTTCGCCGGCTCGGTGACTTCGGCAAGATCGTGATCCTCGCCGCATTCGATCACCACCTCTGTCGATCGTTTCGGACCATTCCAGCATTGTTGGCCGTCGGTGTACATCTGTTTGGCGTATTTGTTCGAGCCGATCGTCACCCATTCTTTGAACCTTCTAAAGTCATTCAAAAAAATTGGAATAGAAGCGTTGATTTCAAGGCTTACCCAAGACTTGTGCCGCCGTAGGCTCCCGTGTCCTTCTGCTCATTGTTTCCGAACGGGCAGAACGTGTAAGTGTATTGTTGGACGTTGCGCTCGAAGCATTTGCCTTTGACAGCCACCCACGCGAAATCCTCTCCATAATCCGCTGTGGCGAACTCTTCAGCTTCTCTGAATCAAGACAATATTACCAAAGACCCCTCTGTCTCTCCAATAATCCGACGAATGCCTAACAAGGAAAATCCTACCGGATTTTATTATCAATGTCTCGAACTTTGTCATTGAGCTCGTCGAATTTCTTCCTAGCTTCTACGGCGGCTTCACTGGCCGCTTGCGTTTCTGGTGGATACGGCGGCATCTTTTCATCATCCTCTCCACCATCCTCATTGTGCTCCTCCTCCTTTTCCTCGTCATGTCGATCTTCATCAGCAATCAGGTCGTCGTTCTTCTCAGCTTCCAGATCCTTTTCGAGATCGCGATCCCGATCATAGGTGATCTTCTGGCCATTCAGACGACTATACATATTCGAGTGGAAGTATTCATAGTCAGCTTCATCTTAAAAAAAAATAGACTTCTGAAGTGAAATAGTTTTCTTTGATAGAATTATACTTATTGGAAGATAGATCATCGCCTCATCATCGGAAACCTGAGCATCGTTATTTGTGTCAAGATATTTGAGCATTTTCAGCTCATCCAATGTGATCTTCTGATCCTCATTCTTATCCAACTCCATGAAAAGCTGCGCGGATTTCAGCTTCTTCTTCTCCTCCACAGTTTCCATCCATTTTTTGCTGTGCTCGTCTTGAAGCTTCCTCTCCAATTCCTCGGCGGCCTTCTTCGCCTCTTCAAGTGTCTTCAGCTCCGGCTCGAGTGCAATCTTCTCCTGCTTCAGCGGTTCGACGTTGCGAAGCTTCTCGTCGCGAAGCTCAAGACCCTCACGCGAGAGCTCTTTTCGTTTCGCGTAGCCACGACGAGCGACCGCTTCGATTCGCTCGCGCTCGATTTTCGCCGCTCGGCCGAGCTCCTCGCAAATGTTGGCGCAACTGACGCCGCCGTTGTACTCGTCGCTTCCATCGCAACAATCTGGAAAATTCAAACATTTGCCTACATTGATTCGTAGTTGAATTTGAAAAAACGAATACCGCAATTAAAAAAATTAAATTTCGGGTCCAGTTTTGGAAAACAAATCCTAAAAATTATTCTATTACCATGACAAAAATTGCATAATTGTGGACCATCAAACGTTTTCGAGGCAGTAATTTAAATTTTGATAAATCGTGGCAATTTTATAGATATAAACTTTTTTTTTAAATTATTGTCATTGAAATTTATATTAGACACAAAAATCAACACACTTTTTGTAATTTTCAAAAAATCTTTGATATTTTCGTACCGCAAATTCCGTCATTTACGCGATCCGACGGCACAAAATCGCCGGTGTGGCCCTCATTGCGACAGAAAAATTGGCCGTTTTGGCACGCCGATGTTCCCGGCTCATCGCTTCCGTCCAAACAATCGCAATAATCATCGTTCAATTGCGAGTAGAGGATTGTTCGTGTGCCATCGAGACACGTGAAATGATTCAACTCGCGCCCGGTTGGCTGGAATAGCGGCAATTCTGAAAATACTTGCGACAATTTGTTTTCACGAAAATCACGTCGTTGAGGTTTACGTGAACGCGGCACGCCTCGAACTTCCTTCAATTCGGTTTGCTGAGTGCCGAAGACGAATGGGATTACCGCGACGAGCAGTAATCGATGTAGCATTGCGAAAACTGCAAACATATAAGTTTAAAAAAACATAAATATATGCACCTTTAATTTAGTAACACGTAAAACAAACTTTTTTCTTTTCCTATTAAAAACGGCTAAAAATTAGCAAATGCAAATTTGCAACATAAAATTGGTCCCGCAAATGATGCAAGTGCGCTCCATCGTACTAGGGCCCAAGCATTTATCTGACGTGTGCTACATATGTGGCAAAATTCGGTCCCGAATCGCCAAAAAACGAATTTCATTTGAATTTGAGACTCAAATTTTCTTGTGTCTTATTGCAGGAATGCGGTTATATTTCGCGATATTTCTAGCTGCCTACCTCATCGACTTGGCGCAATCGGGCCGCGATTTTTACAAGATTCTCGGTGTGCCGCGAAACGCGAACGCGAATCAAATTAAGAAGGCCTATCGGAAATTGGCGAAAGAATTGCACCCGGATCGAAATCCCGACGATGAGAACGCCAACGAGAATTTTCAAGATTTGTCGGCGGCCTATGAGGTTTCGTTTCGTTTCATTTTTTTTTTTGATTCCACAATAATACCCGTGTTTTGCAGGTTCTTTCTGATAAGGAGAAACGCGCCACCTATGATCGATATGGTGAAGAAGGTGTCGCCAAAATGGGTGGCGGTGGTGGCGGACACGATCCATTCAGCTCGTTCTTTGGCGACTTCTTTGGTGGCGGTGGTGAGCGGGAAGAAGGCACGCCAAGGGTAAGAAAATATTATTGAAAATTTGAAAAAAAAATTTAAAGACATTGCGAAACATGTTATTTATTTTAAAAAATTTCGAAATGTTTTTAAAAAGATGATGAAGTAAAAAATGTGGTAATGCAGAAAATTAAAAAAAAAAAGAACAAATATTATTTTTCTTTTTTCATTTTGTCTGCATTATTACTCGAAAATTGTAGTTTTGAAAAAAATTTATTTATTTTTATTTTAAAAAATGGCAGAATCAATTTTTTGTCTTCAAGTTTTTTGTTTAAGATAGTGAGAAAAGAAAAAGTCGGTTTCGGAAAATGTAAAAAAAAATGAGGCTTTCTGATTTTTTGCTTTTAGATTTATGAAGTGTGCATATTTTTCATACCTGCAACAATGTGTAATTTTTAAAATAATTTTTGGCATGAATTACTAAAAAATGACTAAAATCAGCAATTTCTTTCTGAAAAAAAAAACAATGACGGAAACGGTAATAGTGTTTTTTACTCGAATTTCGCAGGGCGCCGATGTCGTTGTCGATTTGTTTGTGACGCTTGAAGAGGTCTACGTCGGCCATTTCGTACAAATCAAACGGCGAAAAGCGGTGTACAAGCAGACATCGGGCACACGCGAATGCAATTGTCGGCATGAGATGAGAACCGAACAAATGGGAATGGGAAGGTTTCAAATGTATCAGGTTTGTTGCAATTTTGGTTCTTTTTTTAATGCAATTTATGTTTTCTCAGGTCAAAGTGTGCGATGAGTGCCCGAATGTGAAGCTTGTGCAAGAGAAAAAAACATTAGAGGTTGGATTTTTCTCGAAATTTTTGAAATTCGTTGATCTTGAAATTTCTTTCATATTTTTCTGTCGATTTGCCAATCAAAATTCCAAAAATTGAAACTTTTTTTAATTGGCAATTTATAGTAAAATTTCAATGAAGGCAAAAAGAAATAAATGTAAAATTTCTAATTACAAAAAAAAAATGATAGGAGAGGTACGTATTTGAGATCAAAAATCTAAAATTGAAAAATGAATTTCTATAAATGGATGTGGCGGTAAAATTGTTGCGAGAAAATATTTTTTGCCATTGTTTCTCACAAAATTTTCCACTTTCTGCCGTGCTGGCGATATCGCGATGGGGGGGGTTTCATTTTTCAATTTCTTATCTATCTTCTATGATATTAATTATGCTTTTTGGAAGGTTAGACCCGTCAAAATCGTTCATTTTTCCAATAAAAAAATTCGATTGAAATGAGAAAATCAAACAAAAATGCGATGATTCATCGTGATTCACTCGAAAACGAAATAATTTTTTTCCCGCGTTTGTCTAGGTCGAAATCGAAGTCGGAGCTGATGACGGACACACGCAAGTGTTTCACGGTGAAGGCGAACCGCACATCGAAGGCGATCCCGGAGATTTGAAGTTCAAAATTCGATTACAAAAACATCCCAGGTACAGTAATCCATGTTGTATAGGATGGAGTACCGTATTCACTTTGTGTCTCATTTGGAAAAAAAAAAAAGTTGGGACCTATATGGTCATTAATCACCACCTAGTTTCGAAGAGAGCTCCAGAATTCTACTATGCCCTTATTGAACATGGTTCATGTCCCTTTAAAGTCTAATTCTTTTATTCTTGTGGGCTTCCAGTAGGCTCTCTTTAAGCAAATTTTTATTCGTTATGGTCTTTTTTTTTTTTTTTCTTTGGGGAACCCCGATTCGTGGAAAACTAGAATCCATATGAGACCCATTCGAATTTGATCATGCGCCTTTCAATCACCGATTTTATTCCAACGGATATCTGGCCCCCATTAAAAACTGTTGATCTCGATTGAACCCATTCCCTGTCATGTCCCTTTAAACCAATAATGTTGAAATAGGCATTTTTTGCCTCTTCTTCTTCGTCTTCGTCTTCTTCTGCTGGTGACTGACTAGTCGAGTGTGCCTCAACGTGTTTACTCAACTGATGAGCAGCCAGCCGACAGAGCACGCAAGCCTCTTGACAAGAACGCAGGCGGGCGAGCAAGCAGCACGGAATGAAATACGACGATTTCGGGAATGACACCTGCTGCTTTCCAAATTGCACTACTATCTCTTCGACACATTCACAGGCATCTCCATTCGTCTCCTCCACTTCAACAACAACCAAAAAATAATGTGTTTCGTCGTGTCGGCGTGTCACATTGATTGCTCGCCTGATAAGAACAAACGATTTATTTTTGCGAGTTGTGTGAAAATTTGTGAAATCGGCCCACGTGTTCTTTTTTTTTTGAATTTCCCAATGAGAAAAAAAACGAGACTACGAATGCAGTTTTTTTTTTCGACAAACGCCGAAACCGCTTTTGTGTAAATTTTGTACAACCCGGTTGTCAGCGATTTCAATTGTTTCTCGCCGCCACCGCCCTTATTCGGAAGTATCTCTCGCTCTCTCTCTCTCGTCCACATTTCTCTTTCGCTCAGAACAAATCTTTGATGATCAGTTCAGTCGGATGATTTGTACGCGAGTTTTTCACTCCCCCTCTCTCTCTCACTCTCATCAGCAATGTCGAGTATTGATTGCGATTCTCAAAATTGTTTTTTAGGACCCCCGTACGTTCTCTCAAATTTAAGTTGGACGCCCTCACCATCAAAAATTGGATCGTGTTGGGATCATAGTCAACCAATCTTGTGTGAGGGAGGGGGACCCGATTTTCGCAACGCGTCGTCGAGGCTCTTCGGCTTCATCATTAGCAATATGTTGTTCGCTGAACTAGGCCACGCCCATTTGCAACGGTTTTTTTCCCGCCGCTGCCTTCAGCATCATCAGTCAGTCAGTCAGTCAGCCAGTCGGTCGGTCGGCTGTTGTGCTACGCGCCGCCTCGCCTCGCCTGACACGACGTTCGCATTTTTTTTCCTGTGCGATTTTCGCGTTCCTCTGCCTCTTTCTCTCTCCTTTTCACTGTGCTGTTTGTATGTTTTTTTTTTTGAGGATTATTGATTGATTAGCAAGGAGCCTTGCTGACGTGGCTACAGTAACCATCGCCCCCCTATCATTCGGGTGGGTCTGAAGCGATTGTTCACATGATGACCGCCCAAAAATGCGGAAAATTGATAAGTGTATCTTCGCCGCCTCGCGCGCGCGCTCGTGATTTTCAATCGTCTCTCGTCGGCGGCGGCGTTGGCCCGTTTTTCGTGTAATCTCTGGGCGCCGGGGCCCGATACCATTGTACGATTTAATCATCATCATCAATGATATGTGTCGTGTCGATCGATTTGCTTCCCTCTCCCCCTTCTCTCTTTTCGTAATTGACGGCTATAATAATAGTTTGGATGTTGTTGCAGGTTCGAACGACGCGGTGATGATTTGTACACGAATGTGACGATATCGCTTCAAGACGCGCTCAACGGCTTCGAGATGCACATTGAGCACCTCGACGGGCACCGTGTTCAGATTCAACGCGACAAGGTCACGTGGCCCGGCGCGCGGATTCGCAAGACTGGCGAAGGGATGCCGTCGCTGGAGGACAACAATAAGCGAGGTGAGCTGAAATCGGCATCGATTGTGTGAACACTGAATCGGTCTAGGCACTCTCATCGTCACATTCGACGTGGCGTTCCCGAAGACGGAGTTCGGCGACGAGCAAAAGAAGCAGATCATCGAGCTTCTTCAGCAATCCGACGTCAAACCGAAAATCTACAACGGACTTTAAACTATGCGGGGAATTAAACCAGAAATCAATAATATATATATATATATACATATATAACCAATATTTAAACATTTGGTCGACACTCGGTACATGAGACTGCGACGATTCTCTTGAATTCATCTACGCGAGCCTTTTGATCTACCGAAGGTGTTGAACCGAACATTGATCTTCATCTCAACACCATTTTTTGTCTTCTTTTTTTTTACTATTTTTTGTGTTCGTTTTCATATAATCACGTCGAATTTCATTCATTTTCCCCGCTCGTTGATATTAGTTCTTTTTTTTCTCTCTCTCATACATTTTCGGTCTGGTCTGTTAGGTCTTTTTCATCTCATTTTCGTATTCTTTTTGTTTTGGTGGCCTTCAGGGAGCTGTGACCACCTTCCTGTAAGAATATTTGCTCTGTGATATCAACATTATCGCTCGTTTTCAAATCTCAAAATTCTTTACGTGCCTGGCTTGCCTAAAACAACAGCAACAACAAATAAATCAATAAGTAAACAATAAATAAATAAATAAATACACCCCCGCCGAACAATAATAGACAACAGAAAAAAAAAACAATACATATATACACGAGTATTCGAGAAGACGAAGAAATCCAAGAAAATTGAATGTACAATAGAAAATGGCTATTATTAATACTATCATTATTATGATAATGGCACAGATATGATGGGCTAGGTCATGAAGCGATAAAAGTTGTCGGAATGCCTATAGATGACTATGATGGCACCTGCGGACATTTGATGATTGATTGGTGACGTGGCAACTTGTTTCATTATCGCGTTGAGTTGATGGCAGAGCGCGTCGAGTTCGACGGATTGACGATGGTTTTGGCGGCCGAGCTGCTCGAACACGGTGCTCACCTGCAATTACCGTTATCTACAATTTACTAATTTTTTAAGATTTCCGGGAACATGTTTTTTTTTTAAGAAATCTCATTTTGTGCGATATTTAAATGGGTATTTTTGGGTCTTTTGGAAGAATTAAAAATTGCGATTTTTTACTCAAAAAGATTTGCAACGCCATTATTTTTTTTTTATAATTGCCTTTTTAAAGCGAAAATTACAAAAATATCTTTTGGGTCCTGAGACGATGTGGAGAAAGCGAAGTTTGTTAGAATTTTGAAATAAAAAATCCACAAAAATTGAACATAATATTTTTTTTGAAATAAAAAAATATCAACACCAAACGGCACCTCATCAACACTGCAATTCCTCGACACATCACCAACAATCGCCTTGATGAGCTCCTTGCTCAAATCCGTCACGATCACCTCGATTCGCGATCGCGGATTGAACATCGAGAACGTGTCGGCAAGATGAGTTCGAACTTGCGTCTAAAAATCGCGAATGGACATTGAGAATCGCAAAAATCGAATACCTCAATTCTCTTCTTCTCTTTCAATCCGACGCGTTCGGCCATGCCGAGCGTGATATTCAGATTCGCCGACGTCGCTCCGGATGCGCCTTTCGTCGTGCTCGCGGTGAGAATGTACGACGATGAGACGCTTCGCGACGCCGACAGCGGCGTCGGCATCTCCTCGTGCGGCGCGTCGCCCGCCGGCGCCTGACACTGAAGGATCGGCGTTGTCGCGGCGCCGTCGCGACACACCGTCGCTACCGCCTTCTCCATGTCCATTTTGCCGTAGTTCGAGTTGTGGCAACGGACCAAGATCTCCGGAATCGAGTTGCACACCACCAACATGTGCGAGATCTCCTTCTTCTCGCAATGCTCCTAAACATCATCGGAATCGTGTGGAACACATCTCAAGTTTTACATTCAGATTTTCGGGATGAGTGACCGGCTCATGAAGAACATCAGCCACCAGATTCATATCCCACAGCTTCTTGGCAAGCCGAAACTTCTCAGCGAGCAGCAAATTGTTGTCAGCCTGCGTCATCGAGCAAATCATCGTCTTGCAAGGCGCCGGCGCCGAATTGGTCGCATTCGGCACGCGACGGCGAATCTCGGCGACGACGTCCATCGAGATCGCGAATCCGACGAGACATCGCGGCACCGGCGGCGCATAGTCTCGCGGATGCTGCTCTCTGAGCAACGCCGAGTCATAGCGGCCACCAGCGAGCACGCCAATCGATTTAGTCGCGCCTTTTTTGGTGGGAACCTCGATGACAACCTGGAACACGAGTCCGTCACCGAACGTCTTCGGCCTGTAGGACGTTTGAGCATCAAACACCACATTAACACGGGCGATCTCCTCAACCGATCCTGTCAACTCATCATAAAACGCAATTCGAGAACGAGTCCTACCGTACGACATGATCTCCTGGATCATCTCGAGTTCGCCGAGAATTTTCTCCGTCGTTTCCTGAATGTCAACAACTCTCGATTTCAGCAGATGTCTGCACGACTCTCGAAATTTCGCCAACGACGTCTCACACGGCAAATTCGATAGAAGCGACGCCGCCGTTTTTTTGCCAATGAATTTGCCAAGCTGCTCGACGCGTTCGGCTTGCGATGGAACCTCTGAAAATCGATCGAGTCTCATCGCACGCCGATTCATTTTACTCACTATCCATTGTGCTGAACATGTGCAGCTTCTCGAGGACAATCCCGCGAAGCTCGTCGTTTATTTTGAGGTGTCGAATGACGGCCTCGATGAGTCCGACGTGTCCGATGCGAAGCACCAACTTCAATCCTTGAACGGTGCGAGCAAGCAGCTGACACGCTGTCATAATGAGCTCAGCCTCGAGAGAAGCCGACGCCGCTCCCGGACCAATACTATCCACAGAGCATTCCCAGCGCTCTTGCGGATGGGTGCTGCCTAGAACGGAACATATCGCAAATGTTCACACCGACATCGGCGTCGTCCTACCCATGCTCTCATCAAACCAGTAAACTCGCCCGAAATTGTATCGCTTCAGACGATTCACCGCATTCCGAAGGCAGTATCTCACAAAATTCTGGCGAAGATCCGTCTGAATTCTTATCAATCGAGAGCGAACTCGTCAAAACGCTTACCGGCAACGCCAGCGGTGTTCCCGTTTTGTTGAGTATCTCGGTCGGTTTGAAGCGCACCGGCTGCGAGCTTCTCGCCGTCGCCGCCGTCACCAGCGTGTGCGTCTGAACCGGCTCGTAGAAGTGCGATTTGAGGATGTCGGTGAGCTCGAAGCACAACTTCTCGATGTGACGATCGCGCATTAGCATGAAGCGCTCCTGAAAACGATTTCAATAGAAAAAAACAGGACCGAAAACGCGAAAACCTTGCAAATCTCGACATCATACAAATAGTTGGCGCTTAGGCTGACATCCTCATCGAATTGCGCGTCCAACACCCATTTATGCATTGTGCCGTTCTTCTTTTTGAGCACCCTCAAAAATTGCTTCTTGAAGTGCTCGTCCTCTTCGCGGTTCTTCGGCAGACTATCATCATTGAGCAATTCCTCGACGCTCGGCCGCTCGTCGGGATTCCTCTTCAGCATCCATTCGATCGTCTTGCGCGCCGCCAACGTTTGTGTCGCGCTGAAATTCGCGCCGAAATCGTCGGGAATTTTGAGCTCATTCTTCAACGCCGTCAGCGTCGACATTCGCTCCATTCCGACCGGCAGCGGTCGATAGAACATCTCGAACAGCACAACGCCGGTGCTGTAGACATCAACTTTTGACGAATATCGAGTCTTCTGGAGTTGCGTGTCCTCGTCGCACAACTCCGGCGCCATGTACATCTGTGTGCCGATGTCTCTCGTCTGATCGGCGCCGGTGTCGGCGCTCTTCCGCTCCGTCACCGCTTCAATGCTCGCGCTCTTGTCGGCCGCCTTCTTTCGATACTTGTTCAGCTCTTTCGTCGCGAGACCGAAATCGCCAATCTTGACACTCTGTTGACTATTGAGGAAGATGTTCATCGGTTTGATGTCGCGATGGATCACACCTTGATTGTGCATGTATTGAAGGCCGGAGAGGATCTCGGAGAAGATTCTCAAAAAAAAACATATAAATAAATCGCCAATGATTTTCATGAATTTTGTTGGCGAAAAATTGCTTTTCAATCGAGAATTATCTTTTTTTTCTGAAAATTCGATAAAATGTCAATTTTCAAGTCCAAACCTCCAAATATTCTCGGCATCATTAACAAACAACCCATCATCAATGCACTGCCGCAATGTGCCCTTCTCGCAATACTCCATCTGAATAATCAGAACCTTCGGACGTCGGATAATCGGAGTCTTCTGCAGAAAAAAAAGACAAAAGTTATTTTTTTTTAATCTGAAGAAATCTCACAAAATGCGGCGTTTCGATCGATTTCTCGTCGATCTCCACAATTTTCGACTCGTTTTTCACTTCCGAATCGCCATTCTCGAACACAATATCAACCGATTCAGTGGCGTCCGTGTTCGCCGTCGAGTAACGACCATAAGCGCTCTCCTCGGTCTCATCCTCATCGTCCTCCTCTTCCTCCTCATGCTCATCGGATTCCTCCCAGAAAATGCTCAAGTCGTCGTCGGGTATCGCGACATTTTTCGGCGAGAACAACGTCTGCACGCGATTCGTCGACGAGTGATTCAGTCCGGCGCTTTTTCGACCAACGCCATCCGGCTCATTGGAGCTCGACGAGCTCGAGCTACGCGAATCGCCTTTGACTGCAAAAAAAACGGGAAAACTGAAATTCCATAATCATGATCTCACCCCGATAGCTCGTGCTCCACTCGCTCGTCTCTTTGACAATTTTTCGACTGCGACTTCGCACAGCGGCCGCCGCTTCGCGCTCGATCTCGCGCAAATTTGGCGGCAGAAGCGAATTGTTCCAATCATCGTCATCCTTCTCGTCGGGAATCGCGATCGCAACCTTCTTGCCGCCGCTGTTGCGCTTCTTCGCCACTTTGCCGGGAATTGGCACCGCGCCAAGCGATTCGTCGCCCGAATCATTGTGATCCGACAACGCGTTTAGATCCTCCTCCCAAGCACTGTAAAACAATGGTTTAATCGTGAAACCTGTCATCCAGAGTCGTTACAGTACCCCGGGGTACTGTAGCACTAGTTTCGAAGAGTGTCTTACCTAAAATATCTAACCACATTGGGATGATTCAATTTGGCGAACAGCTTCGCCTCCTTCTTGATCCGCCGATTCAAACGCTCGTTGCCCGGCGTCAACGGGATCCGCTTCAGCGCATAATCCATACTATCAAGTCGATGCCTCGCCAGTATCACATCGCCGAAGCCGCCTTTGCCCAACATGGTGATGAGCAGAAACTCCTTCATCACACGACAATGCTGATCCATCGAGCCGCCGAACGAGGTGAACAGATTGTCGGAGCCGCTCAACGGCGTCTCGTGATTCAGAAACGAGTCGTCGACGAGCTGATCGATGTTCTTCGCCGCCTGACACTTCTTGATGAATCGCGGCAGGCAGTTGTCCTCGCTCTGACCGTTGTCGGGCGTCGGCACCCTCGAATAGTTCGAGCCTCTCGCCGTCCGCAAAAGCTCATCCAATAGTGTGCCGAGCTGAAAGAGGTCCTTTTTTCGCGGCTTCTCGTTCTCATCGCTTCGCGCGAGCTCTTCGGTCCGCTTTCCGGAGCTGATCTCGTTGAAAAACGTGCACAGTTCGGTGATAGCTGCTCTGAAATCGGAATGAAACGAGAAAACTTGTTTGTTTTTGCAGTGATCGCTTACAATGTGCCAAAATCGGAGAATCGAAACACATTCTCGCGAAGCCAAACCGACGGCATTCGAAGCGCCGAGTGCGCCAATTGTTGCTCGTGCAAAAAACGAAGGCCGCACACCGCTTGCGCGGCGAGTCGTCGAATCAGACTCGACTGAAAACCATCGACAGCTCTCACACTACCGTAATCATACTTACATTGGTGGCGACGGCGTGGCACACGTCTTGCATGTTCTCCTCATCGGGATAGATTTTCTGAGCGACGAAAACCTTGACGACGAAATTGGTGATGGTTGTTGAGAATTTGTGGACATGAATGAACGAGTACTCGACCTGCAAAACGAAAAGTTGCGCTCGATTACTGTCGGTGTCTCGAGGCGATCAACCAAATTCGGATCGGGCTTCTGAAATTGGCATAGCGCGTTCAACTCGTCGGCGACTTCCTCGAGACGCCTGAAATTCTTCAATTTTTGCAATTCGCGCCGCCCTTGGCCAATTTGTGTCCTGCATTTTCCGCACTTACTTCAGAAATGGACCGAAATCGCGTTTTTTGGTCTCGTTGGGATTGCGGCCGAGCGTGTAGCGAAAACTCCACTCCGAGATGAGAAGCTGCTCGTTTTCGAACGAGCCCATCCATTCTTGGCACATTGGATGAATTCGTTTTCGCTTCAGCGGAATATTGGAGAGTACGACGATTCGACGGCCGCCGATCATTCGCAATTCGCCCTCCTGCAGAAAATTTTAGCATTTTTTTTACAACAAAAGACGTGATTTATGGTTTTTCGTTAATTTCTCAAATTTTCGGCAATTTTTTGGAGAAAATTTACGAAATTTCCTATGTTTTTCATAAAAAAATTGTGATTCTGAAGATTTTCGTTGAAAAATTCACTAAAAACGTGTGATTTAATTCAAAAAATAATCAGAATTTCTAATAATAAGAATCCTTCTTTTTTGCTTGATTTTCGCGCAATTTCAAACCTTTAAAGAAGATAAATTCACAAAAATTCAACAATTTTCTACATATTTAACATTTCCGAAATTTTCAAAAAAAAAAACAACGAACCAGTCGATTCTCTTTTTCTAGTGCTCCTTGATTCCTAAGTTGTCGTTCAATCGCAATTTTCTCCTGCTCCTCAGCAACAAGTTCCAGCTCCCGTCGGTCACTGTCAAGTCGTTTCCTCTAAAAAAAAATTCAATTGCTCTTTCGGAATCACACAGAAACGAAACCGTCGTTTCAACGGCAGCGTCCGCTTGCATTTTAATCATATTATCATGAAAGCTAAGAGCGGGTTTGGAGTCGATGGTCCCCAGAAAATCGCGAGCCTCGTTGCAAATATCCAATATCATCACCTAAAATCGATCGATTATTTTAAATGGGAAATTGACGAGAATTCACCGACATTTCCCACTAATTGTGCGGCTTTTTGTTTAAGCCTATCAATTAGCTGATTGGCGACGTCTTGCGAGAAACCGACGACGTTTCTCACGCCGAAACTCGGAATTCTCCACGGATATTCTTTGCTGCATGTGATGTGAACGTCGACGGCGATTTTTCGGCGATTCTCGTCTCGCGAGCTCGTCGCAATCGGCTCGAGATGAATGGTGACCTCGAGCGGATGCCAATTTTTCCATTTCCATTCGGCGAATTTCGCGTCGTCGCCGAATATCGCGGCGATCGCTAGCTTCTCATCGTCCTGTATCTTTTCCACATTTGATTCATCATTCGACATTCGGTGAAATTTCTAAAATCACGAAAATTCCGAAATTCGGCCAAAAATCGCCTAGAGAAAAACTGGAAAAAACCACATGGATGGGTGCGTGTTGACGGCAATTGTGACGCAAGTCTGCAAACATCTGGCGCTAGTGGCAATTTGAATTTTTTATTTTTTTCTTCCCGTGGGTACTGTGGAATGAAGAATTGTGCATACACACTAAATGCTTACCGTAACAGATTAATCAAGAAAAAATTACAGCAACAAAAAACTTTTATTCTTATTTCAACCAACATACTCATTTTTTTTTCGAAATTTCTATATACACGGTGGACACGTAAAATTAATAAATTAATGCGATAAATGTCGATGGATTTATTTCTGTCGGACTTCGATGAAATATCGAACCGTTTTCGATCTCAGCGTACTATGAGTGTTATCGAAGACGAATTTGTAAACTCCCGGCTCTTCGGCGAAAACCTAAAGCAAAAAAATGAATAATGAAGCGATTTTTTTCGGCGGGACACCTCTCCGTCTTCGGGCACATATTGCGTTTGCAGTTTGAACTTCGGCCACACCATATAGTCATCGTCGTGCTCGGCGACCTTCTCCTGGCCGTCGGCGGCGCGATACACGGCGAAATTGATGTCGTTGCTCTCGATTCGCCACCACCAATAGAGTTTTCGGCCGGCTTGATGGCCGTCCAAAGTGATCGGAACGAACGCGGTCGATCTCGCCGAGATGGTGAGTTTCGTCAGCTTCTCGGCGGGCAGATCGTTCGCCGCGTCATACCTTAAACGATTTGATTGAGAGTGTCTGAAATCGGCCGTCTCACATCAGCTCCTGCGGAATTTTGCCGCCCATTCTCACGGTGCCGTATTCGTGGTCGGATTTGCGAATGCCACCCCATCTCTCAAACAACACATGCTCGCCGATGTGCTCCTAAGGAAAATTGGAAATTTCAAACCAAAAAAAAGATGTTGCCTACCTTCAGATGGTCCTTCCAATCGTTGCCCAATATCTGCACCTTCTGCTGTGTCTGTTTCGCCAAACATGGCGAAATCATGCCCCAGAGCACCTGAATGAACGTCGGCACGTTGATGATGAAGATTTTGCGGACCACATCGGGAAACATCTCCTAAAATTTCAAAAAAAAATCACCATTATTATTATTTTTTCTTTTTTTTTCGTATACCTGCAATTGGGTTAACATGGCGGTGACGCATTTCAACGCGGCCATATCGATTTGAGACATGGACAATCCGTCGAGATCGAAGATCACCGATGTTCCGAACGGCTTGCCGTGCTGTTTTTCGAGTTTGCGAATCACCTGCATGACACCCTCGCTTTCCGTGATCCGCATTTTGTAGAGGTCCGAGTTTTTCACCGACGGCACGAGACCCGACGCGTCCAAATGGCCGATCATCTGAAGCGAGACGACGTTGTTCTCCTTGTCGAGACCGATCAGCGATCCAGGGAGATATTGAAGCGGAACGCTGCACTCGTCGCACGCGGCCGTCACGAGGTCCAATGTCGACAGATCGGCGGTGTCGAGACCCATCGCGTGAATTGCGCGCAACGAGAATTTGATTTTCGGCACCACCGTCTCGATTTTGCGATCCCAGCCGACGAGCCAGCGCATCAGCGAAAAATCGTCGTCATAGGCCGGCACGAGTGCGAGCTCTTTCGCGATTCGCGACCGCAATTCCTTCAACAATTTTTGATCGTCGTCGCTGATCTCCGATGAGCACGAGGTGGTCATTTCTGGAAAAAATCCAAACAAAATTGTGCAATTTTGATTGAAACAAAACAAAATTGACGGGTTAGGCAGTGAAACGCAAACGATTATTATGCAAATTTGCACTCACTTTTGAGCGATGATGATTTCGAAATCGATTTCGGCAATATTCCCATTGTTGGTTCGCTTTTTTTTTATTTCGGCCGAATATCAATCAGAATGGAACAAGCCGGAAAACAATTGGAGGGGAGTGGAGAGAAGAGAATGCAAATTTTTTGGCGGCTGACACGATGCTCGGGCTGAGGACGGCCTGAACTGAAACCGCTTATCAATTGTTATTTGTTGGAAATTAGGAAGCACAAAAATCAAATGACCAAACATGAGGCAAAAAGAAATTGCGAAAATGGATGAAGCTTCTGGTTTGTAGCCTAGCAACAAGGCGAGACAAAAAAGAGATTTGCATGAAAAGTAAACGGATTTTCTTTTGTTTTCCTTTTTTAAATGAAAGTTTCAAAAAAAATGGATAATAGCGAAAGAAAAATATTTTTTATTTAAGGTACTGTAGTGTTTGTGTGCAAACACCGCGACATAAAATTTCACCAAATATTAAAATCACGTCTAAAAATAAAATCTTTTTTATTATTATTAATGATGAAAAATAAAAGAAAAACTAGTTTTTGAGTATTTTTTGGATTTTTTTCACACAAAATGGTGTCATTTTTTAATAGTTTGTAGAACAATCAATTAAATTGGGTTTGCCACTGGAAAAAGTTCAAAAAAGTCTGGTTTGTGGTTTTGTCATCGGGGCAATGTTTACATAATTCGCAAGAAGGCACAAGTAGCCCACAAAAAGCTGATAAGAGAAAAAATGAACTAGAATGTGGCAGAAGTTTCGTTGAAACAACGAAAGTTAAATGGTAGTTCAACGCATGACGTGTCTGTGTGTCTGCATTCTCATCGAAACGAAATCGGGAAATGATGACCGGACAAAGTGGGAGAAATTGGTGAAGTGAACGGTTTCGGCTGGCTGCTAATGCCGGAATGCGGAGCACACGGGTTCCGGGTGGCTGACCAGAAACAAAATCGAAAAACCGACTGTAGTGAGAGCAAACACGGGGGGGGGGGGGCGCTGCCTGCGGCAGCCAGCCAACGTAATTGTTTGGCGAAAGAAAACATATATGTGCCCTTGAGAGAATGCGAAAGACGCCCAACGATTTTTTGTCCAAAATACTATGTACAAGGTGATTGAGCATATTGTGGCTGAAGAGCGCAAAAAAAAACATTGGACAAGTTGAGATTTTTAGGCTTGTTTTTGTCAATGGTGTGCACACGGCGACGAGAAATTGCACAAGTCGATTTTTTTCGGGGGATTTTATGAGAAAAAGAAAATTTTTGATTTTTTTCTGATTATTGGCTTACAGAAAGTAATAGAAATCAAAACAAAACTAGAAAAATTATGTCAATCAAGAAGGGAATTTCCTTACTTGGCTATACAATTGCTGTATATATTAAAATTATAAATAGTTTCGAATTGATCATTTTCAAATTTCATCGTATTCTATTTAATTCTACCCTACAAGTATGTCGGAAATCACATGATTCACATTTTCAGCCTTAAACCAAAAAAACATCCAAGGTTACGGTGCTCTATGGGAAAATGGATTACTGTAGTCGAAAAGGTTCACACAGTGAATGCGTACTTTTAGAAAATATTTCGAATTTTCCCTATTTTTCCTATTTTTTCATTGAAATCTTTCAAAAAATAAATTTATAGGATAATATTTATTATGCAGAAATCCGAGTTAAGCGCCTGGTCCGAAATCCTCGTATCCGTCGTCCATTTTCGGTGGTTTTTTGTCGTCCTAAATGCAATTATTTCCCAACATAATTCAAATTTTCGATGGAAAAAAATTTACCTTAAGTATTGGGGGCTCCATTCCACTTTGCATTTCTTTGGCATCAACTTCCTTTTCCGTCTTTTTATTGTCCGGCTTCTGCTTCTCCTTTTCTTTCTCCTTCTCCTTCTCCTTCTCTTTTTCTTTCTCCTTCTCCTTCTTTTCTTTTTCCTTCTCCTTCTCCTTCTCGCGTTCCTTCTCCTTTTCCTTCTCCTTCTCTTTTTCTTTCTCCTTCTCTTTTTCCTTCTCTTTCTCCTTCTTCTTCTTCTCCTCATCCTTGTCCTTTGACTCATCCTTCTAAAAAAAAATGGCCGGGTTTTTTTCTAAAAACCGAAGTTAAATTTTTGAAGACCTTTTTGGCGCCAAGCTTCTCCAACGACGGCACCTGCGCTATGGATTGTGTTGTCGTTGCTACCGATTTTTTCATCTCCTTCCGCTGGAACGTTTTCGAGCCGCCTTTCGACGGCGGCTGCGCGAGAGGCTTCTCAATCTTCCTGCAAAACTTCCACGCTTACAATCTCGACAATCTGCCCAACTTCTCCTTGTCCTTTTTACTACGAGACAAAATGCTCTTCTTCTTCATATTATCTTGGCGCTTTGTTTCGCGTTACCTATTCTAAAATCCAAAATGAATCATTAAACGCCAGCTTCCAATCCTACCAGATTGAAGACACCGACGCTCAGAAATGAGATAAGTCTTGTCTTTTGTCGGCAAAAGAAATGGCGCGATTCTTATTTTTTTATCGATTGTTGACATTTTCCAGCGTGGAAGGCATTTTTTATAATAATTCCGCGTGGATTAGTTATTACTAAGCAACGACACTCCGCTATTTACGCGCACTTCGTGTCTCGCGTCCCTCTTCATGTGTAACACTTTGCAGGTCCACCGCTGCATTAATGTACCATCATTCGAGGCCCGGCTATCATTCGTAAGTCGAATTCTTCACTTTTTAGCCATTTATTTCGCCTTTAAAGGAATGAACCCACTGCAAAACGATATCGAAGGGATGACGATGCGGACCCGATAAATCCAAACCCTTCAAAAGTGGTTCATGTGCGAAATTTGAATACAAAAGCCACCGAGGCGGATCTTCTCGAAGCTCTAAGCTCGTTTGGCCCCATCGCCTATGCGACGTGTATTCCGCATTCACGTATGGCACTTGTTGAGTTCGAGGAAATTGATGGAGCTAAAGCTTGTGTACAGTACTCGCAGTCGAATCAGATTAATGTTGGAGGACAGGTTTGCCCTTTTTTTGTAAATTTTACGTTTCATGTTATTCTTTTCAGATTGCGCTTTTTAATTATTCCACGTCTCATGAAATTGAGAGGATTGGGTTTGAATCGTCGAAGCCTAATAAGGTGTTGGTTCTTACGGTTCTCAATGCGCAATACCCGATTACTGCAGATGTAAGTCATTTTAGATATTTAAACACATTTTTTTCTAAAAAGCTTGAACATGAGTTTTTAAGACAAAATATCGTTGATGACGAGGTTAATTTAAAAAGAGACTTGAAATGTCGTGATAATAAGTAAATAGCCAAAAATTTTAATATAATAAGAAACTGAAGATTTGGAATATGCAAGAAATCATTGAAAATAATTTGAATTTTGTAGGTAATCCATCAAATTTGCGATCCGCAAGCCCGAGTGCTTCGAATAGTGGTGATGCACAAGCCGACAGTGGTCCAAGCTCTTGTAGAATTTGAAGATGCCGAGCAGGCGAAAAAAGCGAAACATGCGATGAACGGGGCCGATATTTATTCGGGTTGTTGCACATTAAAAGTGGAATTTGCCAAAGTAGATTAAAAAAATGAAATATTGATAGGAAAATTTGAAATTTTCAGCCGGAATACGTGCGAGTGCACCGACAGGACAAGGATCAGCGAGATTACACGATTCCAAGTAGTTGGTTTTATTATATAATATTGATGTCAATTTATAAAAATGAATTTTGTCGCCCGCTCTGGTGTGCCTACAAAATATACAGAATTAGTGCAACAAAATAGACAAACAAAGGCACATATTAGGAATATAATTAAATTAAACAAAAAAAAGACACATTTTCATTGAAAATTCCGAACAATTTTAGATGAAATGATAGGCGATGGACCGTCGCGCAAGACATTGTTGGCAGGAAATCCAGGTTAATATCAAAAACAACATTTTTTTCTAACATTTCTTTGGCATAAGAATTTGGAAAGTTTGTTTTGCTAGGAGGTTATGAGCGATTTGATGAGACAAGATACCCGCCGCCGCCGACGGAATTTGGGTATTCGGCGTTTGAGAGACGGGATCATTATGCGCCGCCGGACCATCGATTCCGCGACTCGTACAGAGATGGTTATGATCGGGGCCCGCCGCCGGCGAGATACGACGATCGAAGGGACCCTTATTATGAGCGAAGGGAACCGCATCATCGAATTGGCGGAGCTGGGGGACCCGGGTGTGTGATGCTGGTTTATGGATTGGATCCCGAGAAGGTCAATTGCGATATGCTCTTCAATGTGCTCTGCCTTTATGGCAATGTGCTACGGGTGAGATTTTTTCAAAGCAAAAAATTGCCAAATTTTGAGATTTGAAAAATTTCGAATATTTCCAGATTTGCTTTATGCGCACAAAAGTTGGCACCGGCATGATCGAAATGGGAATGCCCGAGGATCGCCGAAACGTTCTTCAATTCATGCGCGGCTTCGAGATGTTCGGAATGCATTTGGAATTCAAGCCGAGCAATCAAGACGCGGTGCATTCGCTTCGCGAGCCATTCCAGCTGCCCGACGGGACGCCGTCGTTTCGCGATTATTCGACGTCGCGAAACAATCGCTTCACGACGCCCGAATTTGCGGCGAAAAATCGAATCGTCTATCCGACGAGCACACTTCATTGGTTCAACGCGCCCGGCACGATGACCGATGAGAAGATTCGCGAGATGGTCGAGACGAAGGCGAAACGCGCGCCGATCAAGATTGAGGTGTTCCCGTCGCGAAACGAGCGAAGCGCCGCTGGAACCGCCGAGTTTGAGACGATTGCGATTGCCAATGAAGTGTTGGCGTTGGTCAATCATACGCCCGTCGATAGCCCCTATGGAAGTGTGAGTCTTCTTTTTTTTCCCGCTTGAAATTTCTACAAAAGCCCTATGAATATTTTTGGGGTGATGAAAAAAATAATAATAAAATGAATTTTGAACGTTTCTTTGAAAAGAAATATGGAAATCATTTTTGGGATTTTTTCTTCGTTTTTTAAAAAATATTTTTTATAAGCTTAAAATTTTTCTAAACTGGAATTCAAAACAGTTTTCCGCAAGTGTAACCCTAATTTATTTTTTTTTATTGCTAAACTCAATATTTTTTGCTCTGTCAAAAAGAAATTCGTTGAAATAATCAAATGTGTGCAATTTTGCGTATGTGAGGCAATTCGATTTGTTGGTGCCTTCTCCAAAAGTCTCAAAAATAAAAAAGAGATTTAAACCGTGTATATGTGAGCATCAATAACTTATACCATATAAGGCATAACTACGCTTTTTAGATTTTTAAAAAATAAATTGAAATTGAGGATTTTGATTAATTTTTTTTTAAGGCGCCATTCATTGTGAAATGGGCGTATGCGACACCAGCGAAATGGGATGGATATGCCGGTGTGCCGCCGAGGGTGGCGAATCGTCGGCGAAGTCGTTCACCGCCGAGACGGCAGATTCCGGAAGAGACGACGACAAATGGGGATGAAGGCGAGGCGAGGAATCAGCAGGCTGAAGATGGTAAGAGTTTGACGATTTGAAATTCAATGGAATATTGGAGTTTTGAGCATTTTTGCTTTTTTTGTTTTTGAGAAAATTGCCTAATTTGATTGATACTAAATATGTTGTAGGATATCGTGGAAGCTTCCGTGAGCGATACAACACGTCGGACCCCGATAATCGTGTTGAATAGCCAAAACAAATGTCTGTTGTTTTTTTTTTTTTGAACTTCGCGCCATGGGTCTCGCCAAGATTTGTTTGTTTGTTTGTTTCGTGGGATGTACAGAACGGCAATAAGCTATTTAAAATAATTAGAATATAATATTTGGCATTAACCAAAATGAAAGAAGCCATTTGATTTGTGTGCGAATTTGCGTGCTGGTGTGTACGTACCCGCGATAGTTTTCTTGATTGTTTTCATTGAATATTTTCAAGTTGTGTTACGAATTGTCGAATTTACCTCAAAAACCAAATCCCCCCTCCCACTTTTGTTTTGTGCTCGCTATAATAAAGAGTTTGGATCTCTGATGCTGATTTTTGTCGCAAAAACCAATGAATGTTTGAATTTTTGCCATTTGAATACTTAATTATGCTCAATTGCCCACTTAATTGTTGTTGATTTTTGTTTGAGAATGACACATAGAGAGAAAGCGAAGGAATTGATTGCGCAAAGGGATGAGATTGAGCGAAAAATCGGCGAACAGTTGGCGATTTTGGAAGCGGTATCACCAATTTTTTTGAATTTTTCCACAGATTTTAATGGATTTTTAGAATAACTCGACGATGGATTCACCTTTGGTCGATTCGGAAGGATATCCGATTGATAAGATTGATGTCTACTCGGTTCGTCATGCTAGGCATGAGATCATCAAACTAAGGTTGCTTCAATTTTTTACCACTAAAATATGTATATGGTGTGGAAAATGTTTAAAAATTTCGCTGAAAAGTGTATTAAAGCAAAAAAATAAAAAAAAATAATAACTGCGAGTTATTTTGAAGAAAACGAAATAATCGTTTTCTTCGGTTCAATCAAAAATATCGCACTTTTTGATATTTCTATAGTGATTTTTAGAGTTTAGCTTTATTAAATATGATTTTTGCCTAATTTTTATGCAAAAATTCTCACTCTCTCATTTTTAGACTGAAATTGAGAATTTCTGTCAAACGAAAACGAGTTGAGGAAATTTTTAAAATGATTGGCTATGTGCCAATGCGTCTCGAGGCAGCGAGACTGCGTACATTGCATTATAGCGTACGCGCATTTAATATTCAGTCAACGATAAATTTAAATCTACACTGATTTCGCGAATTTGAAGGCCCCGCCTCCATTCAGTCGTTTGACGCCGACAATATCATTAAAATAATAGAAATTGCAAAAATTTAGGAACGACATGAAGGAGTTGACGAATCAGATTGCGACAGAACTCGAAGCGGCTCATGAGCTCGAACCTCGTGCTCCTCAACAATCGGACCAATCGGCTGGCGCCGCTCAACCGTCGGTGCATCGGACGTCGAACGAGGCGTTCGCGAGAATCTCGAATGTCGCCGACTCGTCGCCGGCGAAAGAATGCGGATTGTCGAAAGACGATCTCATCCTTCAATACGGCTCACTTCATTTTGGCAATTTTCGCGAGTTGCGACAACTCGCTGAAATCACCGGAGCTTCGGAGAATGTTTGTTCGACGCTTTCGCGAATTACTTTGATCATTTTTTGTAGAAGACGATTCGAGTTACCGTAATCCGAAATGAGCGACCGGTTCGATTGGAGCTCAAACCGAAGAAATGGTCCGGACCCGGATTACTTGGATGTAATATTGTGCCACTAACCGGTCAATCCATGTGATTTTTTTTAAATTAATTAAACCGTATTGCATGAATAAATTATTGATTCGCGGCATTGCCATAGAGCGCACTTGCAGCATTGGAATTTTTTTTAGAAAAACGAAATTTGGTGAAAATTGACGATTTTCATTTAGATTTCGAAAAATGACCTGCAATTTTCGATATTCCCAATTTTGCCCAAAATTGGTACACACAAAACTTTTAGTCAGCAATAATGATTGACGATTATTCAAATTTGAATTTTAGGCGTGAAATTGTTTGCATTAAATATTGTGTGCGCCTTTGAAATGGTTACTGTATTTCATTTAAGGTTTTCGCGATTTTTCGCTTTAAATCCGGTTTTCGTCAAATTTTGAATAAAAATTACTATCCTCTTTTTTAAGTTAATTTTTTTCTTAAAATGAGTTCTATTTAGATCGATGTTGTGTCATATTTGGGAATGATGAAGGTAAAAAATTAAATTAAAAAATTGCAACAGAAGAGAGTCGGCAAACGTCGTCGATCTACTGGCCTCACTCGTGGCACTCCATCGACAGTTAATGCCCTCAACTCCTCTTCTGGGTGCTGCTTCAACATTCAAAGGCATATATAAAAACATGAAGCTCGTATGAGAGATGAGAAGAGAGTGAGAGACGCAGAGAAAAAGACGAAAGGCGGCGGATTAAAACGGAGGAATGTCTGGAATAAAATAATGGCATTTTTGGAACGAAATCTTGATTTTTTTTAAATTGCCAATATACCTACATGGATAAGCTACATGCTTATAAATGTAATTATATGTATATCTTGTTTTCAAATAATATAAATTTATTCTATTCTATGATAAGTTGAAATGCTAACATTATAAATGGAATGATTTTCAGGATTGATTTTCGAATTCGTCTTCGACGGTGTCGGGTAGAAGGCGATTCTTGGTCTCCGGCAGGAATATGACAAGCAGACCGGCCGCGATCGCCGTAACACACAAAAAAATGAGCAAAATGTCCTCGGAGATGAGGCCCTGCAACAAAATGTGTGCATTATTGCGTCACGTGTTGGTGTTTGCGGACATCGAGCTACAGTACCGCAAACATTTCTAAATTCAATTTTCGTTGACACACTAATAAGATCAAACCATCAATTTCATGTAGGGAATCAGAATTCCTCCGATTTTTGCGAACACCGAACACATTCCGACGGCGCCGTTGCGAATGCTCGACGGAAACATCTAGAAAAAACGAGGAATGCGCTTTTAAAATCGGCCGCTCTTATTGAGAATACCTCGCTCGTGTAAACGAACAACGACATGAATGAGAACGAGATGGCGAATTTGCCGAGAATCCAGCAAGCGATGTAAATCAGTCTATTTCGGTCTGGAACAAAAAAACAGGGTTTTTGAACATTTTTGAATTGCCGCCAAATTTTTAGATTGTGTGTAATCGCCTCGCCGCAAAAATACACAGGATTGATAATTATGAAACACCAAAATGACTATGCTTTAAAATATTGTATTTTTATGAAGCTCATTGCACGTAATTTTGTGATAATTTTCGTACTGTAGCGTGCAATGTGTGCAAACACGTAGACGCAAAAGATCACACAAATTCGAATGATTGCTTCTTCTTCTTCTTCTTTTTTTTCGTCAAAAATGTCACCTTGCACAAAATAGGCGATGATGAACAGGACGCCGCTCGAGATATGCGAGACGATCAGCGTCGGCTTCCTTCCGAAATAATCGTTGGCGTATGGGCAGAAGATGTAGGAAGGGAGCTCGACGACGCCGAGAAGCACGAAATTCGCGTAGGGATTGCCGTCGAGTTGGGTGCTGTTCAGCGAGAGGCCGAAATAGGTGAACGTGTCGGTCATCCTGAAATCATTCAACGATCTGAACGGACCCGTCGACCGGGCGTCGCACCACATGAACACCTGAACAAGCCAGTAGCCGATGAACTCCTTATGCCGAAGCACTTCCTCAAGGAACGGGCGTTTGTGCTTTCGTTGCGACGCTTGAATCAAGCCGGGAATGTCGAACGTGCCCGGGAATGTCGGATCGACGTGGGCGATCCAGCGTTGCGCTTTTCGCGCTCGCCGCTTCACAATCAGGAAATGAAGGGTTTCGGGCACGTTGAGGAAGATGAGGAACGCGTAGAGCGGAACGAGCGACGCGATGAGCGCGTAGAACTCGCGCCACGTCGAGACGATCATCGCGAGCGGCGCGACGAGACAATAGCCGACGACCCATGTGAGGCCGTAGAGCAGTGTGACGACGGCGCGCAATTTCGGCGGCGCCAACTCGTATCCGGCCACCCAGCTGACGAGCGAGGCGCCCACCCAGAAGAAGCCTTGAAACCAGCGGAACACGCAGAACTGGACGACCGAGTGCGACATGGCGCAAAAACCGCTGGCGGCGGCGACGCCGATCAAACACACCAACCAGATTGGACGACGGCCGTAGTGATCGGCGCTCATCGGCATCACAATCGCGCCGCACATCATGCCGAGCATGAAGAACGAGGTGCGCCATGTCAGCAGCGAGACATCGTCGGGAAACTGCAATTCATTTTCTATTTGTCTCAAATATCGATTTTTGAAAATTGCCGGAAAAAAATAATGATTTCTTCATTTTTTGCAATGGTCCTTATAGTGGGACGAATGTGAAACTTTTGAATCAATTAATTGAGGTCTCGTAAAATTAAATTAGCTAATTGCTCCCTTATTTTACGCTTAAAAATAATTAAACTATTGAAAATTCATAAAAATCATGAATTTTTGAGCAAAACTCACTACTACGAGATTCTCCGTACGAAACCCAAGGCGGCAATTCAAAAAAAAATACAAATTTCATTGGGGTGAATTTTTGTCAGAAAAAAAATGGAAAAGAAGAAGAACCTCCTGATTAACTGTCAGCATTGTGCAATTTGCGCATTCAGAAGCCGTAAACGCCGTGCTCAGCAACACCATTGCTCCGATCATCCATGTCAAACTCATTAGAAACGAGAGCGCGTAGAATCGGCTCGAATTGATGCCTAAAATCAATCGTGCATGCGTGTCTCCAATTTTGTTCGAAAATCTTACGCAGCACATCGAGAATCTCATCGGTCGCTTTGACGGCGACGATCGATTCTTGCCGAAGGAGAACACTATCCCCTTCAAGGGTTATCATCTCGCCCAATATTTGCTCTCAAATAAAATCAGATCAATAGGCTGCTGGGTGGCTAGCTGGAGGGCCAAAGTGTTTTGTTTCAAAACATTATCGCAACCGACTAGTGGACGGGAGCTGATAAGATGGGCGGGCGGTAGAGGCAAGCGACCGAGATGAAAAAAATGAATTGTGTGAGGCGCGTCCGACCTTTCCAACCAGTTTTCTGCGTCTCTTCACCAAAACCAATCAACCAAGAAAAAAATCGCTAAATATAATATAGTATATATATGTATTAACAATAAATATGTTACATGAATTTTATGAATTCAAAAGAGAATGCCAAATCAAACAATTAAATTAATTAGTATTCCTCTCCATCTTCAGCTCCCTCGTTCGAATCGGCGCCAACCTCTTCATAATCCTTCTCAAGAGCTGCCAAGTCTTCACGGGCCTCGGTGAACTCTCCTTCCTCCATTCCTTCTCCGACGTACCTTAAATATAATCATAGCTTTATCTTGTTCGATTTCTAATCCTACCAATGAACGAAGGCTCTCTTGGCGTACATCAAATCGAATTTGTAGTCAAGGCGAGACCACGCCTCAGCGATAGCGGTGGTATTCGACAACATGCACACGGCTCTTGGGACCTTGGCGAGATCGCCTCCTGGAACCACAGTTGGTGGCTGGTAGTTGATTCCGACCTTGAATCCGGTTGGGCACCAGTCCACAAACTGAATGCTGCGTTTGGTCTTGATGGCGGCGATCGCGGTGTTCACATCCTTCGGAACAACGTCTCCGCGGTACAACAAGCACACGGCCATGTACTTTCCATGTCTTGGATCGCATTTGACCATCTGATTCGCCGGTTCGAAACAGCTGTTGGTGATGTCGCTGACGGACAATGCCTCATGGTAGGCCTTCTCGGCGGAAATGAGAGGCGTGTAAGCGGCCAATGGGAAATGAATACGTGGGTACGGGACGAGATTCGTTTGGAATTCGTTGAGATCAACATTCAAAGCGCCATCGAAGCGAAGCGACGCGGTGATCGAGGAAACAACCTGCAAACAAAAAATATAGGATGTCGTACGAATCATTCAACCATAACCGCTATCGTCAAAAAGCATATGATCTTTGAAGGTGGAAAACTCGTTTTTGAGATCAAAAAACAATTGTTCGTGTTGTTTTGGTTGGTAAATTTGGAAAAAAATACCAAAAACATCCCCCATATGAATTTTAAATATTACGAAACCATCCATACCTGAGAGATGATTCTGTTCAAGTTGGTGTAGCTTGGTCTCTCAACATCGAGGTTTCTGCGGCAGATATCATAAATTGCTTCATTATCAACCATGAATGCGCAATCAGAGTGCTCGAGAGTTGTATGAGTAGTAAGAATTGAGTTGTATGGCTCGACAACAGCAGTCGAGACTTGTGGGGCCGGGTAGATGGAGAATTCGAGCTTGCTCTTCTTTCCATAGTCGACAGAAAGACGCTCCATGAGGAGCGAGGTGAATCCCGATCCGGTACCTCCACCGAACGAGTGGAACACGAAGAATCCTTGAAGGCCGCTGCAATTGTCAGCGAGACGGCGGATTCTGTCAAGAACGGTGTCGATCAGCTCCTTGCCGACGGTGTAGTGACCGCGAGCGTAGTTATTGGCGGCGTCTTCCTTGCCAGTGATCATCTGCTCCGGATGGAAAAGCTTCTTGTAGGTTCCGGTGCGGATCTCATCTAAAATTTAACCAAATTAGAACTTAAAAATTTTCGAAATTCTCACCAACAACAGTTGGTTCCAAATCGACAAAAATCGATCTCGGCACATATCTTCCGGCTCCGGTGTCGGAGAAGAATGTCGTGAAGGATTCACCCTCATTCACCGACTGCGATGGCATCGTTCCATCGGGCTGAATTCCATGCTCCAAGCAATAAAGCTCCCAGCACGCATTTCCGATTTGGACTCCGGCTTGTCCGACGTGGATAGAGATCACTTCACGCATTTTCTGAAGAAAAAAACAAAATATGAAATTTCTAGTGGATGTCATAATAATGCACGTTAAATTTCAAGCGTTTTGCAAAATTTTCTCAAAAAAATCGTTTGAAATTGAAGAGAATTAATGACTAATAGGAGAAAAGCGGCGAAACGCGTCAAAAAAATGCGATTTCGAAATGTCGGTGCGCGCCAACCGCGTTTGAATGGACAACCTGCACATCAAACTGCCCGCGCAGTTCAAATTTCTCGTTTGCAAATGCCAATTTTCACAATAATTTGTTCACATTTCTTTCGAAATTTCGCACCGTTTACAATAATTACTCAATTGCGGTAATTCAGAGACAAATTAAAATAAAAGGGAATGCGGAAATTGTAAAACGTCCATCGCACACATACACACAAGCGCGCGCGAATATATAGATATTGGGCGACATATTTGTAAGTGGCGTACTCTTGAGAGCGAGTCGGGTCACGACACGATCAGATTATGAACATCTGGCGTCTTTGGTGTGCACATTTGCCATGCATGCAACCGACCAACCAAAACACTTTATTTTATGCATTCGAATTACCCGGGAATGGGAACATCGGAATATCAAATCACAGAAACTATATAATAACGGGGGTGGAGAGGGCAATGTGATAATTATTATAAGGAGGAGCTGTCTGAAGACGAGCTGCGTCCTAGCAGTCGTTTTCGGCAGGCCGATTCCGCGATTGTTGAAGGTAGCTTCGTGTTCAGGGTTTCCGGAAGCAGTAGGGTTAACAGGCCGCCGGTTATGGAAATAACGGTTAGCACAATGGCGGGACCCATTGCGAAAATTGTTGCCTATAAATTAGCCGCTTTATTAAACGTGCATCATTATGCGGCTACCAATTGTCCCAAGTATGGGGAAAGCATTCCACCGAATCTTGACATCGTTTCACAGAATCCGATGCACTTGTTCCTGCCGTCTGTGGGAAAAAGCTGCAATTCGGATTCTTCAAGACAGCGTTGTCGATTTTGGCTACCTCGCCAGCGAACATGTAAATGCTCATGAACGAGCAGGAGATTGAAAATTTGCCGACAAGCCAGAAATGGAGATGATAGGTCTCCGGCAACAAGACGATTCCAAGGAATGCCAAACCGGCTATGATATGGGTTCCGGAGATCAACGTTTTCCGGCCGTACCTTTAAAATCGTGTAAATTGCGTCCCACAATAGGAGCGATTACTTATTCATGAATACTGGAGCTAGAATATAGGCTGGAGCTTCGACTAAGCTCATCAGCACGAAATTGGTATAAACGTCGCCAGCAAGATCGGTTGAGTAGAACGAGAGTCCGAAGTAGATGAAAGTGTCAACGATCCTGAATCGCAGATTCTTTGAATTCGAGAACCTTCAATTTTTACCAGATATAAGCCATTGAGAGAATGTATAAGAGGAAGATCTTGTGCTTCCAACTATCCCGCATCAATCCTACAAATGTCGATGTCTTTCCATCGTGCTGCTCTTCGACAATATCCGACGCTTCTATATTATTTTGTGGTCCCATCACGTAATCCAGCCATTTTTTAACATTGGCCGAGTCATGGATCGAAGCGAGATAGTGGATACTTTCTGGGACGAAGCTGAAATTTAAAATTAAAAGGAAACTTTTCGAATTTGTCGAATTACAAATAAATGATGGCAGCAATGACTACGTTAGGAATTGAGATGGTAAACATAAGGATCCTCCAGTTGGGTAGAATATAGGCCAGAAGAGCTAACAAGCATGCACCGACGACCCAAGTGATTCCAAAGTAGACGGAGGTGAAGAATCGAAGCCCGACAGGTGTGTTCTCATAGCAAAGCACCCATCCAGCAAGCCCGGCGGCTGTGTAGAACACACCATGAATCAGGCGAAGAATGCAGAAGGAGAGAAGTGACAATGAGAAGGCGGAAGCGCAGCCAGCAGCCGACATTAGTAGCAAAGTTACCACAAATATGGGAAGTCTGCCATATTTGTCGGCAAGAGGTGGAATGAATATCCCGCCGATCATATTTCCGATCATGTAGAACGTTGTGGTACTGTCGGCGAGCCACTTCGAATCACCAGTGACATCGAACTGCAATTTTCGAAACTATTAAAATTTGTTTCAAAATATTCATACTTCATCTGAAATTGCAACAAAGCTGGAATTATCCGGCGATTTTAGCACAAATGATGGACAAAAAGCGGTGAATGCAATTGGAGTCCATGTGATGCCGCAGAGAAGGATGCAGGAAATGATTTTTTGATTTTTGCGTCCTGAAAATATTAATTGACACTTAGATTGATAGTATGGTATGATATGAGGTGATCGCTAACAGGGAACTTTAGAAAAAAAAACCCCGATTTAGGCAAAAAAAAGAAATCCGCAATACATCAAAATTATCTCGGTGTTTGCGGACCACATCGCCTACCGTATCGTGTTTGAAAACGATTAATTCAGTAATTTACCTACTGTATTTAGAACATCATCGGCCGAGAGTTTTTCCGCCATTCAACCTGAATCAAAATGATATTGCAATCGAACTATGCGGGTTTTGCATGAATGATGAGGGGGTTTTCCACTTGGTCAAATACAAAATTTTTTTTGGAGGAGGAGGCAGAGGCGAAACACACAAATCGATTTGTGATATGGCGAGAGTGTCCAGTGAAATCTCGGATGAACAGAGAAAACATAATATGATTGGGGTATCAAGGCGATTTCGAATCCCCGCGCCCATAAGACAAATGTCAAAGTTCAAAATTGTTTACAAACAGCTGTTCGCCGGCCTCCAGACATTGTTTGGTCTCGAAACGAAACGAGTGCCCGAATGGCAGAATGTACTATTCTTCTCTCTCTCTGACTTTTTCTCTATCTCATATCAGCCGTTCTCCGATGGTGTCATAAATTAGAGAAAATGACATTTAGCGGGGGCAAAAAATGAGAAAGTCACGAAAGAAACCTGTAATATGATTAGGTTGGCGATTTCGGTGAAATTCTCGTCGAAAAGGTTGAAGATTGGAATGCAAAATTTAAAAATTGAGTTTGCAAATCTCAAGACATCAAAGAAACCGGAAATATTGCATTTTTTAATTCTGAAAAAAGTCTGTCGCCGCGAGACCACTGGTATGAGCCTTTAAAAAAAGATGCATACAATAATTGAGCAGAATTGTTTTTTTTTTCTGGAAGCCGCGTGGTCTTCAGAAACACACCATCTATTAAAAAATATCTGCGCTGACTACGGTAAATGCTGATCGGTGTACTGCGTACCGAAACGCAGGATTCCACGACACTCGCCATTTCCCAACAACAATATTTATAGTTATTTTTTGTAATTATTTCCTCATCATTTTTTTCCCCAATCAAATTGTGTCAATTTTCGAAAAATCGCCAACAATCATTAACGTCAAATGCGATTCTCGTCAATTTAAACAAAAATGTTCAATTTCTGTTTGGCGCCAAAAAAAAACGTTGGGGGAGTTTGTTTGAAGATCATTTCGATGATATTCTTCGAGTCCAATTTCAGTCAGGCTCATTGTCGACTCAGGTGACACTTCGCATCAGTCAGCTGTTGTTGAACTAACTACAGCACACACAAACTCACATCACATTGCCGAACCAAAATGCGGCTCGTACTGCTCGTCATTCTAGCTTATTCCGTTTTCGCTGCCGTTTCGAAGAGCCCGCAATTGGACGAATATGGTTTCCAGCCGACTTGCGTCTCATGCACCGCGTTGGTCTCAGTTGTCAGGTTCCTTAAATTACCCCCAATTTAATCGTTCTAATTAATTAATTTTTCTAGTTTAATTCTCAAGTTTGACATTTCGGAGCCGGTCGTTCTTGAGCTCGCCACTGTTATTTGCAAATTGTTCGCGAAACAATCGTGGGCGGTTTGCGATGGAATTTCAACGCAGTTTCGGGTAATTCGTCGAACCAATTAAGCCTTATTGCTAATTGGTCGTTGATTAGGACGAGTTCTTCTATGTGTTCCGACATCTCGCCTCGGAGAGCCCTTCCCAGATATGCGGAATTCTTTTGCCGGATTGCGCCGATCCGACGGATCCTTCAGAATCTGGATGGGTTATTGCGTTACCGCCGAAGGCTGTGGAAACCAAAAAACCGATGAAAAAACGGACGAAATATCTGAAAAGTTGATCATTTTTCAATGAAATTTCCAAAAAAACGCGATTCAGACTCGCAAAAAAACATGCAAATATTACAACTGACCGACTTACACGTGGACTTTGATTATATATTTCCATCAGAGGCGATTTGCGACGATCCAGTGTGCTGTCGGAAAAATACGGGTATTCGCGTCGCGGTGTTTGCACACTTTCCATCGCTACAGTAGCGTCATACGAAATTCGCCAATATTGCATATTTCAGCAACCCCGAAGAAGCCAGCCGGCTATTGGGGTTCGGTGGGAAAATGCGACATTCCCTATTGGACGGTGGAGAATATGTTGAGCCATATAAATAAAACGCACGCGGTTCGTCGTTTGATTGTACATAGACAACGAAAAACAAATGAATTGTAATTGTAGATTGATTTTGTGATAATGACCGGAGATTATATCAATCATGTCGATTGGGAATATTCCATCGAAGAGCATTTATCGGTATTGCGAAAATTGCACCAAATCGTTGTGGAGGCGTTCCCAACAACGCCGGTCTACTGGTCATTGGGCAATCACGAAGGTGTTCCCGTCAACAGTTTCGCGCCGCATTCGGTCGCTGAGCGATTCTGGCCGACATGGCTTTATAAGGAGCTGAATCGCATGAGCAAACCGTGGCTGAGTGTCGGCGCTGAAGAAGGCCTTCTGAAGAGGGGCTCGTTTGCGACGCATGTCATCGACGGACTCAAAATTATTTCATTGAATACGGGATTCTGTGAAGTCACCAATTTGTAGGATTTTTTTTGTTGGAAAATTGCCAGAAAAAAAAACAATTTAAGACACTTTTTAACGTTAAAATCATGTTTCAGCTTCCTTTATCTGAATCAAAGCGATCCGGATTCGACAATGTCATGGTTCGTCGAAGAACTTTTGAAGTCGGAGAAGGCCGGCGAGCATGTCTACGTTCTCGCGCATATTCCGCCCGGCGATTCCGAATGCCTCGAAGGTTGGGCATTCAACTACTATCGGGTTATTCAGCGATTCGCCGACACAATTTCCGGCCAATTTTTCGGCCACGACCATCTCGATTTTTTCACAATTTTCTATGAGGACATGAATGATGTTGAATCGACACCGATTTCTGTCGGATTTGCTGCGCCCAGTGTAACGACGTTTGAATTCCAGAATCCTGCATATCGGATTTACGAGGTCGATCCCGACGACTCATTTGTCAGTTTGTTAATCACCAATCAATTAATCAGCTAGCCAATTATAGAAAATTGTTGATTACACGTCGTATTTTGCCGATTTGGACGCGGCGAATCTCGAAACGCCGCCAAAATGGGAGAAGCTTTACTCGGCACGAGAAGCCTATAATATTGCCGACATGTCGCCGAAATCTTGGAATCGCGTCTCGCAGCGAATTTTCAAGTCGAGAAAACGAAGGCAGCAATTTGTGCGCAATGCGTTCCGAACAAAGAATCCCGAATGTAATTCGATTTGCGAAATGCAACTCATGTGCAGTCTCCGAATGGGACATCATAACTCAAGCCTGTATTGTCCAATTTGATTAATTTATTATTAATAATAATAATGTAAATAAATTGAATAATAATAATAATAATACCAGTAGTTAGGAATCAACGGCAAATGGGTTGGCATGTACAGTGACTGATTGGATCCTGAAATAAAAAATATTTCTTTTAAGAGAATGTAATTGCTACTTTTGCTCGACTAGGGGCCGATATTTAGCGTCGACTTTTATCGTTTCGAGCTCCTCTAATGTGTCGAATCCGTCAATTACCCTGCAATTCTCGCATTTCCAATTCATAATTTGTTTTTCGAGCAGTTTTGACTCACTTGCCGAATAGCGTATACTTCATGTCGAGATGCGGTTGTTTGTCATAGGTAATGAAGAATTGCGATTGATTCGTGTTGGGACCATTGTTCGCCATTGAGACGCACCCTCGCGAATCGTGTTTGAGCGATGTGACAAATTCGTCTTCAAACGGCACACCCCAAATGCTTTTTCCGCCTTTTCCCGTATGCGTTGGGTCGCCGGTTTGAACCATAAACTCCTGAAAAAAAAAACGAAAATTTGAAAAAAAAACCAGAATTTCATTAAAAATTCACTTTAATATTCCTATGGAATGTGCAGTTGTTGTAATAATCGCTGGCGCACAACGCTAAAAAATTCTGAAAAAAAAACGAATTCTTCTTTCAATTCTTTTCCGCATACCTCACACGCTTTTGGCGCGTCTTCCACATATAATTCGATTTTTATATCACCTGATGTTGTGTGAAGCGTAACAGCCATCTAGAAATTGAGAAACTAGCGAAAAATTGAGATTTTCGAAAAACGAAATTTGAAATAATCAACTTGTGGCCTAGAAAAAACGCGGCCCTTACGTTAGGCCATATCAATTATCCATAAAAAAAAGACGAAACAGGAAGAAAGCGTTCGTCTAATATGCATTTATGTCACGAATACGAATTGACTGGTTAATTGCCGTCAAAACGGAAGGTTGATGGCAGAAAAAGACATTTATGGCTCAATTTTTATGTTTATATATCCAAGTTTTCCCTTAAATAGTAGTCATGGCTACATAACAAATGCCTACAAACTTTTCTATAAACCACTTCATCTAATCTTCAAGCGCTCATTTTTCATTCTTCGCTTCTTTCAAACAACCAAAAGGGCTCAACTCATCATCTTCAAGATTAAGAAGAGGCAAAAATAGTCTGGTTTGTCTTTCTTTTTTCTTTTATTAAAAAACATCGAAAAAAGTGGGCGGAGCTTGCATTTCGTGCTTCATTGTCATAAAAATTGATGCGCACGCAAGCGCACTCTCATTCGTTTAATTGTTTTTACAGCCAACACGTGTTTTTTGTGGTTCCTTTTTTGGAAAAACCTTGAAATTCGCAAAAATGAAATAATTTTTTCGTATATATTGTCGCAACCAAACAACTGATGCTGTCAGACGCGTTGCGGCTCGCGTCGCGATCTTCTACGAATCTAATGATCTCCATTCCCTCTAAAATGTACTCAGTATATTGATATCATTTTTTTATCACAAAAAAATGATATTCGACTTTTCTAGAAAAAAAATATGTGCCGATTAAAATGCAAGTCCGCAAAGTTGATGCGGCGTGGTTGCACAATTTTTTACAACATTTCGGGGCATGCGTTTTAATCGAGGCGAATTTTTCGAAAAGAAATGCCTGCGTCTCTCAAAATCGCTCACTCTCTCAAACGACAGTCTTTTCTGAAGCCCTTCTTTCGGAGTTTTCAGCACCCTCAACTAGGGCTCAATTCGGTTTTTTGATCTTTCTTCCGAATTCGCCAAACCCACTCTCATCTCCAATGAATATTGAATTATATTTGCCTGTCAAAGTTCACACTTCCATTGTTGTCTGAAAATTTTGTTGCTTCTCGATGCACAAAATCCAATCTCGATTCATCCTATTTCATTTTGCGACAAATTTGAAACACACGGCATTTTCATTTGTTTTTGTTCGTGTTTCTGCTCATCCAAAATAACCCCGCCCAAATTCGAGCATTTGTCTGTTTTTTTTCTCGGTAGGAAATGCGCTCAATCATCGCGATTCTCAGTCTTCTACTCGCGTTGTGCGCGATTTCGACGACGAGCGCCGGCGTCGTCGGCTTTCAGCCGCGCTATTTCCGCTATCGAAAATGGGATCCGACGCACGATTTCTACGACGACGACGAGGTTTCTCTACAATTCTCATCATCGCACCACAACCATTTGTTTTGTTTTGTTTTGCAGTTCAATCGCCAACTCCGCGCCCGCCCATTTTCACCAATGGCGTATCGAATGAGAATGCATAATTGAGTGTCTAAAATGAATAATTTAATGTTAATTCGTGTTTATTTCTGAATTGCCATTGCCGAGCTACTCGATGATGCCGAACTCGAGGTTATCGACACGGTCGTCGAGAATGTTGAAGTCGGCGAGTGTTGAACTCGACTAGGCTTAATCGGACGCTCTTTCGATTTTGGCGCTGTTCGCGCAATTTTCCCATTTTCAACACACGGATCTTTTTCGTCGGGCGCCTCGCAAAACTCTTCCGGATGGCTCGACACGTAGCTCATTAGTGGCGCCAACGGGTCGAGCATCAATTTCGGCTTCTCGTTCTGAACAATTTCGAATGTATGGCAAATGACAAAATGAGGGTACAAATTGCGGGATTTCGTAGTTGGACGAGAAAAAGAGTTTGAAGTTGATAAAAAGCAAAATGGCCTGCAAAAAGGAAAAAAATTTTGAGGACGCCGAAACTCGGCCACGGCCATCGCATTTGTTCGGCCAGCTAGAAAAATTGGTCGAGACTTTCAAAAAGCAAAAATGCAAGTGCAGCACACTAATTCTAAGTAAAATGCAAGTGCGGCACACAAATTCTAAAAAAAAGTGCAAGTGCGGCACACTACCACAAGCTTTTTTTAAGTAGTTGTGATTTTCTATTATTCCAACGAAGTTGAGACTTTCATTTTAATATTTGGTTTTTGAAATCCTAAACACATAGAATCTATAGATACTCATTTAGTTCTACTTAATGAAAATTAACTAATCCATCAGATTTGGTCGTGGCCGTGGCCTAATTTTTGATGACATTTTTTCTAGGCCACACAAATGTTTCGGCGAGCCGTAGTCTGAAAATCTTACTATTATCCAAGTGTAAGTATAGACGGTGAAAATCAGCCATTCATTAAAGCCATTGATTTCGAATTCGAAACTGAAAATTAGAAAAATTAAAAATTTTAAGATTGTCAAAAAAAAAGATTTTTGGAAAAGGATAAAGAAATCGCTAGTTTTTTGGTTTTAAACTAGATAAAAATAATCAAAATTTGGGGTTTTTTTTTCGAGAAAATCAACTACTTGTAGTGAATTTCAAGTTTTTTTTTGTTAAAATAAGATTTTTGCAAAATCAATGACGCTTTAAAAATTTTTCAGAAAAGCATACTCATTTCGATAATCCATTCAGCTCAAATTGATGCGAAAAAATCGAAATGAGCAATTGATCACGTTTCTTTGACTATTCAATTGATGTCCGCGACAAAATTGAATTATGTAATTGGTTATCAATTTTTATTAGACGCCGGTGACATGCGCCGCTGCCACCTGCTCGCATAATGCACATGAGTCGGCTCGTTTGGTTGGCACTATTCCAATTCTGTCTCGCCAATCACCCAGTTTTTCCGCCGCCCACTCAATTGTACTGTCCGACTCATGGAACTTCTGCGTATATTTTTGTCACCGTCACACCCGAAGTCGACATCGACGCGTTTGCGGCTCTTCTCGAATATTATGCGAAGGTCTCATTTCCACCACCCCCCACCATCCCAATTTTTCGACATCAATCGATTTTCAGCTAATGCCATACAATTCAACAAATCAAATAAAATACGACTTTTATTTTGGCGCCAATTATTCGCAAATTGTCAAGACGTTTTCATTGGAGACTGATGTGAATGTAATTGCCCCACACTAATTATGCTATCTAATCAAATAATTATTAAGGAATGGGTGCATGATAATAATTATCTGAACCTTCTTTACAATAGCGCATTGACATCCAGCAAGGAGTTGCGACAGGAGAATAGCGATGAGTTGACGAATGTGGTGCGGTCAATTTATGATGCGATTTCCAAGGAGAATCAATTGGATGCGTCGGTGTACCTAAAAAAGCAAATTGTGCTGATAACGGATTATGTGCCGTTGAATGTCACCGATTTGCTCAACAATAATGATAATGTGAGTGTATTGCAAAAGAAAAAAATTTAAAAAAGAAACTGAAAGACGCGTCAAAAATAATTTCCGCGTGGTCTCGCCGAGACGTGAAACATATTCATCATGCGCCTTTAAGTCCGATTACTGTAATTGTTTTTTTTTTAAATCCAACGCACGATTTTTTTCTTCGCTCAAAAATTGCAAATTTCCAGGAAAATACTCAAATTCTTGGAATTTTTCAACGAATCGATGATTCCGCGTTCGACGACGCCGCCATTTTTCCAGTATTTTCAATGGAAGACACGGGCATTTCGAGGATTAGAAATATTTTTCAATCGAATTATGATTTTGGTTAGTAGGAATTTCAAAAAAACGAAAATGTCCATTTAAAAATTTTCAGAATTTCCGCGAATCATTCACGAGACGAAACCGACATCCGATGTTTATGTCTTCATGACTTCATCCAATATGACATCGCTGGCCCACGTGATCGCCAATGCCATCAATGGTCCCGCATGCCAATTGCAGCGCGCTAGAATGTATTCCCAATTTGTGCATGTTCAATTAATACAAGTATGGACCATTGAAGAATTTGCAAGTTTATGTGTATTTTTTTTTCTAGAATGGCACAGTTTGGCAGCTAATTATTCCCTGGCTTGGTGAACACACACAACAATTCACCAAGATTTGTTTGAATAGTGTATTAGAGGCCGGTAGGCTGTCGAACAACAATTTTTCTAAACGGAAGTTCAAAATTTCAGCTCCCGCTCCAAATTGCACAGAAATGAAGACTCAGATTCTCTCAAACTTCGTCGATCATATTTCCACCGTCGCCAATGAATCCTTCACATATTTATTCTTGGATAGGGCCGATTGTGCGCACACTCATAATTTGACAATGAAGCTCAACGATATGGTTGAGGGTTTTTTCGTGATTTTTAAAACTCTCCAATTTTCCAGTCTCATGTTCGAATTGTGATGGAGGAGAAGCTGAACGACGTCTACGAGGAGTTCACACTGCCATTGATCTCTTTAGGATTCTTGGATCAAACCGTCGACAATCAGGTCATTCATAATGACATGTTCTATCTTGGCAATTTCTCGACGTCGTGCACTGACGAGATGCCGATGGTCCCGTTGCTCGCTTCGAGACCCTGGCGGCGAACGAAACACTTGTATATTGCTCTCGACGACATGCTCACCATATTCATTTGCGCAACGATATCGGTGAGCACGTTCGGCTGTTTGATCTACCGTCATGTGCGAAGGACACATAAGAAGCAGATGGAGCTGCTCAGCGAGATTATGCTGCAGCCAAGAATTTACAAGTAAAATCTTTCTTCCTTATTCGGATTGATCACATTTCTTTTTCTGTAGAGCTCCTCGAGAGTGCCCGAAAGTGGCGCGGCTTCCATGGGAGATCAAATCGGAGAACGTGCACATCGACTTCGAATTCCTGCTTGGCGAAGGAACCATTTCCAACGTGTACCTCGGAAAACTTAAAGGGAGAGCCCCTATAATGCAATGGATTGAGAGGATTGAAATGAAGCAGTTTCAGGATTGCGCAGTGGCTGTTAGAGTAAGAATTGCTCGATTTTTAACCAATATTAATTTCACTTGAAAGGTCCCCCGACATTTTGATGAGCCTGAGGAAGATCAGCTTCAGCGGGAGATTGCTTCGATGAGGCAACTTCGTCATCATGACCATATCGCCCTTCTTCTTGGATGGACTGATAAGAATAATTTGGTGTGTAGCCTTTTGGAGCTCACCCATATGAATCTTATCAAATATCTTAATCAGATTAAGACGATGTGAGTCTCTATGTATAATTTTTTTTGTCAAAAAATTTTAACTCAATGATCGGAAATTTGGCATGTTCAATTCAATCGATAAATGTTCTAAAAATGACAATTTGACCTCTACAATGTCAATATTTTTGAAAGACATTTGAGAAATGATTATTACAAAAAATTGGAAAATTTATTTCTACAGTAATACCGGTATCCTTTCAGCACGCAAACCCCGAACGCCAACGGCTTCTCGCCAATGGATTGCATACCATTCCAAACGATGTATAAAATCATTTGGGAGACGTGCGATGGTATTGAGTACATCCATTCGAAGAATCTGGTGCATCGCGATTTGACGGCTCGCAACATTCTGTTGACAACCGGCCTCCGCGCGAAGATCTCGGGATTCGGCTTCTGCTCGGAGCCCGGCGATCCGAAGTTCACAATGAAATCGCTCGCGTTGCGATATTTGCCGGTTCGTTGGCTGGCGCCTGAGTGCTTCTACGGCAATTTCAGTTTCAAAAGCGACAGGTGCGATTCTACGATTTCGTCACCCAAAACACAGTAATCCGCATACAATTTGCAGTTGGGCGTTCGGCGTTCTAATGTATGAGATTTTTACGCTCGGCGATCAGCCGTATGAAGATTTGACGAGACCTGAAGAAATAATCGAAAGTGTGAGGAAGGGTCGAATTCCGGCGCATCCCAAATATGCTACGAAACAAACCTATAAGATAATGCAAAGCTGCTTCGAGACCTACACTTCAAGGCGGCCGACGTTCACGCAGCTGAAAGACGCGTTCCACGTGCAAAGCACCGCCTACTACAGTAATCCGGCGTTTGAAGGCGACTAGAAGGTGTCGATAAACAAAAAGAATAATTGTTAGACGGGTGCCTCCCATCCATTAAAATTGGTCATAAATTGTAAATAATTGGTTTATCGGCATAAAATGGAAACATTTTTACACTCACAGACATTTGTGTCTGCCTTTTAAGGCGAATGGTTTCCCACACGTTTTCCGCATTCATCATGAATCGATTCGCGATTCTTTTATTGCTGCCGGCAGCCGTTCAGGCTTTTGCGTGCACCACTAGTTGGTTCCATCCGTTTTATGGTCATTTTTTTCTGACACAAAAATTTTGTAGAGGATGAGCCGATAATGGTGAGCGGCTTCGTCAACAAGAATTTCATGATGAAGCCGAGCGAGAAGGTGAAGAACTGCAATGGCTATTGTATTGGGTTGGTTTGTTTCTCTTTTTTTCGTGCGTCTCTCACCACGAAAAATTCGCGATTCCAGACGCCAACTTCATTTGGACGCGACGCTGGCAAATGGCGAGCAGATCTATGTGCGTAGCGTCCATTTTTCGTGTGTTCCCGTCACGAAGAAATCGAAAAAGTTGTGTGAAGTAAGAGCAAAAGCTTTGCTGAAATTTAAAAAAAAGTTTTCTTACAATAAAAACTTTTATTTTTTTTCCGCACAGTTTGTCCATTTTTTCTCATGCCATCAATGTGTTCGCGAAGTAGGTCGCCTTAATAATGCATTTTTTGTTTGGTTTTGCTTTTACCTGATTTATTCTGCTAAACGAATAGAAAAATAAAAAGAATTTTCAAAAAATTGATTAATAATTTTGGTGTACTGTATTCATCGCTTCGAAACTTAAATAAAATTCAGTGATGCGCCTTTAAAATTACAGTACCCAAAATTTTAATTTCACTATTTTTGGTGTTTTTTTTCGTCTGTTTTGAAAATAAAAGTTAACTTTTAAAAATTTTAAAGCTTCATATATTAAAAAATAGGTTTTTTTTCAGTTTTTTTGAGTTTGCCTTTAATTTTAGTTTAGAAATTAGGTTTTTTTTTTTAGTTTTGCGATGAATGTAAAAAATTAATATCTCATTTTTCAACAGTCAATCTGCTCCACCAGCCACCACAAAAACAATGTGGCGACAAAACAATTGGACCGATTGATTGGAAGTATCAAACGGATGATTAGTGCGGATATTGGGGTATTTTTAATAATTTGATTATGAAAAACATCGAAGTTTATGAATTTTTAGGATTTCTCGTTTGAAAAAGCGATGGAAAAGACGTGCTGCTGCAAAGATGCGAAATGCGCGGTGCGAACCGACGGCCGATTGCGACTCGCGCTTCAAAGCAATTATAAAATCTCCTAATTAGCGTGTTCGCTGCCGAATAAATTTGAACAAATTGAAATTTTAAATTTTATTTGGCGCCAATCATTTTTCAGCGTGGCTCTCGGCAATTCGCTATCGCCATTTTCCCTATTTTCGGTAATGAATTTCTAAAAGGTAACGATTTTTGGCGAGCGATTTGAATTTGACCAGTTTCAGCTATGCTTAAAATGCACATTAATCAATATGGCAGTGAAAATGAAGAGAGACGGCAGAGAAGACGGGAAATGGCGGGAAAGGATGACAATGAGCCGCCCGTCGGAGCGGACGCGTCGAAAATTGTGGCGCCGGCGCGAAAACCGTCGAATGAGGTCCGATTCGTCAATATCAGGAGCTGAAATTTTTTGTATTTCTGAATTAAGGATAATAATGGATTTTTGTAGTTGAACAAGGAAAACAAGGATGAGCATCCGGGCGCTGAAATCAAAGAAGTGAAAGACGACGCGAAAGAGGAACTCGCGCTGAAAACCGCCGTCGGCCAAATTCTGCCTCCAGAAGAGGAAGAAGCTTCTGGTTCGAATGCGAAGCTCTCCAAATCGGTTTCCGATAATACCGATGTAAGATTTTTCTTTGAATTAGCGCGCAATATGAGAAAGGAAATTTCTAGGATTTTTTTTTTAAATTTAAAGGCGCAATTTAGAAAGAACCCTCAAAAATGATAGATTTTGCGCAATCCGCCTAGAATTTTTTTAAAGTGTTTTTTTTAACCGGAATCATTAAAAATGTGATAGTCTAGAAGCGTGCTCTATAGAAATGTCTCGTTGTATGGCACCCTCTCACTCTCCCTCTATGTCTCTCACCCTTTTTTTCTCTGCGTCTCCCCATTGTTCATAGTGTGATCTCGGGCCCACTATATAAGCTCGCGTTTTTCTTATTTTGGAATTCGAATTGGCTGACTCAATAATAATTTTGACCAAAATGCCAAACGAGAGCAGCCAAAACGCTGAAATTTCAGAAGCTGAGATCGGTGAAGAAGCGCTCGAAAAAGCGGCGATCCGTCAAAAAATCGTCGTCGTTTGATCGGTACCGCGCGATCGATAAGAGCGCTTCGTCGCGGAGCCGCAAGAAGTCGAAAGTGCGCCACAAAGAGTATCAGCCGATGAAGAGGGACGCGAGCAGTTCGGTGAAGAAGCGCAAGAAGAAGAAGTCGATTGGCAAGAAGCCGAAAGAGGAGACGATCCTTCGGCAGATATTCAACAAAGCCAAATCGACGTTCAAAGTCAAAATCGACAATCGACTCGGCGACACTTATGTGCCGATTTCGGACGAGTTCGACAAGGAGCCGGACGTCGAGCCGGTATTTGAGCCCGACGAGGTCGTCGCGCATGATGGTCCGCCGTTGAATAATGAGAATAATGGGAAGCTGTTCATCAATGGCCTGCCGTTTTGGTGTATTAAAGACGAGAAGCCGCCGCCGGAATATTCGTGCAATTTTGCCGATTTGGTCAAGGATGTCGTCGACAAGAAGATCAAGCTGCTCTCGGCGCTTCCTGAGCCGTAAGCTGTTCAGCTTCTTCTTCCTATTACCTTTCGGGTAATTGTGATGATTTTTAGTAATGATCTTGATCCGTACCATCCGGCGGATTATTTGAATTCGAGGGATCGGGAGTATTTCAGTGATCCGAAACGACTTCTCACCAATACGATTCGATCATTGGTTGGATGTAATGGCGCTGTTCAGGTGGAGGGCTTTTCTTTTATCCAAAGAGGAGGAGAGGGTGATTTTTAGGAGGAGACGGCAAAATCGAGCCGTAACTCGATGACTTCAACAATTACTTGGGTTGTACCAACACAAATCTTGATTTATAATCGAAAATGTCGGACACAGAAGGCATTGGCGAATCCGTTCGTGCCTGGTCAGAATTTGAGGAAGCGAAAGAAGAGAAAGAAGAAGAAGAATGGGAAGACGGCGAACGCGTTGACGCCGCCTAATGCAACTTGATTTCAACTTTTTCGTAATTTATTTTTATGGGAGATGTGGTTGTGGAAAATGGCATGCGGTGAAGTAGATTTCCAAACAAAAAAAAAAGAAGGATATGGACGATGGTCCCTATTGGCGGCGCTCGTCGAGAATTTCACTTTATCAAACTAGGGCACTAGGTAGATTTTAGAATACAATTGAAGGTTCTCCAACCGAACCATGAGGGAGCTTCCAGGATCGTGGCAGCCTTTACGGGCCAACGAGAGCTTCCGTCCGTAGTCTAAAGTTCTGCTCAATTAAGTCAGCGATCAATCTAGACGAAACTATTGAGCGCCGCCGACTCGCCTGCAATGCCGACACGTTTATATATATAGGCATTGGCGAGTGGCCGACACGTTGCGGGTTTCGCCGATGCCTATGTTTTGTGTTGCACGCGAAATGCGCCAGTGTCGCGCAAGTTTGACGCAACTGTCTGACCGAGTATTGCGATATTCCGAGAATGTTCCATTGAAAATGATTTTAAATCTTGATGAATTACATCAGAAACCTTTCTGATTGATGAGTTGACCAGAAACTAGAGGATTCTCTACGGTCGAGGCTGTCGAGTCATCGATTGTCCATTTATTTGGGACCACAAGAAAATTCCTTCTTTTTAATGAATATTTACATCGAATCAATTATTGTTGAGCCAAAAACTCGCGCATTAATTTGTTAACGACTTCTGGAGCATCCTGTTGAACCCAATGCGAAGCACCTGGAACATACTCGGCTCTGCCGTTGGTCAGCTTCTGCAATAATGCAATTCGTTTTGAATCGAAGCGATTGCGAACCTTTAAGCTCAATCCAGCCAACTCTTTTCCGAGAGCGGCATCGTCTGTGCCCCAAATCACTAATACTGGCATATTCAAGATGTCCTCCTCCCCATACAACGATGTTGAGTCAAACATGTTACGGTAATAATTGATTGGATATTCGAACGAAGCTGGAACAGAGAGCCGATTGATTCAAAAAAAAAGCTCGTCTGTGTTACCCCCATTATTTGAATATGCGTATTTCCAAGCTTCGAGATCTTCATCAGTAAAATTCTCTTGATTTCTAATACCCATTTCTTTTGACCTGAAGAAAAATTCGAGCAATTTCATATCCTCAGCGTTGCTTAGAATTTCCGGAAGTTTTGGAGTTTGATAGAAAAAGAAGTACCTGAAAACAATGAGCTGAAATATCATTGATTCAAAAAAAATGTAACGGACCAACTCTTTTTGAATTGCTCATACGAATTCCGGAAATGGTTGACAAGTGTGGCCGGCCGCGTGATATTCAAAAAAATTAGCTTTTCAACCATTTCAGGATAATATTCGGCGAACAACCAGGCGATAGCACCTCCCCAGTCGTGTCCTACTATTATTGCAGACTTGTAACCTCAAATAAATCAAAGTGGATAATAATGGAAATTGCGATTCCTACCCAAGGCCTCAATGAAATTCTTGACGTCGTTGGTGAGCTCTCTGACATTATAATCCTCGATGCGGGGTGGTTTGTCCGACAAATTGAATCCCCTCTGGTCAATTGCTACACATCTGAATGGCATTTGAAAAAATAATGCATAATTGGGTATAATTGAATGAGCATACCTATAATCATGCTGGAATTCCTTCAATTGGAACCGCCAAGAATACCAAAACTCGGGGTAACCATGAACGAACAGCATCAACGGTTTGTCATCGGAACCAGTTTGAACATAGTGCAATCGGATGTTCTTGAATCAATGAATGCGTTCCGAAGTGTTGAAAAAGAAATCCAAACCGACCTTCAATTGAATGAATCGACTGTCCCATCCCTCAAGACATTTCGGTTTTTCTCTTTTCTTTTGTGCAAAATATCGAGTGCCTTTGGTGAGAATTCCGAGAATTATTGGGATTGCGACAACCGCTGTGAAAAATATCTGATAAATGACGATTGTGAACCTATTGACAATCATCTGAATAAATCAATATTACTAGAATCACAATGATCAATGGAACAGAGCAATTTCGACTTGTCGCGTTCGTTATATACCAAAGGCGCAAGGTCATAGAGGGCGTTGCTAATGATTGCATTTTGATTTCGAAGGGCGGTAATTCAAATTTGAATTCAAACATATACACAGGGTGCTGGATTTCGAGACAAAAAAAAGAATTTTCATGGTGTAAAATGAGCGAGCCACTAAAATGTTTCAAATAATCGCCAGCGATAAATTGGGGAAACAAAAAAACAAAGGAGGGTCACACGAGACGAAGAGAGTTCGTGTCTGGGTTCTCCGCTTCATGCCAGGTCGCATTCGACCCATCAATGAGCGCGCAAACCGCTGGCGCGCGATTTTGCCAATCTAAAATAACAATTAAAAAGAAAACGTGTGCAAATATTGCTTCTTCTTCTTTTCTTATTGTTGTTTATTCGACCACAATTTCCCACGATAGCTACACTTCAAACTACAACTCTGCTATAATCGTGCGGACAATTATAGTTGACTTGTAGTTCATGATTACAATTCACTTGTAGTTTGAAGAGAGAGAGATAATGGAATATTGACATAGAAAAATGATGACCTTGCGTCTTTGGTATATAACGAACGCGTCAAGTCGAATATCGTGTTGACCTGCTCTCTTGATCATTGTGATTCTAGTAATATTGATTTATTCAGATGATTGTCAACAGGTTTACAATCGTCGTTTACCAGCTGTATTTTACAGTATTTGCTGTAATTGCCATAATTCTCGGAATTCTCACCAAAGGCACTCGATATTTTGCACAAAAGAAAAGAGAAAAACCGAAATGTCTTGAGGGATGGGACAGTCGATTCATTCAATTGAAGGTCGGTTTGGATTTCTTTTTCAACACTTCGGAACGCTTTCATTGATTTAAGAACATCCGATTGCACTATGTTCAAACTGGTTCCGATGACAAACCGTTGATGCTGTTCGTTCATGGTTACCCCGAGTTTTGGTATTCTTGGCGGTTCCAATTGAAGGAATTCCAGCATGATTATAGGTATGCTGCATTTTTACTTGGCATCCATTTCAAATGCTATTCAGATGTATAGCAATTGACCAGAGGGGATTCAATTTGTCGGACAAACCACCCCGCATCGAGGATTATAATCCCAGAGAGCTCACCAACGACATCAAGAATTTCATTGAGGCTCTGGGTAAGGATCGCAATTTTCAATATTATCCACTCTTTTGATTTATTTGAGGTTACAAGTCTGCAATAATAGTAGGACACGACTGGGGAGGTGCTATCGCCTGGTTGTTCGCCGAATATTATCCTGAAATGGTTGAAAAGCTAATTTGTTTGAATATCACGCGGCCGGCCACACTTGTCAACCATTTCCGGAATTCGTATGAGCAATTCAAAAAGAGTTGGTCCGTTACATTTTTTTTGAATCAATGATATTTCAGCTCATTGTTTTCAGGTACTTCTTTTTCTATCAAACTCCAAAACTTCCGGAAATTCTAAGCAACGCTGAGGATATGAAATTGCTCGAATTTTTCTTCAGGTCAAAAGAAATGGGTATTAGAAATCAAGAGAATTTTACTGATGAAGATCTCGAAGCTTGGAAATACGCATATTCAAATAATGGGGGTAACACAGACGAGCTTTTTTTTTGAATCATTCGTCTCTTTGTCTCAGCTTCATTCGAATATCCAATCAATTATTACCGTAACGCTTTTGACCCAATATGGTTGTATGGGGAGGAGGACATCTTGAATATGCCAGTATTAGTGATTTGGGGCACAGACGATGCCGCTCTCGGAAAAGAGTTGGCTGGATTGAGCTTAAAGGTTCGCAATCGCTTCGATTCAAAACGAATTGCATTATTGCAGAAGCTGACCAACGGCAGAGCCGAGTATGTTCCAGGTGCTTCGCATTGGGTTCAACAGGATGCTCCAGAAGTCGTTAACAAATTAATGCGCGAGTTTTTGGCTCAACAATAATTGATTCGATGTAAATATTCATTAAAAAGAAGGAATTTTCTTGTGGTCCCAAATAAATGGACAATCGATGACTCGACAGCCTCGACCGTAGAGAATCCTCTAGTTTCTGGTCAACTCATCAATCAGAAAGGTTTCTGATGTAATTCATCAAGATTTAAAATCATTTTCAATGGAACATTCTCGGAATATCGCAATACTCGGTCAGACAGTTGCGTCAAACTTGCGCGACACTGGCGCATTTCGCGTGCAACACAAAACATAGGCATCGGCGAAACCCGCAACGTGTCGGCCACTCGCCAATGCCTATATATATAAACGTGTCGGCATTGCAGGCGAGTCGGCGGCGCTCAATAGTTTCGTCTAGATTGATCGCTGACTTAATTGAGCAGAACTTTAGACTACGGACGGAAGCTCTCGTTGGCCCGTAAAGGCTGCCACGATCCTGGAAGCTCCCTCATGGTTCGGTTGGAGAACCTTCAATTGTATTCTAAAATCTACCTAGTGCCCTAGTTTGATAAAGTGAAATTCTCGACGAGCGCCGCCAATAGGGACCATCGTCCATATCCTTCCTTTTTTTTGGTTGGAAATCTGCTGCTGACCCCCACCGAACAATTTTGTGCTCCTAGAAAGTGTTGCATGTCAGAATGCGCAGAAAATGTTTGAAAATTGCCAAAAAATGAGGTTATGTTTTGTTGCTAAAATCGAGAAAAATCAAATTTCGACTATGCTCACCGAGAAGGCCCAATTGTTTCAATGTTTTATGACAAAAAGTGGGAATTTTCAATGAATTATAATGTCATATCATTTTCACGAATTCAGAAGCGTACTTTCGATCGGTTTTCCTGCTCATAGCACTTTCTTTGATTTTCAAAACTTAATTGTGCAATATCGCGTCGCGGTGTTTGCACAATGATACTGTGATGGGAGGGGGGGGGTATTTAAAATCGAAAATTTTCGCAATCTCATCCATTTTGTCCAATAATGACGATTTTCTAGAAGCAACTCGAGTTTGTGCTCAATTTGCTCATAAGGACCATTGAGTTGAGAGTCGATAATTCGATATTTCCTTCGATTTGTAGTCCCTCCACAACCAATTTCCGAAGAAGCGAAACGGCGAGAGTGTGGAGTCGGGCAAAACAAAACAAAAAAAAAACGGAAGGGAAATGGAGGGCAGGCGACACGGAATCGCCATGACAACCCGCCAATATCAGCGCCATATCGAATACGTGGCTCATGCGTGCCGAATTCGCACCTTTCTGATTATTATTATTATTATTATTATTATTATTTGGCCAAGCGATTTTGCACTTTTACCACTTTTACGAATCCCCCCATCCGCAAATGCGCTCTAATGAACCGATTGTAGATCAGAATGCCGACGGCGAAGAAGAAGACGAAAAAGATGGCCACCACCGAAGACCCGCTATCGTCATCTGGCGTTTCGTCGTTGTCGGGAATCTCGTCGTTCGACATTCGCAAAATCACCATCTTCAAGAATGGCGATCGATTTCATCGTGGTGTGAAGGTGAGAGAGAGAGGCTTCAAACGGGCGACGCCGAATTTTGTAGTACGTCATCAATCCGCGCGTCATCAAAGATATGGAGCCGCTTCTGAATCAGCTGAATGAGCGCATCGAGTTGTCGCATGGCGTCAAACGCATCTACACCAAGGACGGCAAATTGGTGAAGGGGATTAAAGAGTTGGAAGATGGAAAGGTGAATATTCCCCCCCCCCGCCCGCGCATTCAATATTGATTTCTGAGAAGCTATAGTTTAAAGGCGCATTGTTGTTGATCTAGTTAGGCGCGCTTAGGTGGCGATGATTTCAGATCTACGTCGCCGCTTCATCGGCGTTCATTCCAATGCGATACGGCGAGTTTGAAGAGCGCGTGTGGATGCCGCCGAGTCGCAAACACAGTCCGATATTCAACGACGATCGTCTGCGGACGGCGCGAACGCGAAGCCAGGAGCCGCGCAAAACGGCCGCCGCGGTGACGCGCAGCCGATCGGTTCGCGCCGTCGTCGCGCCGCGTCACGAGGCGGCGAAACGACCGCCGCCGAGTAAAGTGTCGATCGAGAACGGCAAGAAGGCGATGAGAAGTGAGACGTCGTCGGCATCAACGCGAACTCATCGCATTGATTTCAGATGCGACGAAAGCGGCGGCGCCCAAAGCGAAACCGCCACCGACACCGAAGAAGAAGGCGCCGACTGCTGGAAACGCCAATCAACCAGCAGCTTCGGCTTCAAGGGTACTACTGTAGGCCGGCGTACGGTAGCAATGGTTACGTGTTTGCAGGCGTCGATTGCCTCGTCGGTCATGCCGAATCCGGTGGCAAGTGGCCAAGCGGAAATCATTGAGTTCCCCGAAGAGGCGAAAGTGGTGAATGTGGAGACGATTCATAAGTGAGCTTGTCGTTTTGAATTGAAATCGACACATTGATGATGATGGGATTTACAGGACGCCGACGCCGCCGACGTCGCCGCCGCCGAAGCGAGCGCCGACACCCAAGTCGGTTTCAGAGTAAGACTTTTCCACCAAAAACATCCAGAGAGAGAATTAATTGGATCATGTCAGAGTGCATAGTGAAGAGGAGAAGAACGCATCTGAAGAGGAAGAAGCTTCTGGCTCAGAGGAAGCCGGTGAAGAAGAGGAGTCCGACGAGGAAGGGGCCGAATCGTCGGAAGCCGAATCTGTAGAAGCCGATTCTGATGTGGAGACGCCGTCGTCGAGAAAATCATCATCTGCTGTATCGTAAGAATCATCAGAAGCGAGTTCCGACGAGAAATTGTGGAATTTCAGATCTCAAGGCGATGATAGTGAAAATGAGGAGAAGAAAGCGACCTCCTGAGCGTTATAAATTTTTATTTATTTATTTTTTTTTTGCTCTTCGCGCCGAACATAAACATATAAATAAATAATAGACATATATGCTGAGAATTTGGTTGCGCGGCGACGACACCACGGAGATGTGTGCGTCGGATTCCTTCCACTTCATAGTTTTGGATTCCAATTCGTATTGTTCCTATTCGTACAACAACAAAACAAAATGCCGACGAAAAGGTTTCGCGGAAAAGACGCCGATCATGTGCCGGTCGTACCGACGATGGTGACCTCCGCCGGTGTCGAGTTCAAGCGAATTCAGGTTTTCCGGAATGGCGACGCCCATTTTCCTGGAATGCAGGTAAATTCGAAAATAAAAACTTTTATTCGCCGCAACTACGCTCTAACGCACTTCTTTTTCGTGTGCGCCTCTATAGAAATGCGAAGATTTTTTCTCTCACTTTACGCAAATTCGTATATGCTTATATTTGTAATCGCAGTTAAAGGCGCATTCGCTGCGAGACCTCGATATTCTTCTTGACGATTTTTTATTCTTGTGTTGAATATGTTGCGTTACATGAGCAGGTGGTATGAATCGCATAAAATTGGTCGTGCGTTTTTAACGACTCGATTTTGCAGGTCGTCGTCAACACCCATCGAACGCCCGATATTAATGTGCTTCTCGACGCGATCAGCGATAAAATTGGATTGGTGAATGGCGCCAAAAAATTGTACTCGACGAATGGTGTTCAAATCAAGGATATCAACAAGATCAAAAATAATGAGGTCGTGAGAACCAATTAATTCCAAATTTTAAATTTGCTCAATTTAGAAATATGTGGCATCATCATCGCATTTCACACCATTGGCGTATGGCGGTGAAAAACCATCGCGGAGTCGATCGAAAAGCAAAAAGTTTGGATTTGGTCCCTTTGTTTAATTTCGATCCCCACCATTTTTTCTAGGCGTTCCGACGGTTCTGTCGAAAAGAAGGCGAAACGCAAAAGTAGCAAGGAGAATGAGAAGAACGCCGGCGATGAGATTGAGATCCCGTCGAATATTGAGAAAAAGAAGAAAGTGAAAAAAGTGAAGAAGCGCACGAAAAGAGACGTTGAAGAGCATGTGTAAGCACTTGAAGGAATAATTTCGAACTATTTCCGTTTTTTTCTTTTTTGATTGAAGGGAGACGAAGATCATGATGACACCTGGCTCGAGGCGACATTCGACGACGTCGCACAATTCGGGAACGCTGGCCGTTCACACGCCAAGCGGCACCGACGATAGCGATGGCGATCGATCGGCGTCGCCAAGTAGGGGACCATTGGAATCCCGTGCAAAATGAACGAGACAATTTTAGTGGGACGCTCGAAAACGCCGGCGCCTCACTCCGAGCAGCCAAGTCGAAAACCGACACCTGAGCATGATGAGTCGACGACGCCGCCGCCGCCGCCGGCAAAAGAGTCGCCAAAAAAGGGCATGAGAAAGAAATCGGTACGTATGAGAAGGGAAGGGAAATTTGAATTTCCGCTTTTACTTTTTGCATTTTTTTTCCATATTTTCAGGTCTCCCGCCGAAAATCGCAACCAAATTGGGGCGATTTATCGAATTTCACGAAGAACATCGAGAATCTTCTGAAAAAATGAAGTGATGACGAATCGCGCTCATTCATTTAAAATGGTCCCTTCGTTTTGCTTTGCCCCTCCAATGTAGTATATATATATGTCATATTGAAGAATTGAGAGCTAGCTAATAAAATGAATGAAAATGGGCGGCGTACCAGGTAGAGCGTTTTCATTTCTATTGGATTTCGAGATGCGTGTCACATGAAAAATGTGCGAAAATGCAAATTTCTTTCAATTTATTTTTTGGGTAGCCTGCCGCGCTCTCGCTCTCAATTTCACATCAAATGTTTTTCGATTTGGCTCACCGAATTTTGTTACCGAGAAAATCTTGACCAACTAATTGCTTGCTTCCACTTCTTTCTTCTTCTTTTTTTTTGAAGCGTCGAATTAATTGAATCGCGCGAGCGCGCAAAAAGAAGAGACATGGCGTTTTCCTGTGGTGGAAGAATAAATTATACGTTTTGCTGCTGAAATTAGAACCCCCCCCCACCCGTCCCTCAAAGCGCTGGCTTCTCTCGTTTTGTATAAATCATGCTCGTTGGCACACCTCCCCAATTAGAATTGTGACATTCGCGCGCGCGCGAGACCGAGCGAGCGACCAATTCTTGATTACTTTTTTCTTCAACTCCACCCTTCAAAAATGAGGGCCTGTTTGATTTATGACATCTCTCTACCTATAATTGTCCCACTATTATTATAATTGTTATACATTCGAGCTCACATTCCGAGAAAATGTTTTGGGTGCAACTTTTCGTTGCATTCTTAATTCTCTACCAGCCTTGCTTCGCTTCCATTTCGCATCGACCAAAAAAGGTTCGAAATTCAATTAATCTATACAAATATAATTAGATGAGCAAACACACACACACGAGCGCTCTCCATATATAGAGATATGTCTGAGGATGAATGGAGGCGGCCGACGCTCGCAATTGAAACCAGCATAACTTGATTAGCATAAATATGCGATGACAAGCTACCACCATGAAATTCGCCTCTATTTTGTTTCCATTTGAGCCTAATTAAGCGAAAGATTAATTAGGATTAATTATTGAAATTAATTACTTATATAGTTGCCTATTTAAAAATGCCCAAAATCTGCGATTTTAACTGTTTTTTTCTATCTATTTTAGTGTTTCTTTGAAAACGCCAATTTTCTAAATTTATATTTGAAAGAGAAAAAAAAAACAAATTTTGTCATTTTGCTCCTTCAAATTTGTTTTTCGTCGCAAAGAAAAACTCGATGAGGTGAATTGAAAAGAACTTCGAAAGCTTGATTTAAAAAAAAAACGTGCCAGAAAAATAACAATTCTATTGGGTCATAAAACGAAAGGTGTAGATTTACGCGCTATGCCAAGAATTGATTTAAAGGCGCACCACCAAAAAATATTCTGGCATTTGCTTAAATTAGAATTGTCAAAAAATAGGTAAAGAATGATTTTGGAGAACAAAAAATGGCGTAAATTTTTATTTTCGCGACAAGATCTGTATGCGCCTTTAAAAAAAATTTGCGCTGCTCAACACGAAAAACTAGGAAAATTCCAATTCAAAGAATAGGTTCATTAGAGTTTCCGACGATCTTCTTGAATTCAATGCGGAAAATTTTCAGCATCTTTTTTATTGCACATTTCAGAAAATTTGATTTTCTAGTTTTTTTTTGTTAAAGTGGCAATTTATAAACGGCCTTCCAGAATTGTTCGCTGCGAGACCTTGTTAGTGGAAACGGACCATTGTATTAAAATTGGGGGGCGAATTTATGAACTATCCCCTCAAAAAAAAGTGTGCAATTTCGCGTGCACGTGTATGCACAATTCACTCAAACAAAAAAATGTGGGGGGTTTTTTCTTCAAATTTTAACACTCAATATTTTTTTTCGCTTTCCACCAAATTCCTTTCATTTCTGGCGACAAAAAAAATCATCGAGACAAATGGCGCCAAATTGGGAGAAGGCGGCGTCGAACAAAGCTTCTTCTTCTTCTTCTTCTTCTTCGTTTTCTTAATTTCTGGTTGGCTCTTCACACGTTTCTGCTTGCTCGCTTGCTTGCTCATCGACCAGCGAAAGCAAAAAAAATTGTTTTTTTTTTTCATTTCTTTCGAATCATTATGGTGACCCCCGACGGCGCCCACCTGGTAAACAAAAATTACTCAAAAGTTTTTGTTGTGATTTTTTCCATATATCTCGGTTTCCGGTGCATTTCTTTTTTCATATCCATATATGTATAGAAGCTCCGCCCCGCCCCCTCCTTTTTTCTCTGCCCCATTCGTCAATTAATTGGGGGGTTGCCTGCCGCCGGCGTGTCGACGTTAAACACGGTGTACTACAAGCAATGCGTCGAGCTGCAGCACAACCTCATGCTCATCGTATCAGTTTTCAAAGTCCCGCACACTTTTTTTGTTGCCGTGTTGCCAAAATGTGACACTCGACACCCCCCCCCCACTATCTCGAGGGTCCGTCCTTCATTCATTCCATTCAGTTTCATTTGGCGAATTAAAAAACATTCGTTGCAGGACCGCAAATGCGATGAATGCCGATGATGATACTCAACATCGTGCTCATTCTTTCCATGATTGCCGTTATCGGTTAGTAGTTCATCCTCGTTTGTTTGTTTTTTCGCACTGTTCCTAATCTCAAACACTATTTGATCTACCCCACTCAATTTAGCAATCGAGCGCGATTGCTGCATTTCTGTACGGTAATAGATTTTTTCTATGGGACACGATTGTTTTTATTCACAAAAACACCGATTTGGTCTACCGTACTCAATTTAGCAATGGAGCGCGATTGCTCCATTTCTGTACGGTAATAGATTTTTCTATGGGGCGCGATTGTTTTTATTCACAAAAACACCGATTTGATCTACCATACTCAATTTAGCAATGGAGCGCGATTGCTCCATTTCTGTACGGTAATAGATTTTTCTATGGGGCGCGATTGTTTTTATTCACAAAAACACCGATTTGATCTACCATACTCAATTTAGCAATGGAGCGCGATTGCTCCATTTCTGTACGGTAATAGATTTTTCTATGGGGCGCGATTGTTTTTATTCACAAAAACACCGATTTGATCTACCATACTCAATTTAGCAATGGAGCGCGATTGCTCCATTTCTGTACGGTAATAGATTTTTCTATGGGGCGCGATTGTTTTTATTCACAAAAACACCGATTTGATCTACCATACTCAATTTAGCAATGGAGCGCGATTGCTCCATTTCTCTAGTTTAAGCAACTCGACGAAATCCGAGTTTCAGCCAAATAGAGCGCTATTTGGGCAAGCTGTTATTCTTTGCGGCATTGCTTTTAAAATTTGATCTACCGTCACGTTCAGTTTCGCAATAGAGCGTTATTGCTGCATTTCTTTAGTTTAGCTTTTAAGGAAACTAGGAACGATACTAGCTTTTGCAATGGCGCGTGATTGTTCTTAATCTCAAAAACAATTTAATCTACCATTTTCAATTTAGCAATGGAGCGCGATTACTGCATTTCTGTGCGTAATAGATTTTTGCTATGGAACGCGATTGTTTTCATTCACAAAAACACCGATTTGATCTACCAAGCTCAATTTAGCAATGGAGCGCGATTACTGCACTTCTCTAGTTTGGGTCTTGCTTTTGAAATTTGATCTACCGCCACGTTGATGTTCGCAATAGAGCGCATTGAATTGCAGGGTCGAGCAATAGCTATCGGCACCAATCGAATCGCTGCTACAGCTGCATGTCGGAAATGTACGAGGCGTTTTTCGCCAACGGTCTCGACAGGTGGGCGGTGCCGGCGGGTGCCGATCGTGATGGTCCGTGTTGCAGGTACTTCAACAAACCGCGCAACTTCTCATCGCAATGCGACAACGAGATGAACGTGACGAGCATGCAATTGGTGCCGTGCCGCACCATTTGTCTCACCATTCAGCAGGATTTATACGTGATGGGTGAGCCGAAAATATTGCCCAATTCGAATTCGCTCGTTCGTCTTCTTGTTTCTCTGCAGGCCAACCCACCGGACATCGGCTTTTCATGCGCGGTTGTGCGCTCTCGATCGCACGAAAGGGCCTTTATAATCGCACGCTGAGTCTGTTCGATAAATATGATTTGTGCAGGTGAGAGTTGAGGGTGCGCTCGAGCGCGTTCTCTGATTTTGTGTTTTGATCTACCTATGGGAACAATGGAGCGCGTTTGCTATCTTATTGGCAATAGAGCGCGCTTGCTATCTTAATTACAGTAGAGCGCGCTTGCTATATCATTGGTAATAGAGCGCGCATGCTATTTTCCTTGCAATAGAGCGCGCTTGCTATATTATTGACAATAGAGCGCGTTTGCTATCTTATTGTCAATAGAGCGCTCTTGCTATCTTTCTTGCAATTGAGCGCATTTTCCATTTAAGAAAAAAACGAAGCCAAACATTTGCAGAGACATGTCAGCGCGCGATTTGTTCTATCACGAGCACTCAGATTCCCAGCGAATTCGAGTTTGCAGCTGCCTTGGCGACAGGTCAACCATCAATTCGTTTCTTTTTCCCGAATCTCTCGAATTCAGATGCAATTCGGCACAATCGACGAGTAACGCACAGTCCTTCATCGATATTCTCGCAATCTCCGTGATGGTCGCTTCACTATTTTAGGCATTCAATTTTTTTTGAGCACATATCGACACAAACCCAACAACGCATTTTCTTGGTTTCCTTTTTGTAAATAAATGATTAGATGAGTTGAACTCGAATACATGAGCCGATGGGGCCGCGAGATTCGGGACCACTGAGAGAGACAATTTTTTTCGATACTGTAATTAAAGGCACACACAGTTTTTTGTTTATAACAATTTATCACATCGATCAAAAAACATTGGATGACACATTTTCAAGGTCCCGGAGCGAATCACACTTTTTACGTATTTGGCGAATGCGCTTCTTAGCCAGTCCGAAGTGTTTCCATTTTTGCGTGCGCCGAAAATCGAGGAAGAAGAAAGAAATGATCGTAAAATGGGATTAACCTCGAATCGAATTTGATAGCCGCGCCAGTTATTTACGCGCCAATCTTTATCTATTAATTGTTTAATTAATTGTTATTATTATATTATTATTAAAGACGAAGACTTATTTTGGCAAACTTATTATCGACTCAGCCAACCGGGTGACGCGAACACAGTCACCATTGCACCATTGGACTCGACGGCGGGTGAGAGGGCGTGAGGGCAGAGAATGATTGCGGTGATGTACTGGGGAGAAAGGACCTGTGGAGAAAGCACGAATGGAGAAAGGACTAGAGGCGAAAGAGCTAGGGGGTTAAGGACCAACGGGGTTAGGGCGAACGGGGAGAGGATGATGGGGGTCATCACTTGGGGCGACAGGATGAAGGGGCACATGAGCAACGGGGACAGGATGATGGGATTGAAGACACCTGGAGACAGTACTACTGGCACCAATGCCAGAGGGGAGAGGATGATGGGTACGAACAGGAATGGATCAAGGATCACTGGGCTGAGAAGACGGGGAGCTAGAATGACGGGCACAAACACCCAGGGGGATAAAATGACAGATCCAAATACGGCGGGTGATTGAATGAGGGGGACCATTACGACTGGGGAGAGGATGACCGCTTGTGAGGCGACCTGAAGAACAATGCATTCATGCGATTTTCATTTTCGAATACCTGTGGCGCATTAATTACAGCGGATAGAAGCAACGGCGAGAGCACGATGTCCTTTCTTCGGACCTCGAACTTCAGCTTCTTTTCGGAAATGTCCTTGATGACTTTGTGAATCTCTCGATTGATCTCAGCTCTTGTCATATTCTGCATTCTTTTGATCAGTTCTGGATTACGGTACATTGAATCTTTTCCGTAGACCATTTCGAGTTGTTTCGGACTCATTACAGTATACCCTGTTCTATTCATGTCGCGCAACTGCAATTCGCCCGGATTTATCAGGGCGAGTAGATCAAACAGCAAACCTGCTCTATTGTGTACGTCTTGTCGAGTTGCTCGAACAACTCAATCTTCTTCGCTTCTTCTGGATACATCCTCGTCACATTCTCTTTTGTAAAATACAACGGTTGCCCGTCGGGACCTCTTCCCATTGCATCATCCTTCATCCTTTGCGTTTTGATCATCTTCTCTTCGGCGTCTTCAACAGCTTCGGAGATTCCAGTGGCCTCTACTAGAAAATCGATAAAGTTCTGTGAATCCTGAGAGTCCATTGCTCCATCTAGAATCGATTTCAGGGACACATTCTTTTCGAGCTCCGATCCTTCGTCGTGCAATGAGAACAATGAAGGGGAGAGCCAATCAACCTAGAATCCCCGTCCTTTGAATCGTATTCGCTTAAAGATCCTACCTGATTGGAGTCGTTCTCTTCCGGAATCACACTCATGAACTTCGGACTGATCAACCGCATATTCTTTCCCTCGATTCCAGTCGTATTCATTCCGCTCAACGTCAATCCCAATTTCGCAGCTTCCCGTATGATCTTCACCGGAATCATCATGATCTTCTCCGAATCCGTCATATTGTTCAGCTTGTTGTGAAACATTTCTCGAACTTCTTCATCATCGATATACTTTTCCATACTCGCGAACATCTAAACATTTTAAAAGGTATGCTCCTTTAATATCTACCGTACTCCTACCTTCAAATCACCATCCATCCTTCGTTTACTGGTTCTTTTCCCTGATAATATCTCATCTTTTTCCCTTTTCTCTTCAGCCGCCTTCGCGTAGATCCTCATTCGTTTCCGAGCCACATCTTCAACCTTCTTTCGTTTTTTCAGTCTCTCCGCTTCTCCTTTTATTCGATTAAGAGTGGTTTGCCATCTGGAAATTGAGATAAAGACGGAATAACTAGAACTGATAAAACCTTGGAACAATTTCTTTCTTCTTCAGGACCTTTACAGTGTTCATTAGATGTTTGGTGATCAAACCGAATGGGGTTCTAAAGAAGACATTCAGAATAAGAAAACAAAAAGTGAAACTACCTATCTGAATCAGTTTTGAGCTGATAATTGCTCCGATTGACGACCTTGATGGATCTCTTGACCCTAGCTGTTTTGAACGATCCGATCCATCCCTGATCCTTCAACTTTCTAGGCTTCTTCCTCTTATTCATCTTCGTCATTTTCAACATCTTCCTAGTTTCTAAATATGGATATTTTACTATACGAACAATATGATATATTCATACTCTTGTCGAATAGCTTCTTCCTTCTCAGCCATCGATGATTATTGACATCAGATTCCAATTCGACTAGACATTTCGCGTGTTTCACCAGATCGTCTGCTTCCGACGCACATTTCTCGTGATCATCTTTATGATATTCTTCGACCATTGAAAGTCTAAATAAGGAAGAATTCGATACTAAGCGGGAGGGCGCTTACTTCTTCTTGGCGAGTGCTGAAATCAGACCAGAGAATGCTTGAGACGTCCAATGCTCGAGAAGATCGACACCGGCTTCCTCCGAAATCGGGATCTTCATCACTTTGTCCTTGTAGTATGGCGAGTTTTTGATTTGCTCAGCGGTCATCGCCACCTCGAGCTCCTTGTCAAATTTGAGCTCGCCGAATATGGGAACGAGGAGAAGCGCGAAAATGATGAAGTGCATGATGAATTTGTCAAACTCAATTAGATTTTCGCACTTTTAATTCTATATATAGCACGAGGCGGGCATCGCGCAGAGATTAATGCAGCAACAGGTGCATTTGTTCTTATCTTGTTCGTGTGTGTCTCATTCTAAAAAGCATACGGTAGTGCGGCGAAGCGTCGGTCGGAAATCAACGCGAGGCTAATTCGCTTTACTTGGCTCCCGCATGTGTCTCGCGTGTGTCGGCGCCGCCGAAATAGCACACGAATCGATAGAGACGACAGACAACGTTAAACATTTTGATCACTAATTGCGAAACGCGTCTGATTTGATATCGCCGATTGAAATCCGCAACAATAATACTGGTGTCCTTCTTGGCCGGGTTCTCGCGATCATGCTAGATATACTCGAAATTGCAAAATCTACCAACGGAGTTTATCGACTCAGCCAACCGGGCGAAGCAAATATCGTCACCATTGCACCATTGGACTCGATGGCGGGTGAGAGGGCGTGAGGGCAGAGGATGATTGCGGTGATGTACTGGGGAGAAAGGACCTGTGGAGAAAGCACGAATGGAGAAAGGACTAGAGGCGAAAGAGCTAGGGGGTTAAGGACCAACGGGGTTAGGGCGAACGGGGAGAGGATGATGGGGGTCATCACTTGGGGCGACAGGATGAAGGGGCACATGAGCAACGGGGACAGGATGATGGGATTGAAGACACCTGGGGAGAGGATGATGGGAACCATGGCAAATGGTGAAAGAATTATGGGCACGAAGATGAAGGGATCTAGAATCACGGGACTGAAGATGCGTGGCGCTAGAATGACCGGCACGAATACCCAGGGCGAGAGGATGACAACTCCGAAGATTGCCGGCGATTGGATGAGCGGGACCAACACGACGGGGGAGAGGATGATGGGCTGTGAGGCGACCTAAATATGCGTTGAAATTCAAATATAGCAGGGGGAGTTTGAATACCTGTGGCGCATTAATTACAGCGGATAGAAGCAACGGCGAGAGCACGATGTCCTTTCTTCGGACCTCGAACTTCAATTTTTCTTGGGAAATGCCTTTGATGACTTTGTGAATCTCTCGATTGATCTCAGCTCTTGTCATATTCTGCATTCTTTTGATCAATTCTAGATTACGGTACATTGAATCCTTTCCGTAGACCATTTCGAGTTGTTTCGGACTCATTACAGTATACCCGGTTCGATTCATGTCGCGCAACTGCAATTCACCCGGATTTATCAGGGCGAGTAGATCAAACAGCAAACCTGCTCTATTGTGTACGTCTTGTCGAGTTGCTCGAACAACTCAATTTTCTTCGCTTCTTCTGGATACATTCTAGTCACATTCTCTTTTGTAAAGTACAGTGGTTGCCCGTCGGGACCCCTTCCCATCGCATCATCCTTCATCCTTTGCGTTTTGATCATCTTCTCTTCGGCGTCTTCAACAGCTTCGGAGATTCCGGTCGCCTCTACCAGCAAATCGATGAAGTTCTGTGAATCCTGACTGTCCATTGCTCCATCTAGAATCGATTTCAGGGACACATTCTTTTCGAGCTCCGATCCTTCGTCGTGCAATGAGAACAAGGAAGGGGAGAGCCAATCAACCTAGAATTCCCCGCCCTTTGAATCGTATCGCTTAAAGATCCTACCTGATTGGAGTCGTTCTCTTCCGGAATCACACTCATGAACTTCGGACTGATCAACCGCATATTCTTTCCCTCGATTCCAGTCGTATTCATTCCGCTCAACGTCAATCCCAATTTCGCAGCTTCCCGTATGATCTTCACCGGAATCATCATGATCTTCTCCGAATCCGTCATATTGTTCAGCATGTTGTGAAACATTTCTCGAACTTCTTCATCATCGATATACTTTTCCATACTCACGAACATCTAAACATTTCAAAAGGTATGCTCCTTTAATATCTACCGTACTCCTACCTTCAAATCACCATCCATCCTTCGTTTACTTGTCCTTTTCCCTGATAATATCTCATCTTTTTCCCTTTTCTCTTCAGCCGCCTTCGCGTAGATCCTCATTCGTTTCCGAGCCACATCTTCAACCTTCTTTCGTTTTTTCAAATGTTCGGCTTCGGGTTTAATGTGAACGAGAGTGTCTTGCCACCTGTTGGAAAAAATTTGTAAATAATTGACCGCTAACCGGATTAGGAACGAAGAAACTAATCAAACATTAATCCCACCGGTTCAGGCGATCTTTCTTCTTCAGGATCTTCACAGTGTTCATTAGATGCTTGGTGATTAATCCGAATGGGGTCCTAGAAAAAAACTCAGAATTTCAGAAGAAAAAAAAAAGAAACAACCTGTCAGAATCGGATTTTATCTGATAATTGTTCCGATTGACGACCTTGATGGATCTCTTGACCCTAGCTGTTTTGAACGATCCGATCCATCCCTGATCCTTCAACTTTCTAGGCTTCTTCCTCTTATTCATTTTCAACATCTTCCTAGTTTCTAAATATGAATATTTTACTATACGAACAATATGATATATTCATACTCTTGTCGAATAGCTTTTTCTTTCTCAGCCATCGATGATTATTGACATCAGATTCCAATTCGACGAGACATTTCGCGTGCTTCACTAGATCATGAGAATCCGACGCACATTTCTCGTGATCACGTTTATGATATTCTTCAACAAGACTTAGCCTAAAGTTTAGGATATTAGGTAAGAATTTCTGAAAAATCCTGAATACCTTTTGGTGGCAATCGCCGAAATCAATCCGGAGAATGCTTGCGACGCCCAATGCTCGAGAAGCTCTTGCCCGGCTTCTTTGGATATCGGAACCCTCATCACTTTGTCCTTGTAGTATGGCGAGTTTTTGACTTGCTCGGCTGTCATCGCCACCTCGAGCTCCTTCTCATACTTCAATTCGGTGGACGAAACGAACACAAAGTAGAATAAAATTGAACAAATTGAACCCCGCATGATTTGAAACATTTAAATCCAATTTGCTTATATATATAGTCCGCATAGGCTAGAAAATTCGCCACCCGAAATGTAGCCTCGCTAATTTGGCTCCCGATTGTGTCTTTTTGATCTAACTATCTCTCTCTTTTATTCATTCTCTTTATTCCAATTTTATAGTAAACTTGGTGATAGTACAGCGGTGGTCAAGACTCCCGGAGAACCAACTGGCGGGGAAAGAGCTGAAGGGGAGAGGATGAACGCGGTGACAAATTGGGGAGAGAGAACTTGAGGGGAGAGCACGAATGGGGAGAGGATCAATGGAGAAAGAGCTAGGGGGGTTACGATAAGGGGGGTCATACAGAATGGGGAGAGGATGATGGGGGTCATCACTTGCGGCGAGGGGATGAATGGGTCCATGAGCAGAGGGGACAGGATGACGGGATTGAAGACACCCGGCGAGAGGACCACCGGATCGAGAGCCAACGGGGAAAGGACGATGGGAACGAAAAGGAATGGATCGAGGATCACTGGGCTGAGGATACGAGGCGAGAGGATCAGAGGAACGAACAACCATGGAGAAAGGACCACAACACCGTAGATGGCTGGAGACTGGATGACTGGCGTCAGCACAGCGGGAGAGAGGATTAACGGTTGGGAAGCCACTGATGGAGCATTGATAACGGATTGGAGTACCAGCGGAGTGAGCACGATGTCCTTTTTGCGAACCTCGAACTTGATTTTCTCATCACCAATGTCTTTGATCGATTGCAATATCTCTTTGTTGATCTGAGCCCTGGTCATGTTGTCGACTTTTGAGAGAAGCCTCGGATTCCGAAATTCGGATTTCGGTCCGTAAAATAGATTTCGCTGCTCTTTCGTCATAATTGTGTAGCCGGTTCGATTCATGTCTCTCATTTGCTCGGCGGTGAACATTTTGTCGAGCTTCTCGAACAGCTCAATTTTGCCCACCTCATCCGGATACATTTTCGTGATGTTCTGTTTCGTGAAGAACAATGGCTGCCCATCGGGTCCTCGAACATCATCGCGTTGTCGCATCGAACGAAGCACCTTTTCCTGCAAATGCGTGGAATGCTTTTAGAAATATTCGCCGCGCGCAATAACCTCGGCGTTCTCGACGGCTTCGGTGACCCCGGTCAGTTCAATTAGCACGTCGATGAATTGCTGCGAATCGGATTTGGACATCGCATGCCCGATTAGGCTGCTTAATGAGGTGTTCCGCTCGACACCTTCGCCGCCGCTCGCATCATGAAGTGCGAACAATGAGGGAGAGAGAAGATCGAGCTGTAAAATTGATGGGATTTCGTGGACATTTAAATTCGAAATTCAATTGAAAAAAAATTATTTTTGAGACTAATTGCGTTACGGTTTTAAAAGATTCAATATTATTGGGAAAATCGATCGTTTCAAAACCCAACTATTAAATTTTTGGTTTTAAGACCAAAATTTAAGATAGCGTTTTTTGAAAAGGCGGCTGACCTAACTAATTTTTTTCGCAATGAAGCATTAATTGTTTTTGTTTTAATAATTTTTTTCTTCACGATCTTTCACAAAAATTTCTAAATATCACTCGAACAACAATAAATTTAAAAAAAAATTGAAAATTCGAAATTTGCTTTAAATAATTTTGAATAATTTTTCTGAACAAAACAATGTACCTCGTTTTTGGTATTCTCCTCGTCTTCGGGCACGACACTAAAAAATCTTGGGCTGATAAGCTTGAGCGATTTATTGTCGAGATCCGTCGAGTTGACGCCGGCCATTTTCAGGCCGATTTTCGTCGCCTCCCTCACAATATTAACAGGAATCATGGCGATTCTCTCATCGTCCGTCATATTCGAAGCGGCGTCGTGGAACATCTCGCGAAGCTCGTCGTCTTGAATGAACTCCTCGAATTTCTAAAAAACAAATTATCATCGCAATTGCGACGAATTTCGATATCACCCTAAGATCACCGGGTAGCTGCTTCATCCGCTTCTTCGGCTTCTGATCGCTTCTTAACTCCGGCGCATCTTTGAACACCTTCATCCTCTTGCTCATAAATTGTCTCGCTCGTTTTCTCTGCTTTAATTGGAAAGCTTCTTCTTTGATTCTTTCAACCACATTCTGCCATCTAGAAATTAAATATTGAAATAAACATTATTTAAGTCTTTTTCTCGTCAAACTTACTTTGGAATTGTCTCTTTATTCTTAACAATTCGCACAATATTCCCCAAGTGTTTTCCAATCAACCCCAAACGCGATTTCTCGTTTTGCGATTTGAGCTCGTAACTACTTCGCGTTTTCACTTCGCGCTTTTTCCTTGAATTTATTAGGAATGATCCGATCCATTGATCCTCCTCCTCCTCTTCCTTCTTCCGCCTCATCCTCTTTTGAATCTCCTCCTTTTTGAAATACCTTCTTCGTTTCAGCCATCGATTCTTGAGTGTGTCGAATTCAAGCTCAACGAAACATTTTGCGTGGCTTTGGATGTCGTCGGATTTCGACGCGCATTTTTCATAGCGTTCTTGGTCGTAAGGCTCGACAAGCTTCAATCTGGAATTAGGCAAAAATAGAAATAAAGAGAAAAAACCGATTGACGCTTTTTAATTTGATAAGCGGATTTTGCTTTTTTTATTTCTATTGAAATTTTTAAAAAATTCGAGAATTTTGAGTCAAAAAATCTTAGAAATTGTTTGAAAATTGCGGAAAACATTAGAAAATTGGGTAAAAAATAAATGATTTAATATTGAAGGTCTCATCGGGAAATTAAACATTTACACAATGTCCCTTTGAATTGGGGTACTGTACTTCAAAAATTTACCGTTTTGTCGCCAATGCGGCAATTAAACCGGAAAATGCTTGTTCTGCCCAGTGTTCGAGCAACTCATTAGTGTCATCCTCATTCACGGGTATCTTCAGAACATCATCCTTGTAGAATGGCGAATGTTTGACCTCATCATGATCGATGACAGTTTTTAAAATCGACGCGATATTTTTGAGGCTCGCCCGCTTCACAGCGGGCTTCTCCTCTTTGCCGACCACACCCAAATATGGAAATTGTGAGAAAATGATGATGGTTTTGAGGAGAACAAACATAATGGATTAATGAGTTATTGTTGACGGATGAGGTCTTTTTATACCGACTAACTTGTTGAACCTCATCGCCTAATTACTGGCTGCATTTTCACTTTTACTCAATTCCCTTTTATTGTCGAAAACACGCAACTATCGGAATTTCAAAGAATTGAGGCCGAAAACAATTTTTACGACTTGGCGCGAAATTAACAAATTTTTGCGAGATTGCATATTCTTGATACGCAGTCAAATCAAGGCGAGATCAAATCGCATTGTTCAAAAATTTGATTCAATTTCGACCCGATCATCTTTTTTTTTCAGCTTCTCAAACACTTTAATTGGTTTCAAATTGAAAATCTCTTAATTGTGAGAATAGTTCGTGTTTCTTTTTTCTCACTGAATGAAATTTTTTTGGAAATTCGCGCCAATTTTTAAAAAATCCGTCGATTATCATACAAAATTTGTCGCAGTTTTCAATAATTTCGATTTTTTTTCCTCATCAAATAATATCAGAAAAATTAAGATCGTAGAAATCGCAACGTGTGCCTGAAAGTGCAACCATGGGTCCTACAGCGAACTTCGATGAAGCTGTGAGTTTGATTCGCAGGTTGTCCGGAGTACGGTATCCGAATTGCCACAGAAATTTGAATTACCGCTTAAAAATATTCAAGCCTCTCATGTTTTTTTTTTTGAAATTTATAAAAATTTGTCATTAAATATTTTTTGGTGGTGTCTCGACGCATTTTTAAAAAATAATTTATCATTTGAATTGCCGCTCTGGGTCTCGCAGCGAATTTCGAATTTTTCTTGCAAACTCATTGTGAAAACCCGTAGGGACTTTTTTTTATCAATTATTCACAAAAATTGTCAAGCCCATTTTATTCGACGGGACCATTTAAAAAGGCGTCGTCGGCGGCACAATTCGGTTTTCTCAAATTCATTCACCTGCAGAATGGGATGATTAGGGACCATCGAAGCATTTCGCGTCGGCGGTAATTCAAATTTGAATTTTGACAATGCAAATTAGTGTACTACAAAATCACACAAGCGAATTATCCAAGTTTCGATATAATCTTGAGAGGTCAGATTTGTGTCTTAGCATAGGACCATCATCTTCCGAGCGTATTTCATTCTTAATCCTGTCGGATTACTTTTCCGGAATGAGCCAATCCGGTTCAAACTTGGTACTGTATGAATATCAAAAAAAATTTTAGTTTGGATTACGGTAGTTACAGTACTCCAAACTTGGAGATTTGCTATTTTTGGAGCATATTAGCGTCCGATACAGAGATCTGAGGATCGTGAGGCAATTTCAAAGAATTATCGATTGGTTCGGATTACAGTAACAACAGAAAATATTGTCTGCGTCTCTCACTTTCACACGGTATTTCTTTCAAATTGCTGCGAGGTCGACCTATTTCGACGAATCGATTTTTAAAATATTAAAAATTTCGAAAATTAATTTTCGGCATTGTCAGTTTCTTCAGAAAAAAAAAACTAAAAATCAGGTAGCCACCTTTTTTTATGGGAAACGCTTCGTAATTAAAGGCGCACGCAATTTCTGGGTTGTCTCTCCCATCAGCCGATATTAGCAACTGTTTTCGCTTCAAGAGACATTGACGTAAATGTTTAAAGGAGCATTGAATATAATTTTTTCGATTATCAATTTTATAATAAGTTTTTGATAAGATTATCTCGTCCTTATTAAATTTGATCTCTCCCCCCGCCCCCCCCCACGGGTCGTTTCAGTAAATCGCCGTTCCATTCGTCTTTTTGAGAAGTCGCCTTGTCAGATTAAATTTCGCGTGATTTCGGTAAAAAGAAAGAAGAAAAACGTTCATTGAAGGACGACGGCAGTAAAGTTGCTGATGCTATCAAAAAGGAAAACTTTCACTTTTAAATCATTCGCGAAACGACGACTTGTGATGAATGATACTCTGCAAACCGATTGTTCGAAAACGAACCGAATTGCGAAAGAATCAGAGGAAGGGATAGATTTTCGAATTGATTTTCTATTAAGATTAAATAAAATTGTATTTAAAAAAGAAGGGCAAGATTTGTGAAAAAAATGCGATTCCGAAAATGTGGTAAATCTTGTAATAAGAATAAAATATTACTAGTTTTCTACTATCAATTTCTCATTTTTGTTTTTTTTTCTTCTTAGAAAACACTATTTACGGTTTTTATTGAAAATTATTTATCAAAAACCATACGAAATTATCGATTGCATTAAAAAAACCAAAAATCACACAAAACGCGCCAGCCGTGATGCTGACTGGCGCATTTCGCTCAATTCCGGAGTGAACATTTTTGTCGATTTTCCAATTTTTTCTTTTTTTTTTGTTATTAATCGTGCGGCGTTTCGTTGATTCAATAACATTTCGCGAGAAGAAACCAAATGGTTTTCAATTTTTGTGGAAAAAAAACGAAGAAAAGAATTTGTGTGTGTGTGTGTGTGTGTGTGTGTGTGTGTGTGTGTGTGTGTGTGTGTGTGTGTGTGTGTGTGTGTGTGTGTGTGTGTGTGTGTGTGTGTGTGTGTGTACGATTCGATTACGATTACGATTTCGGGCGGTCACAACGAGCGAAGTAGAAGAAGAAGACGGAGGAGAAGAAAATTGCTGGCTGGCTGTGTCCGCCGCCGAACTAATCGATGTCTGTGCGGAGTACACGCAACGCGTGCCCAGCAGTCTTTGTCGTGCTGTCCGTCTCGTCGTGCCGAGTGTCTAATTTCAAAAAAAAAAAGAAGACGAATTCCGCCTCCTCATCGTGCTCTGCCCTTCCTATCCCTTGATGGGTTGGGCCTTGGGCCGGCCCGGGCCCGCGCCGGGGCCACTCCTCCTCCTCCTCCCATTCACTCATGATTTCTTCTTCTTCTTCTCTTTCTCATTCTCAATCTTGTTCACCCAAAAAAAGAACCGACACCGCTGAACACGATTACATTTTATAATATCATCTTCTCCCTAAACATTAATCGGGATTAGGATTATCTGGCTTAGTTGCTACTGCTCATTTTTCTCTCACCCACCTCTGTCTCTCTCTTTCTCAATTTCGGTGTGAGACCCTTGAGTTTCAGGATTGGCCCTCACCCGTCATCCTTCGGCCCAATTCGATTAGTAAATGCAGCGGACGGAAACATGCTTACGGTATGTATGCGCGTTTAACTTACTACCATCATCACCAACGATTCCATTTTAAGGGCGTTCAATTTTTATTATCGGGTATCGGGTGAGAAGGCCGAACAGTTATTGGAGGATTATGGCGAGAACGGCGATTTTCTTGTTCGCTACAGCGAATCGTCGCCGTCGAATTTCTCGCTGACGATTCGCATCGACGACAAGCCGCTTCACATCAAAGTGCAAAAGGTCAACGAGATGCTGAGCGTGTTCCCCGGCGGCGCCGACGGCACTGATATGTTCGGCTCGCTGGTCGAACTCCTCGAGTATTACATCGAGAATCCCACGAAGCTCAAAGAGCGCAATGGCGGATTTGTGGCGATCAAGTAGGAGGCCAACAACTTAGTCCCCGCGGCTCTCTATAAGGTGTTGCTTGTTTTTAGAAAGCCTGTCTACATCCCGTACGAGCTTGAGGATTGCGCGAAGGAGCAGCGAATCGTCCAGCTCAATCGCTGGTTTCATGCGAACATGACAGCGCAAGAGTCGATGGTGATATTGGATCGCGAAAAGACTGGCAGCTTCCTGTTGCGGTGCAGTCAGCACCTTCCAGGAGCGCTGGTGATCAGCTCCAAAGTGGAGACGGGCGTAGTCCATCTCAATATCCATCAGGACCCTTTTGTAAGGATTTGGCTTTTTTTCGGCGATCCCGTTTTGAGCGACCTTTTTTCCTTTAGACCGGAAGATACACGATCGACGGTGATCATACAGAATACTGTGATATTCGCCAACTCCTTTCCACTTACAATAAGAATCCGATTGTCGAGAAGGCGCTCAGCAGTCGTGTAGTTTATTTGGAGAACGTGAGCATCTTGCCAACTTGCATTGAGAAATGAAATGAACGCCGTGCGTGTGTTGTAGGCGGTGACCTCGAGCTCGACATTTGTGCCGGCCGACGTGCTCGCTGATCGATTAGAGCTGCTCAAGCAGAGTCTTGAGCCAGGCAATACCGAGCGAACCGGCATCAGCGAGGAGTTTGCGGTGAGTAGTGAATCGTCGCATAATCGGCTGGCCCGCGAACAAAGCCCAGCACTATTAAACGGGTTAGCGCGTCCTTGAGATGGACGACACGATGGCGGCGAAGATAAAATCGCAATTCGAATTCAACCACCCGGAGTGCTTTTTTTTCATCTTGTAGAGACTCCAAGCCGAACAGGGACCCGCCGAGCAATATTTTTCGAAGCGCGAAGGTCGCCGAGAGATCAATGTCGACAAGAATCGATACCGGAATATAGTGCCGTTCGATCATTCGAGAGTCATTCTCACCGATCGAGCCGGAGTGCCCGGAGGGGATTACATCAATGCGAGCTATGTCAAGGTGGGAAATTCGCGAAATTTGTTTTGTTTTTGTTTTTGGTGGCCTCCGCCGATGGAATTGATGAGAGGGCCGAATGAGAAATCAAAATATTCGGCATTTTTTGTGCCAAAATTTTTTTGAGGAGAAAATATTAAAATTGAAATTTTTGGAATTTTGCATTTTCGGAAATTAAAATACATATTTGGAATCGAATTGCCTTGAATTTTTTATTTTCAACATAACGAGAAGATTTTGAAAAAAAAAACCTTGAAGCGAAATCGATTTTCTATCAAGGCCTTCTTTTCATCGTCGTCGTCGTCGTCGTCTTGTTGTTTGCCATCGCATCGACGATCAATGTAATTTTGCAGTTCGACAAACCGAATCCACCGTTGACGCTGATAAAAACGCGCAGTTACATCGCGACACAAGGCTGCTTGGAATCGACGATCGGCGATTTCTGGCGAATGATTTGGCAGGAGAATTCGCGGGTGATTGTGATGCCGACGAGGGAGAACGAACGACGGGTTCGTTATAGGCAATTTGAAGAATTTGATACTAAAGTTTGCTTTCATTTTTCGGCGGCGAGAATGATTCAGCGAAATTTTGACGTTTAGCACATGTTTTTTTTTCTCATAGAGAAAACTGTATTTCGAGATAAAATCAGCCGTTTTTTGTTGAACAAAATTTTTAGTGAAAATATTGTCGTCAATTATTGCGCATTTGGTGCAAACACCGAGATTGATATTGATTGTTTGCTTTCGTGTCGGAAAGTTTCTGAAAAAATGCCGGATTTTTCTTAATTTATAAAAATTTATATTCGAATTTGCGAAAATGAAAATTGAGCAAATTTCGAGAATAGTGTGATTTGTCTCACATCGACCGATTTTTTAAAAGATTTTTCTTCTTTCGAATAGTTTAGCTGAAATTTTTAGGTTTTTTTTTGTATTTTTTCATTAGAATTTATTAATGAAAACCCGAATTTGTGTCTTGATTTCTGATTTCTATTCACAAAACTGAGAAATTTCTTTCAAACAATGCTATTTATGTCTTTAAAAAAAATGCCGTTTTTTTTTCAGGAAAAATGCACTCGCTATTGGCCGGAACTCAACGATTCGGCGACATTCGCTGACATCGTTGTGACGACGACGGAAGAGAAGTTGATTCGAAAAGAGCTTCCCGACGAGTTCAAGGGCCACGTGAAGGAGCCGGAGCCCGATGAGATCTCGTTCATCATCCGCACGTTCAATGTGAAAAAGAACGGGGCGCCGGCGCCGCGCATCGTCCGCCAATTGCAATATGTCTCGTGGCCGGACCACGGGTGCCCATTCCATCCGCACGACGTCATCTGCTACCTTGACGCCGTCGATCAAGCGCATAAGCAGTTCGACAAGGCCGATGTCAAACAGGGACCGGTTGTCGTCCATTGCAGGTACGATTTTCGAAAACTGACTGGCATGGTGGTCGTCCAACGACGAACTTGTCGTTTAGTTCTGATAGTGTTTTATTTTCTTTCTTACAGCGCTGGAATCGGACGGACTGGAACACTATTGATATTGGATGTGCTGTTGACGCAGATCAAATTGCGCGGTCGCGGATGCCCGATTGACATTTGGCGGACGTCGAGGCACGCGCGAGACTATCGCGGTGGACTTGTGCAGACGGAGCAGCAGTATCAGTTCTTGTACACCGCCATCGCCTATTATATGAAGCGCACGAATCCGGTAGGGCAATTTTTTTTTGGAAATTTGTGAAAATTCGAGAAATCTCGAATCGAGAAACACATTTTTTTGGTCGGAAATTTTGAGCTAAAAGGATCGAATCGCATTTTTTACAATGAAAAAAATCTTTCTTATATTATTAAACTTTGCAATTTAAAGCCAAAATGAGAATGCTTGGAAATGTCGGTTTTTTTTCCAGTTTTTTGCTTATCTGAAACCCGCAAATTTTATGTCATAACTAAATTAAACGAAGATTAGCGATTTTGGTGGTTCTTTGATGCCTCATTTTTTCTTTTCATACATTTTTTTTGCAAAAAAAATATTGAGCTCATTCGAATCAAAAATCTATTCAAGTGGATTTCCATCTCTATTTTGGGGCATTCAATTTTTTTCAATGGATTTTCAACTAAAAATGTACATTTTTAAACGATATTTGATCATAATTATTATTTTCTTTTGTATAAAATCAATTTTTTCTACAAATTAAAATATTTGTGCGCTTTAAAAATTATATTTTTTTTCGAATTTTGACTTTTCGTGAGATATCTATGCGTTTCAGTGCTATTTCCCCCCCCCCCCCTCAAAAATGTTGAATTTTCAATTCAAATTTGGGTATGTCCCTTTAAACCACATCGGCATTGTTGATATTCGTTTTTTTTTGTAAAATAAGGAACACGTTTTCTTTTTCAGAACGACGAGCAACGTTTGGTGCTTCGCGAGCGGCACTCATCATCGCTTCTCCCGTTGGCGCCGTCGCACAATAATTCGGTTTGCCGTATGCCGGACGTCGCGCAAGCCTACATCGGACCATCGACGACGAACAACAATAGTCTCTCGCCGCGAATGGGTACGGTAACGCGAACGCGATCACGTCATTCGCCAAAGTCCGCAATCACGCCGCCGTTGCCGCAGAAAACGAAGTGATAGTGATATTGGGAAATTTTTTCAACAACAAAAAAAGGAACACAATTACACACACACACACACACAATTTTTTTATAATTATACTTTTTAGTTTTTTTTTTATTTGGGCAAAACTCACATGTACATTTCTTTTATATATTATCATTGCAAAAAAAGAAACGAGCGCCTTGCATAATTGTGGACCATCGCACTTTTTCGAGGCGCCAATTCAAATTTGGAAAAAAACTTGCCGAAAATCGACGCAGGATGCTTGTATTTTTTTTGCGAATGTAATATATATACTATAATTAAATACCGTTTTGTATACAAGTCATATATTCAACCCGTGTTTTATTGTTGTGAATCAAATTTAGAGAAATCGCCGCACTTACCCCCTTCTCAACAAATCTATCCATATAGTTGTTATGCATTGTTTTTTATTGTTTGGTGTTGTAGTTGACACGGACAATTATTTCCTTTTTGGGTTGTTCTATATATATATATATATACTTTTAAAAAAATATGAGTTACCCATCTCTTAGTATCTTCTTCTTTAGGCGTTTTTTATGGGATATACTATACTATATATATTATATATATATATATATATATATAAATTTTTATTGAGCTTTTCCTTCTTCCAACCCTCTCTCCCCCTCCCCCTTCCCCCATTTTTTTTCTGGTGTTTGAATAAATTATTTCATTGGTTTTTTTGATTACCCTGTGCTTTTTTGGGTGTTTTACTGTTGTTGTTGTTAATTTGGTTTTTTGAACTTTACTTATTTGGAATTATTATTTGTTTTTGTGATTTTTATGATGCCATCCCAGATGCCGCCGAAGAAGACGTTGAAGAAGAAGAATTTGCATGAGCTTTCCACCGAGGTGAAGCCGGGATTTCAGATAACCGACACGAAGAAGAATGTGTTTATTGTTGGCAAACAGTTTGCCACCGGCGGCTTCGGGCGAATTCACACGTGTACGCAGGTAAACGCAACGACGATGACGAAAATTGATTTTGGGTGGCCGAATTGTGTAAAATGCAAAATTTTGAACATTTCGAAGGTTTTTTTTGACGAAAAATTGTGGAAACTACGGATTTTTTGAAAAAGAAATTGAGAAAATTCAGAATTTTGACGAAAAATTGTGAAATTTTGAAATTTTTTGTTGTTGTTTTTTCGCAGAAAATTTTTACCGCTTTATGCATTTTGAAAATTTTGCATCTTTTTTTCCACCCACAAAAAAGTGGTCCGCAATTCTGATATTAAGAAACTCTTCGATTTTTTCTCAACTAATCGCCATTTTTGTGAAGTTTTCTCTGGATTTCAGAAAGGCGAATCGAAAGAGCTTGTTATCAAAATCGAACCATCAGAGAATGGACCACTATTCACTGAAATCAACGTGTTCCAACGGATTCTGAAGCCGGAGCAGATTGAGGAATTCAAGAAAAAGAAGAGTATGTTTAATTATAGCGGGAATTATAATGAATGATCATGTGCCTTTAAAAAGTCATAAAAGCCCAAAACGAAATAGTCGGAGAAGGTGACGCGGTGTTCCATTCTTGCGAAACCTGTGTCGATTTACGAGTTAAATTTTTATCGTTGTTTTCGTCTCAAATCACTCGTTCGACGAATCTTGGCCATAGTCTTTGAACTTGGGTCCCACAACGAATTAAAGGCACATTGACTTCATTCAAACGATTTGAAGACCCATAATTAAAAGCGCATAAATTGGATTTTAGACCTCAAATTTCTCGGTGTGCCCCACGTGATATCGAACGGAATCTTTCAATACGGCGACGAGCGAATGCGCTATTTGGTGATTCCGAAGTATGCGACGTCGCTCGAGAGCGTGCGCGAGCAACTCGGCGGCCAACTCGGCGTGCAATCCGCGCTTCAAGTCGCCGCGTCGATGCTGCGCTCGTTGGAGTACGTGCACGCGATGGATTACACGCACGCCGACGTGAAAGCGGCCAACATTCTGCTGGAGAGAGTCGGCGATTTCGAAACGACGGTTTTGGTCGATTTTGGGCTTGGACGATTCGCCGCCAACAATGAGGACAAGCCCGACAAGAAGAGAGGTGAGACCATCATTATTACTATTATCAATTTACAAAAAAGAAATATTTGTTGTTTGCAGCCCACAACGGCACGTGCATTTTCACGTCGATCGACGCCCATAAAGGGTATCATCCGAGTTTTCGCGGTGACATTGAGATTCTCGCCTACAATATGATCCTCTGGATCACCGGATCATTGCCATGGATCTCGTTGGAATCGTCGCCGGACAAGGTGTCGAAAGAGAAAGAGAAATTCGTCGACGGTCTTCCGGCGTCCTTAAACAATATTGTCAAGGTGGGTCTAATTGGGTTTTTCGTTTTTTGCTGCTGACATCGGACGAAGTAATCAGCTGCTAATTGGGTATTATGACGAACCGGTTGGGTTTTTTTTTGTTTGCAGAATTCGACGGCCGCCAAATGCATTGGTGCACTTTTCGACGCGGCGCGCAAAACAAAATACACGTCGAAAGTTGATTTTGGCAAATTGTTGCCAATTATCGAGAAGGCGTCGACGACAGAGATTGAGGTGGAAAAGGCGACCGGTTCGAGGCGGACGACGAAGAGCACTAGACGAGCGGCGAAGGAGCCGGAGGTCGTCGAGCGAAGCACTCGAAGAACGCCGAAGAAGTCGAAGATGGAGCCATCGAGCAGCAGTGAGAATTCCGATGATATTGATGAGGACGAGGCGCCGTCGAAGAAGGCGCCGACGAGCAGAATTGGGAACACATCGACGACGCAAACGCTTCGTTCGGCGAAAGACACGATGGCCAAGAAGATTGTGAAGAAGTACAAGAAGAAATCGATTGGAGCGTCGTCGCCCATCAAGGTGCCGTCGGCGGCATTGCGTACGACGGCGCCGAGTCGGAGCGGCATCACGACAGCCGTCAAAGCGAGTCCGACGAAATTGCGAAAAGTGCCCGGAATGCGCAATTTTCCTTCAGGCCGAAGATCGTTGCTCATCAATAACGTGCGTTCGTTTTTTTTTGTTTGACACACCGAAAATTGCATCTCGACACGAAAGTTTGGGTCATGACGCGACATTTGAAGTACATATGAAACGTTTCGATAATCATCAATTTAAGATTTATTAGAATCCAGGTCCCATCACGATAGATATTGCATACCACGCAGATCTTTGTTAAAAATGATGACGGAATATTTTTGGTCTACCTGTAGATTGTCGGTCTTGCCCCAAGATTTCAGAAATAGAAGCCGTTTTTTTTATTTGGGTCCCAACACGATAATCGGTGATTACTGAAAGTGTGTGGTCTCGCCACCACAATTTATGCGGTTCAATTCATCAAATTTGATTTGTCTCCAACCCGATATCACCAATCGTTTTTTTTTTCTCAAAATCAAAAACCGGTTCTTTGCAAAGTCACTTGATTTGATTGGTTCCGTCTCATTGGAAATGTTCGAAGGGACCATTGAAATGTGCTTTTTTGCAGACATCGAAGAAGTACGCAGGAAGCGATCCCGCTAGCACGAGCGGCAAAGTGTAACTACAGTAACCCCCCGGCAGTATTCATTTATTTTCTGATCTCATCAATTGTTGTGTATTGTTTTTTTTTTCCATTTTTGTTAAATGAATCTCTCTCACTGTCTCCTCGTCGTCTGTGACCCAACGAAGAGAAGGGCGCGGCGGAACACCGTTTTCCGGTTTCATTCCTGATTCAGTCGAAAAGGTTGGAGAAAAAAAATTGGACGAAGGTATCAATTTTTGGGCCAATTGTGTTCATCGTGTAGGTAGGTAGGTAGGTGCCCGCAATAATAGGCATGTTTGCCACCAATTTCTGTTTCGGCCTTATTTTTTTTTACCGTAATCCAATAAAACGAGCCAAATTATAGGGTGCCCATAACGGGGGTCGTGTTTGTTCGTGTGTGTGTGTGTGTTGCGCCACCACCGCCAATTCAGGAGCCGCCGAGCAAATTTGAAATGCTGATGATAGGTTCGCGCCGGCCGGTTTTGAAAGTGTCTGTGCCTCTCTGGCAGCGCCTACTATTTCGATTGCGCTGTTTTTTTTTGGCGCGTGTGCTATTGGTGGTGGCGAAGGTGGTGGTGCATTAACGGGGCCCGACCCGCACGCCACCCGCTTTCTGGCCATTTTTTATTGTTTTTTGGTAGCCGCTCTCAAGTTACGTTTTCGATTTATTTATTATGCATAGTTTAAACGGAGCTCACCTCCCCTTCAACATCATGTCAGGTCGACCCCCTCCTTTAAATGTTTATAGGTAGCGCCGTTTCGTTATGCATTGAGAAAATTGTGAAGGGGGGGGGGGAGTCTACCTGAGCCCCACCTTCGAGAAAACCGAAAGATTTTCATAATGATTTTTTTCCTTGAAATTTGCCAAATTTGCAGAGATGAACGGCGGTGCTTCGATATTCCCGAATTTTGCGGCGAGATTTCCGTTTTTTGTGAGTTATTTTCTTGGTTGTCTTTTTTTTTCGGCTTCGAAACGGACAGGAATTGCTATGAAATCAGACAAACGCGAAAAAGTTGAGGGACGTATGCATTATTGAGTGGCTGCCGGTACGCCTACTTGATTTGGGATTGAAGCCGCAAATTCTCGCACATCGCGAAATAGTGTTACCGTAATTTCAAGCGGACCAAGCTACAAACTACAAATCTGCTAAGCAGACAATTTTTTGAGCTAAGCAGACCAAGCTACAAACTATAAATCTGCTAAGCAGACCATTTTTTGAGTTAAGCAGACCAAGCTACAAACTATAAATCTGCTATGCAGACCATTTTTTTAAAGATAAGATCAAAATTTTCGGACCATCAGAAAAATTTGACCGACCGCATATTCGATGACCGAGTATTAAACCTATTTGTTAATTTCGCGCCAAGGATTAAAGATGAAACCGTCCCAAATTAGTTTAATTTTCTAGAGTTGCCTTGCATTCGACAAATTTCGCAGTGGAAAATGTTCAAAAAAAGAACCACTTTAAAACATACAAAAATTGTTGAAATCATTTTTCCAGAATTTGGTAGGTAGAAAAAATTGTTGTTGCTCATTCAGTCTCAAATTCTTCCTGATCGTACCGGCTCTTCTAGTTGCCCCATTAAACACACCATTACCTTTTATGCTCCACATATGGTCTATTTTTGGGCAAGTCTCGTATAACTGTCCAACGACATTAACACCAACACCATCAACAACAAAAGAACCCCATACCATTTATGGGGTTTTTGATTGTGAAAAGTACAGTAATCTAGACAGCTGATTCCAATTTGCAAGAAAAAAAGTTTGAAAGAGCATCCCTCTTTTGAATGGGTAATATAAAAGTAAAGATAATAATTATAATAAGGTGGGAGGTACGTACATGTATGTACATAGCCCGTTTTCGGTGTGCCTCGATCCCGCACCGATGCCCAATCACGCGTCGTCTCTTCAATCGACAACACTATCTCATACAGAGTCGACCGCCTCGGGGGGCTTCTCGCCGACAATTCCCGTCGGCGTCTCGACGGTCTCATCGATCAGCGCGCTGTTTCGTCGAATGTGTCGACAAGTCAAATCGGTCGCGGCGGTTCAACCGCCTGTTCTTCTTCTTCTTCTTCTTTTCTTTCTTTCTTCTTCATCTTGCATGTTTTGTTCATCGTCATCGTTTTTCATGATTCACCATTCTCCGGCGAGAAGAAAAAAAAACGAATTTTTTCTTTTCGTCTCACACTGCCTGCCCAATTTAAAGGCGCACAATCAATTTTCGTTCAAAGGAGCATCGAGATGCTCACGGCGATTACTGTATGTCGTCGGGATTGTTTGTATTTGTGTGTGCGTGTATGTTTGTCGAAACCGCGAACTTGAATGTGCGCCCACCATTTTCGAAATTACGTTTTTGCCCAGCTGCCGCCGCCGACAAATCAATTGCAACATTTTCGACTCCTTCAATTTTTTTTGATTGCTCAGGGCTCACCGCTCTTATCAATGACGAATTTAAAAGCGCCACTCGGATTCAAGTTCTCTGTTGTCCCATTTATGGACTTTTTGTGTTCCATCGTCAAACTACAGTATACCTTTCGAATTTCACAATTGATTATTTGACAAGATGTGCCCCCTTTAATTAGGCTTTCATTATGCCCCAACGACTTTCTAGAAAAGTTCACTTTCACAAAAATATCATATTACCCAGGATTACTGACGCTATTTATTTGACATGATTTTTTTTTAAATTATTTAACGATGGTCCCTAGAGGGTGACGCGTCTTCAAATTTTAAACGATAAAATTTTAAATACCTACGCGTCCTTAAATGCATGTTGTACTTAATTTGGAACCGTAGGGACCATCCAGTTAAATAACTAGAGTTTGACTCGCCTTTGGCACCATATTATTGACAAATCTAGATAGTGAATTTTAAAAGGTTACAATCGCTGCCTTACTGTAGCTCCTGATGCGCCTTTAAATGGTCCCTTGGCAATTTGAAAGCTGCCGGCTGGCGAGCCATTGATGGTATTTAAATAGACTCGGGTGGGACGCGCATGCCGGGGTCGGCCGGCCGGACACCATCATGCCTCTTAAATTACTGAGCACATGCCATATACGGGCGGGCTTGATGGATTACACTACTGTGTGCGCGCGCGCGGTGGTTGGATGGATGGGACGACTACTCCGAAAACCATCTGTCCCCCGGCCGATGGTCCGACCGACCTTTTGTGTCCGCATACAGCATTCACAGACACACACACACACAACCATCTGCATTTTTATAGACACTTTTATATCCCGAAGGTCATTCTTCTTCTTCCTCTTCAATTTTTCTTCGTTGCTGTTTTGTTTTTTTTCTTGCTGTTGTTTGAGTAAACACCTATCCGTTTTTCGTCTCCTCCATTCGTTTTCTTCTTCTTATCACTGACAAACTAACTAAAAAAAATGATCATATGTATTTTTTTGCCTCGCCTTGTTATATTGATTGATTGATTCGTTGCCTTCATTCCTCATATATGCGGAATAATTGCTGGACGCCTGAAAATAGTGCGCTAATTAGGGAGCGAAAGATAGAGAAAATGCATTAGTGTGAAGGAGATATTCGATTCGATTCGGCGGGGGCGACGATTCGATTATCTTGTACGAATCGGAGGGCGACGGTCGGCCGGCCCGGCTGGGCGGCCGTTGAACCGAATTCGAATCGATCGATTTTTTGATACCTACGATTTTCTGGATTTTTATCTTTGAACATTTTGTTCTGTTTTAAGCTGAAATTAGGGAGTTGATTTGGTATTCATCGCACACATCGCAATTTAGTGCTACCGTAGGTCTAAGCAGACCCAGCAGCATAAACTACAAATCTGTTAATCAGACCAATTTTAGGATTAAGCAGACCCACTACAAACTACAAATCTTTTAAGCAGACCGCTTTTTGGGTTAAGCAGACCCACTATAAACTACAAATATGCTAAGCAGACCGATTTTATAATTAAGCAGACCCACTACAAACTACAAATCTTTTAAGCAGACCGCTTTTTGGGTTAAGCAGACCCACTATAAACTACAAATATGCTAAGCAGACCGATTTTATAATTAAGCAGACCCACTACAAACTACAAATCTTTAAAGTAGACTATTTTTTTGAATTATGCGGGCCATAAAACGGTATATCCGGTTTTTGCGTATCAAACATAATAAATTACTTATTATTGCTTTTTAATTTCGTGCAAAGAATTGAAGATAAATCTGACTTTAAAAATCAATGTTTATCAATAGCAGTGGAATATTTAGAGCACTGATTGTCAAAAGCCTTGAACCAAACTGTTAGCATCCGACGTTGGATGTGTCCTGATTTAATTCAGACCATCAGATTTTCTTCCTCGTACCGGCTCTTTTAGTCACCGCATTAAACCAACTATCACCTTTTATGCTCAAAATATGGTTTATTTTGGTCAAATCTCGTAAAACTGTCCAACGACATTAACACCATCAACAAAAAAAGAACCCCATACCATTTATGAGGCTCTTTTTTTGCTCGCTTCTTCGCGCATCGTCTTAAAAGGCCACATTAAATCAGAACGACTCATTTTATTGTGGGTGTGCTCTAGTTTTTCTCACTTTGCGATTCGATTCAAGTCAATTCAAGTTCCATTTTCAACTTCGATTTTCCGTTTTTATCAGTTGTCCGTTTATTGATCGAGCACTGATAATCGTCGCCCATGTGACCCCCTCCCAGCCGCTCAGTCCCTTTCAAGCCATGTGTGCAAACTAGCCAAATTTCAATGTTTCCGATTCAAGAGATGTCTTTTTGAGATACTATCCCCAAAAGAATCGCGCCTATTTTTTTTATCTTTTGGGTTGTTTTTGAAGTGCTCCAAAAATGGAAAGGTTCGCTCTACTAGTTTCAAGATAACGAAAAATGCTCTGAGGTTAGAAGAACGCCCACCAATTTTTGTTTCTTTTTTTTTTCGGACAAAACCTCCTTTTTCCGTTATTTTTCGCATTCCATTTTCCTGACTCATCTCATTTCAATGTTTTTGGGTGTGCCGTCTTGATTTTCAATTAGCCAACTGATAAGAAGTAAGCATTGTTTTTATGAAGACGGTGCACAGATTTTGGCGGAATTGCGTCAAAAATTTTTTTTTGTGGGCTGGGACGAAAATGTTGTGAAAAATCGGAAAATGTTTGCATTCACTCACGGAAAATTCGTCATTATTAAAAAAAGATGGGCTTCATAACTCCAAATGTGGTCAGCTTAAAAGATTTGTAGTTTGTAGTGGGTCTGCTTAACATTAAAATTGGTCTGCTTAGTAGTTTTGTAGTTTGTGCTGGGTCTGCTTAACCCAAAAAGCGGTCTGCTTAACAGATTTGTAGTTTATAGTGGGTCTGCTTAACATTAAAATTGGTCTGCTTAAAAGATTTGTAGTTTGTAGTGGGTCTGCTTAACCCAAAAAGCGGTCTGCTTCTCAGATTTGTAGTTTGTAGTGGGTCTGCTTAACATTAAAATTGGTCTGCTTAAAAGATTTGTAGTTTGTAGTGGGTCTGCTTAACTCAAGCTTTCAAAGAAATAAATTATTCGATTTTTTGCGAAAAGAACTTGCAACTTTGCAAAACCATGGGAAATGAACAACCATGAAAACGATTTGAGACAAAAATCATTGATGAAATGCAACTTTTTTTAAAATGGTCCCATCGGCGCCTTTTCCGTTACGTTCTTCTTGTACATATAGTCAGCTGAAACATTTTCAAATACCGCGACACCTCGAATGTTGCATTTTAGCACTTTCAACCTGTCCGCCGAATTCGATTAATTTCTTGATTTTCTCCCATTTTTTTTGCAGATGTCCGAAGATGTCGCGGTGAGTTCGACACTGCTTAATGGGTGAGTTCGGTTTTTTCTCTTCTTGCGCTCGCTTCGATTTTCACCTGTTCGCCCTCCTTCACCACCCTCTTCAAGCCGGCGGCCAGATGTTTTTTAATTTTATTTTGCGCGCTCTCTTATTTTTCGTTCTCTCGACACGCCAATATTAAGTCGAATCTTGTGTTACAGTAATCGAGCGACGGCGGCGACGACGTCGTCATTCGGAAGTATCAAGACCGACTGGCAAATGCCACTCAACTTCAATCAGAACGTGACGAACGTGCCGAACGGCGGACAAATGATGACGGTAGGCAATGTGGAAGCTGGTTCGTCGCTTTAATGGAAGCTAATTGGTTTGAAGATGTCGCCACCGGCCGGCGATGGTCCCGGTTCGACGGGTTCGACGGCGCCCGAGGAGACGTCGTCGGCGTCGGACATCTCCGGCGACGCCGAAGGCGTCTGGAGTCTCGACATCGACCAGGCGTTTCAGGAAGCGTTGGCAATTTATCCGCCGTGCGGTCGCCGGAAAATCATCATCAGCGACGAGGGGAAGATGTACGGTGAGTGCGCAAACATCTGTTGGCCTTGGGTTCCCTTAAATGGACGGGATTAAAGTTGCGCAGGCAGCTGGGGGTGCTTTCGGCCGCCTTTAAAACGACGACGAGTAGCTTGCGTTGTATAAACAAATTCATGCGGCACCCGTTGCGATGGCGAACGCGCGCGCCGACGAACCATTGAGAAGGGATGGGGGACCCGATAAGATATTGTCGTCGAATATGATGTGAATGTCTGTAAACAGGCGTCAAAGTGTACACACCGGAAATTTTGATTTGAATATTTCGCCATTTCTCATTTTCCTCCTAGATTGTTGAAAAAAAGTTGTTTTTAACGATATTTTTGCGAATTTCTATAATTCATTAAAGAATTAATTATTTTTGCAAAAGAAAAAAACTGAAAGTTTTTGAAAATTTTTCTTAGAAAATTTTTATTTTCATTTTTTTAAATTTTAATTAATATTTTTCTTTGAAATTTGAAAAAAGACAATTTATACGAGAAAACTCTTTTTTTTTCCAAGCAATGTTTGGTTTTTAATATTTTGCGAAAATAAAAATGAGAATTCTCGAAATATTTTCCTAGAATTGATTTCAAAATTTCCCAACAATTCCAATTTTCAAATATCGCAATTTTTTCCCTTTTTTTGATCGCATTTTCTTTTTGAAAAGAAAATATTGTATTTAATTTTGACATTGATATATTTTTTTTATTCAGGACGAAACGAGTTGATCGCTAGGTATATCAAACTGCGATGCGGCAAGACGCGTACACGAAAACAGGTCTCATCGCACATTCAAGTGTTGGCTCGAAAGAAGTTGCGCGACGAGCAGGCGAAAAAGAAGGAGAATGGCGGAGGCGCGACGACGACGTCGACGACGACGACGACCGCGTCAACCGCCATCACACCGCCGAGATCGACGACGACACCGGTGGCGACGCCGGTCGCGTTTCCAATAAAAGCGGAAACGTCGCCGCAAGGCGCGACTCCCGAGCAACTCTCGCAGCAATTGCTCATTTCCAGTAAGCGATTTGCACATTTCATTTGTGATTTTTGATCCTCTAGGCCTCTCGCCGCAATTGTGGCCGTTTCCAAATCAGTTCAGTGTGGATCTCGCGCGTCTCGTGGCGCCGAAACCTGAACCGATCGCCGCCGAGCCGCCGGCGGCCGTCGAGCAGCCGACGACAGCACTCGTGATGCCGATCGCCTCCTCGTCGCTCTCCCTATTGGGATTCTCCGCCTATGTACAGTGCAATTCGACGAGCCAACGGACGGAGCTCGTCAAAATCGAGAACAGCCTCGAAGAGGAGACGATCGACATCTCGTTGTTCTACGACAAATTTCCCGAGATTCTACGCGAGTTGTACGCGAAATCGCCGAAAAAGGACATGTTCTTTTTGGCCAAGTGTTGGGCAAACATCAACGTCCCCGATGACATTATGTACGTTCTCGTTTCTTTTTCTTTTTTTTTGTTTTCGTGTGGGGACGATGGAACCCAATTTCGTGTGTTGCAGGAACAGCCAGTACGCCGTCGACTCGTTCTACCAAAGCACCGAGAAGTTCCATCTCAAGGTCTCCACGATGGCGTGCTCGTTCGGCAAACAGGCCGTCGAGAAGATCGAGGCCTATCCGCCGACGGAATGCATCGGCACCTACTCATTCGCCCTCAAAAATTCGCCAATGTGCGATTACATGGTGAAATTCATATCGGAGTTGAAGAAGTTGGAGAATATCGAATATATGAACAGCGTTCTCGAGAACTTCACGGTTTTACAGGTGAGTGGAATCATTTAATCAAGCAAAAAAAAATCAAGCAATTTTCAGATAGTGACGAATAGCGAGACCAATGAGACAGTGATGGTCCTTTGCTTCGTGTTCGAGGTGTCTCGTGAGCCGGAGCCGAGCTGCTCCGTTTACCGGTTGTCTTCATAAATCGCCTCGCGCTTCATCTCCACCGGTAGCGACCGGTAGCAATTCCAGAAAATCTCATCAACTGCCATACTATTATGATAATTTTATTGAATCCACCAATCGTCAACAATCATTCCAGAAAATCTTCAAGTCGCTTTTATTTTCAGTTTATGATTATTATAATTTGTTTTTTATTTCTCATAATGTGTGCAACCCAATTTCTTCTTCCCCCCTTAAACTACTTCGATCACATTTTAACGTACGAGTTGCCCGCCCACCAACAATTATAGATTTCTCGTTTTTTCTTTCCTGCACACAAATTTCAAGTCACAACCGATCATTGATTAGAATTAGCGTTTTAATTATTTTATTTTCTTTAATTCAAATTACAATGAAATGTTACTTTTTATTAATAATTTTCCTTTTTTCTTTTCAGAATATTGTCAATGCTGCAAACGCGCTCCATTGATAATTTGCCGCAATTTGATTTTGTTTGTCGATATCGAATTGTTTACCGGAGAAATTTGATATTTTTTTCCATAAACATTTGAAATTTTAGCGTATAAAAACGAAAAATGAATAAAAAATATTGCCACCGAAATGAGATTCGCAATTTTCGTCATCGCATTAGTCCATTTTGCGACTGCCAGTCAGAATGCGGAGCCGTTGGCTGAAAAGAAGAACACGGGACCACTAACTGTTGAGACGCTTGACAACTACATCGGAATGCTCGGCATTTTTAAAGGTGCATTTAGTTAAAATTTGAAATTTCGATTGCGAATCCTTATTTTGTAGATATGATTCCGGCGGAATTTGTGAAAACCGCGCAAAGTGTAAGATTTTGTTGATTATTATTTTTTCTTAATCCACAAATTCCAACATTTTCAGTTGAATATCACCCAAAAGCACGAAATCATTCGATTCGTCACTGATTGGTTTCAAGAGAAGATCGCGAAGCCCGAAACGAAAGACGATCTCGTCGAGCTCCTCAAGCAGCACCTTCCATCGGTCTACCAGAAAATCAATAGTTGGAACGAGACATTCTACACCAAATATGAGGCGTTGAAGCCGGAAACTCAAGCATTTCTCGTTGAATGGAAAGAGAAGGCGTTGCGTTTTATGGAGTCGTCGAATTCGACGACGGCGTCGTCGACCAGCGGCCTCTCGTTGATCCGCGATCTCGCCTCGAGTGTACAGAATATCGATTCGGAGACCAAAGAAGATTTGCGCAAGCAATTCCCGACAATTGTCATTTTGACCGAAGGTTCGTTTTTTTTTGCTATCGAAAGCATCACAAGAAAAAGCGAGAAGCCCCCCTCTCGTGGTTCGATGGCTAGACGAATTACCAATTTGCACGCCAAGAAGGATGGTCCGTAATTACGGGGTTCTCGTTTTTTATTTGCTTTTATAATAATAATTGGAATCAATTTTTCTTGGAAATTAAGGATTTGGGTTCACCACATTCACAACAATCATCATGGTCCTTCAACAACTAACCGAATCGCTGAAAGCGAGTTCTATTCCGAAAAATTTAAGTGAATGCAATATTCCGTTAGATAAATAATAAAGGTTTTTTTTTCGAAAACTACTATCTCTCTCACAAGTTGTATTATTTTCTCAATTTTCGAAAAAAATTAATCGTATAGAAATTTGAATAACACGAATTGATCAATTAAAAAAAAAAAGAGGAATCCATGCACGAAGATCTCGTAGAAGTCGCGTGACACTGCAAAATCTCGGAAAGTCCATTTCCAAGCGTGTCCGACATCTGCGGGAAATTTTTTTTCAAAAAGTGACTGCCGGTATATGTTGTGGTAAGAATGCGATTTGCGTGCGGTCACAACACTTTTTTATTATTTCTAATGGACCTATTTATGCAATAAAAAAATACATTTCGCGAATTGGTCCATAAATTGTGATACTGGCCACATAATGAAGGCAGCGCAACCGACTTTTGCCACAATGCAGCACTCTAGATTCGGAAATGCGTTCGTTGGCGACGAACCGCAACGCGTATGACGACATACGCAGCCGATTTTGTTTCTTTGCAAATTATGGTGTAGAAACGACGTTCGAGAGAGTGTGTGGTTTTGAGAGACGAAGAGATTTCTACGCGATGAATTGCTAAACTAAAAAAAATTCGCGGCCGTGACCGTGGATTTTTATTAATCTAGTCCGTGCATGCCCGCTCAAGAAAATACATTTATCATCCGTCAAATCAAGATGACTCGATAGACATCCGAGTTTTTCGATTTATCGATGACCGGAAAAATTGGGCTTCTCGCATTGTCCCCGCGAAATATCGGAAATCTCAAGGAGCTTCTAACAACAGCAGCGAGCGCAGTTTCCAATAAACTGTATATAAGGTTATTTCCATTTGCTATTTGAGAATTGTAAAAATTGTATTAAAGATTTAATCCGGATCAACCAAGAACTGACGATGTTGTTGGAAAAATTTATCTTTATTCATCCTCCAAATGCCCAAAATTAGACGTGCGTGTGTTAACGAAGGCTCAGAATCCAGAAGGTTTGGCACGAAATCAATTCGATCGCTGATATTTATAAAATATAGATTATGCGTTGATTGGAGATGTAAATCCTGAAGAAACCCAATCAGTTACTCCGAAATACAAAAATATTGTGCTGGGCGGAACGTTTGATCGATTACACAATGGCCACAAGGTTCTACTGACTAAGGCAGCTGAGATGGCCTCGGAGAGGGTTGTTGTTGGAGTTACAGAAAAGAATATGATTTTGAGTGAGCTGCAGATACTCATTTTTGACCACTTGATTCCTTTTTTAGAGAAATCTCTTTACGAGATGATCGAGCCGGTTGAATATCGAATGGAAAAGGTCGCCGAGTTTGTTGAAGACATCACATTCAACGTCAAATGCATCACCGAGCCTATCGTTGATCCTTTTGGACCGTCGACTCGCATGGAAGATCTTGAAGCGATTGTTGTGAGCCGAGAGACAATTAAAGGAGCAGATGCTGTGAATCGGAAGCGCGATGAAAAAGGAATGCCACAGTTGGACGTGATTGTCGTCGAATTAGTCGAAGGCGTCGATGAAATTCTCAACGAGACCAAAATAAGCTCGTCGACAAAGCGAAGAGAGGCGCTCGGAACATACTTGCGAGCACCGAAGCATTTCGAGAGGCGGCCATACGTTATCGGATTGACTGGCGGAATCGCATCGGGCAAATCGAGTGTTGCCAAATATCTCAAGCAAAAGCATGGATTCGATGTGATCGATTGCGATCAACTTGCTCATTCGTGCTATGAGCCGGGAAGTGTCTTGTGTCAGAAAATTGGCGAGACGTTCGGAATTGATGTGGTCGTCGATGGAGTTGTCGATCGAAAGAAGCTCGGAAGCATCGTTTTCGGAGATTCCGTATGAAAATATTCATTTTTTGGTCCAAACCAACAATTTTTCAGGCAAAACTTCACCAATTAAACCAATTGGTGTGGCCTGTTGTTCAAGAACGCGCCATGAAGCTGATCGAGCAGTCGACTTCGAAAGTCGCCGTGATCGAAGCCGCCGCTCTCATCGAAGCCGGCTGGCATAGACAGCTGCCCGAAGTGTGGACGGTCTTCATTCCACCGGAGGAGACGATTCGGCGTGTTGTCGATCGCGACAATGTCAGCGAGGAGCAGGCGAACGCAAGAATGGCGTCGCAGATAACGAATAAGGAGCGCATCGACAATTCGAATGTGGTTTTTTGCTCATTATGGGACTACACGGAAACGCGGGCTCAAGTCGATAAAGCGGTAAAAACTCTCATGGAACGCATCCAGTAATAATCTAGGCTCGTGTCTTAAAATTAATTGTGATAATTATAAAGTGCAATTATTTAAATACTTACATTTGATCATCCTTCAGGTGTTTGTTTTTCAACTTCTTTTCATATTCCGGCAAAATATTCAAAATTTTCAAACATTCGAAAATAATCCCGCACCGTGGTCACTCGGTGTTTGCAGCCAAATTGCGTACCGTATCCGTCAGCGCTTTTGTTGTTCGAAGAGATACATTGATTTTTATTGAGCTATTCGTGAGAATCTCCAAGTTTTCTTCTTCCGAATAATCTTTAAAAAAACGCTACAATGCTCCACTTGTACACTGCCCGCTGTTTAGCGTATTTCTCTTTTTTCTCAATTTTTTATGAACAAAAAATGATTTTTTTAAATAAAATTCTAATAGACAGTTGAATTCGCGTAGAGCGCCGAATTTCCAACGGTCGACCTTCGCAAAACGTTCCTCATCTTCTTCAAACGATCGACATTGCCGAAAATATAGCCGATGGGGATAAGAATTAAAATATTCACATAGCTGCAAACACTACTCGTATTAATACTATCATCAACTCCAATGAAGGCGAAGAATCCGGTGTAGAAAATTCGAAGCTGCAGAGGTCAAAAAAAAAAATAATTGGCCAATTTAGTTCGAAAAAACCCATTGACAAACCGAGGTGTTGATGAGAATCGGCAACGTTTGAAAAATAATATTGAGCTCGACGGTCTTTTTGCTTCCCGACACCATGTCCATTTTGTGGATTCGCCAAAAAAGGATGAGATAGAATCCGATGGAAATCACGGGAAGCATGAGGTGCATTAGAACGTACACCTGCAAAATTCGATTGGAGCTGAAAACCAAAAAAAAAAATAAATAAGGGACCCAAATTTGGATGGTGGTCAGCGTCGAGAATTGCTCGCGGCATTCTTGATAGTCGTCGGTGAGCAGCTGAAACGAGATTTCAGAAGAAAAAAAGTAACGAAAATTTTTGTTACATATTTCGTCGGGCACACTTTTTTCGAAATCATCATCGTGCCGTGGCATCGTCGAAAAAAATGCGCAACATAGAAAATGTTGAAGAGAATTGGGATGGCTAGCGCGAGTTTCAGACAATTTCTGCAATTTTTCGTCTCGCTTTCCTGCTATTTTGACCCCTACCCGGTCACGTATTTGTGATATTTTTGATCTGCGACGACCGATCGCTGGACGCTCAACGCGAACAGGAACACGGGAATTGCGGGACCATTGAGGAAATTCGTCGAAGCGTCGTCGACACGCGACGAAGCCCTACAATCCAATTTTGTCGGACCATTTTTTGTTGTCAATTTGTCTCCCCCCCACAAAAACGCGATGAAAAGGCCGAGCTTCAGAGCATTGAGCTTGCTGGAATCGTATAAGCTGAAAATCAACGTCAAATGTTTGATCGACTCGATGGTGCCATGTAGAATAATCAACAAAAAGAATAGCAATGTGATCGGGTAGGTTGAAATGAGCTCACAACGGCTCTCGACACCCTTTCTTACGTTTTTCTCATTTTTTTAGATACAATATCGCATAAATTGCATAAAATACGAGCTTGGCGACGACTAGAACGACTAGTAATATATAGAGAAATTCCATTGAATGCCCTCCAAATGCATCGAGCAATTCGGGAGAATTCCTTATATAATACGCTTATACGCTCTCCTTAACGTATTATTATCGAAGGCAGATTCGACCTAAAAAAAGGGGAAATGAGCAAAAATTTTGCGGGGTTTGAGTTTGATTCGCTGAAAACCTGCGATGGTCCAAAAATGGGCGGTTCGCGTGCTGTGGGTCTCGCAACATGAGTGTCGATTTACGCCAGTGGCGCGTTGTCCGTGTGGAGTACACACCAACCAATTCTGGCAATTAGCCAAAATTTGAATTGCCGCCTTGGGGTCTCGTATGGAAAACACTCTTACGAGAAGCGAGCTTAATTTAACCTTAGCCAATATAATACAAAATGATACATTTTTAAATGAATCTAAAAATGCTATATTGGACGTGGTAAAAGAAGTACATTTGATTTTAAGGGACCAATTAATTGTCGAAATGGTCCGTCCACGACAACATGCAATATTATCGCTTGGCCCTTTTTTTCCCAGAAATGCACTTCAATGAACGTCTTCGTCTTCATCATTCGGCTCGTTGGTTAATACGATAAGAAGAAGCTCTACAATTCTACCTTAGTTCCAACAGTCTGCTTCGCATCCTCTCGACTTTCATGCACTCCCATCTGCCGACAATTATGCGGGCCACGCTCCCCCCCCTCGGCGTTCTCATCAACGATTTCCTTGTCTTATTTTTTAAAACCCAAAAAAGGAAAAGCGGCCAACGAGTGAATGTGTGTGTGCCTCAAAGTGGCCGCCATTGCCAATAAATGTTTGCAATATTTGCGCGGTCGCTAATTAGCGGTGGTGGGCAAAAAAAAAACAACAACGACGACGACGTTTTCATCATTTTTTTGCACACACCGGCCTCGCCATCGCCGACATGGGACAACTGCTCGCCATGTTTCGCCGATCGCGTCTCGACGCGACGCGCATCCGAAGCGTCTGGTGCGATCACATCAAATCCGGCGATCACTATTTTCAGAAGGTTCGTTCGTCCCCCCCCCTCCGCTTCATTCCATCGTATTCTGTCGGGCTCATCTAGGTCGTGTTGGGCGTGTGCTCGCGGAACGCGTGCATCCGAAGCGCGATGCTCGCCTCGACGCAGCAATTCGCCGCCAACGAGGACGAGGAGAATTTCGTGTTGTCGAATCTCGCCGATCGCATCACCGTCTTCTTCGAGCAGCTGATCACGGTAATCCGAATGTTGAGCATCGTCGAAACTTGATGCATCCAACCTAGTTTAGGATGACGTCATCTCGAATCAAGCGGACCTTCAAAAACAGTGCTATGAGCTCGGCAGGCAGCATTGCTCATATAGCAAGAAAATGTTCAAGGTGAGACGCTTCATATTGATCATTCGGATCGGCGCATTGCCAGATATCGTATTGGGAGGAATTCCTGCTGATGATGATGGACGTGCTGGAGAACGAGCATCCGGAGACGACGAAGGACGAGCAGAAGGCGTGGCACGCGTTCATCCGATTCATCAATGAGAACATGCTTGATGGTTATCTCGATGCCACGTCATATGTCAAACAATAAATATTGAATTAATGATTCTCAAAAAAAAAAAAACAAAACAAAAAATGGAGCAACAACCACTCGAATTAGCATTTGGTGTCGTCGGGCCATTCGAATTCGAACGACGCCAAATTGACGCCATCCCTCTCGGCGTACCACACCATGAGTCGATCGCCAATCCAATCGCCGCCGCGAAACGCGCCATCGAACAGAAACGCCGACGAGCCGTCGATGAGAGTGCTGACGCACGACGAGACGCGATTGCGACGCGTCGCGTAGAAGACGCCGTCGTAGATCATCGCGATCAACTCGATCGACTCGCGCGTCGCCTGCGATCGAAACACCATTGGCGCGGTGGTGTTGGCGTGATAGTCGATGGCAATCGTCTCGTTGAATGTCGAGTCGTAGAGGCGTAAATTGCCGCCAGCGTCGAGCACATTCATCACCTTGTACTCGACGATTGTGCTCAACGCTTCGATGTCGATCGATGGGCATTGGATGGTGTCGCCGATTTGGGTCACCATCGACGTGCCGTTGAGCACAATGGTTTGAATGGTGCATGGCGTCGTCGAGTTGCTCATCGTCGTCACGTGCAGTGTGCTTCGATCGTCGTCGACTCGCATCTCCACCGATTTGTTGATGATCTCGAAGTAGTGGCCTTTGACGGAGCACTTTTGCGATTCGCTGGATGCCATATCGCGACAATCCCAACAGCACGCTATCACCGAATCGACGGTGGGCGGGATGATCCGCGGATCATAGGAGAGGATCTGACACGTGGCGCAACTCGCGTCCGCCATCGACAGATTGTAAGCGGCGAACGTGTTCGACGTCTCGTTGAAGACGATCATCCGCGAGTCACGCACACTGTAGCCGATGATTCTCGACGTGTAGACGAGGCCGGCGACGTCCGGCGCGAACGTCGTCAGATTGACGCCGAACGAATGGAATTGCGACGAGGTTCTGACGACGTAGCCGACGAGGAATTGAGACGATCGGCTCGACGTGGTGCTTGTCATCGTGGTGCTCGTCGTGAGCAGATTGTTCGGGTACGCGTGATTATGGCCGCCTGGAAAGATGAGCTCATTGGAAACAAAAATTGAAATGAGCACTCTGGGTGAGCTCGTCAATGCTTTTTTTGGCCTCAAATTGAAAAATTGTGAAAATGAAAAATGAGGTTGGGGGTTTCGAAAAAAAATGGTCCCACCACGAAAATGTGTCGATCCAAAACATACTGTAGAAAATCTAGAGGGAAGTGATTTTGGGCATTAAATTTTTCAAGCCAGGGCGCTCGTTTTGAAGAGCAAATCCGAAAATGCATACCAGTATTGACAATGAAGAAAATGAGCAGCACAATGGCGGAAGCGATCGAGAACAGTAGAAGGAGGACGACGAACGCGAGAAGGCATCGCTGGCGTCGCGACCAGCCGCGAATCGCGTCGACGCAACCGCAACACAACACGCCTAGAGATGTACGAATCGTATGTGCCGACAATTTTGCGGGACACTCACCGCCATCGCTCGCTGGCCGCCTCTCATTCGGCCATGAGTCGATGCGCATGAAAACGTCGTTGCTCGTCAGATGCGACGACGAGAATCGGACGGTTCGATTCGCTGATTCCTGAATCGAATCGCATCCGAATCATTTTGGCGGGCAAAAAATCGATTTTCTGCGATTGTGCGTCACAGTGTTTGCACACATTTCACAAAAAAATTATTTTAAATTTTGCGAAAAAACACAAAAATCGTTTTGGATGCCAAACCTTGTTCGCTATCGTCGTCTCCGATTCTCGTCGATGGCCGCGCGACGGCGGCGGCGGCGACGACGAGGTGGCCGTGGATTGAGCGTCGTCCGTCGAGTTTCGCGTCCTGCATTCATCAATCAACATTAAAGCGATTCCAATAATAATTCTTACATTCTTTCTTTTTTTTTGGCTTACCTATCGCATATTATTCATATAGTCGCAAAATAATCATCGAGCGGCCGCGTTTTTTCGTTGCGCCGAGCTCATTCTTATCATTCGGCTTCTCGCGCTTATCAATTTCGATTTCGCAACGCAATTTTTAATCAAACAATACGATTTTTACAGCACTTCATTCCCAAGGTTACTCGCCTTTTGCGAATCACTCCAATCGGCCCACGATATATTCATGCCAAGCAAATTTTAAAATGTTCTTTTGCTATTTCAATCTGCGGACACTTCTCCGGGCTTCTGTTGAATAGGTACTCTATTTGAGGCGAATTTTCCACAATAACAAATAATCAAAAGAGAGAGCTTATTCGTGGACGGACCATTTCGACAATTAATTGGTCCCTTAAAATCAAATGTACTTTTACCACGTCCCATATAGCATTTTTTAGCTTCATTTAAAAATGTGCCATTTCACATTGATTGTGATTAAATTAAGCCCGCTTCTCGTAAGAGTGTTTTCCATACGAGACCCGCAAGGCGGCAATTCAAATTATTCTATAATCACTTGTGCGACAAATTTTGGTTAATCGCCAGAAATGGTCGTTGTGTACTCCACACGGACAATGTTGCGAGACCCACCGCACGCGAACCGAAACGCGTCTGACGACATTCAGAGATGACGGCATTTGTGGACCATCGCAGGTTTTTTTTTTAATTGAGTATTTGAAATACTGAAAACAATTTTTTTGACACCAACTTCTAAAAAAAACCCCACAATTAAAAATAAATAATTATTCGACTTTGCATTTTTTTGTTTGAAAGAAATTTAGCTATTGCGAGAAGACTTTTAAAAGAGAATCCATTTTTCAAATTTAAAACTACATGAAATTCCGGAAAAATATCCTTTTTTTCCTATTTTTACCAAAAATTCCATGTGGACAAAAAGAACAAGATATTGGAGGGGATCATTGGCACTTATCGATATCCATCTGCGGACATTCAAACAGGTTTCACTCATAATTGGCTAGAGAAATTCTACGGATTTCACGTTGAACGTCGAATCTGCGGACAATTCGCAGTTCGAGAAAAACGCCGTCAATGTCAATCAGAAAACAAGAACGTCCTTCAAAAAAACCAACGGAATGTTACAATTGCGGTTCAAAATCTATCAAATTCCATTGTTTGACAATTAAAAAAAACGAATTGTCTCGAAAAACGCGCCAAATTCGGCAAATGGCATTCAAAACGAGTCGAGAGAGCACGCGGGAGCGAGAGACGCAGAGCGCGAGACATCACGTAGGACGAAGATGCGCAGACATCGGAAAACCAACACCATTTTATTTCTGTTTTTTTTTCAATAATTTATTCATATTTTTTGTTGTTTTTTCACAATTTTCCCATATTAAAAAAAACGAGAAATTACATGTACTCAAAATTCAAGATGCTGAAAGAAACGAATTGGGAGTGTTTGTGCTTTTGGGAGACAAATGGTAGGTCGAATCATTTTCTAAAAATACCGTACTTCAAAGGGATGGGGGGAAGGGGGGCGCGTTTCATCATAAAACCAAAAAAAAGCAATCACAAAATCTAGAAAATACAAATATAACAAGTAAATCGAACACAGCGTTTTTTTTTTTAATGAAGATTAAATATAATATTATATGTATATATGAAGACCATTGCACATACGGAGAGTCATGCCATCCAGTACGACCTACTAGTATCAGGGGAAGTTCTGAAGAAGGTGATAGCGAGAAAAAAAAACACAAAATTTGAGGGAGGGCGGGAAATTGAAAAATCCTATATATAGTATAAAACAAGAACCTCGATTCCCCGGACCATTCGGTGCCCGGAGGCATTTGCAGAAAGACAAATTTCGGACAGCGAGAAGAGAAGGAGACGACTGACAGACAGGATGCGATCGGAATGGATGCGGAAATTCGAAAAAAAAATAAATTAGTTATGAACAAACAAAAAAAAGACGAATAAGCGGAAGATGATGAAAAGGCAGTGGGGGGGGGGGGCGGAATTGTTTCAAACTATCAAAAATTGGGTGCAGAGGAAAAAAAAACAAAAAATTGGTGGAAAGCAAAACGCACACCGGTTATGCGAGCGAGAGAATTTGGGCGATTGAAAGAAAGACGCCGGGTAGTTTGCAATTGTGTATTTTTTCTTTGACTAATTAACAATTCGGATTCTCTATGATGATGATGATGATGTCGAAGACGATTGCACATTCGTATCCCGTAGTACTTGAAGTGTCGGCGGTGTGTTCGAGCCGCTCGTCGGACTTCCGATCGCCGACGTCGCCGTCGAATTGATCACATGATGATTGCTCGGCGACATTACTTGGCGCGCGTTATGATGACCAACACTACTACTGTGTTTCGATGACGAGTTGATCGTGGTGAACGCGGTCGAAGCATTCTCGACGTCCGATTTCGGCGTCGACGACGGCTTCGGCTCGACACACGGTTTGATGTCGTCGAGTGGCGTGTAGGTGATCTGGAAATACGAAACAGCGTTGAATGACGAGCCGAAAACGCCAAGTGGAGCCTACCTGATAGTTTTTGCCAGGCGGCGGCGGTGGATTCGGCGCCAGACTCCGATAGAACTCGTGCCGCTGCGCTGCCGTCCAATTCAACGGCGGCGTCGTCAAGCCGGGTCGCGCGTGTTTCGCTGGCGGCGGCGGCGAGCACGGCACATCATCCGACAGACGCTTGAGTCGCCTGGAAAACAATCGCAACGTTGAAAACCGAACTCCGTGTTTGGTGTGTAAAAATTACTACTACTACCACTAGTCGAGAGACAATGGGCGCGCAACAACCGCCACCACAAAAAAAATTTGTTGCCTAGTGTTAAACGTCAAGGTCATCAACCAGTTTTTGAAGCTGGCGGGTGACCTCAAGACAAAGAAAAAAGAATAATGAAAGAAGAAGAAGAAGGAGAAGAAGCTGACCTGCACCATGTGTCTTTGTATTCTTCCTCGAACCGCTTTGTGTGTTGCTGTAGTGATTCTTTGGTCAATGGGATCGCCGGCGGGTATTTCCTGAAGAGAGAGAAAAAAAATTATAAAATGCCATTCGATTCCTTCTGGTTTGCTTGTTTGTTCATCATCATCATTGTTATTATTATTACTATTGGGTGGCTGGCGACGGGTGGGTGGTGGCGACCGACACCCGTATGGTGAAGGACGCACCACGCCGCCGATGCGTACGCCAATAACAACAACAACAACAACAACAACAACAAGAGTGAGATAGAGATAATCAAAAAAAAAGGTTCCTCCGGAAAACAACTCACTTCTCATCGAACGGCTCCAAATCCTTGGCAGGCGTGTCGGGTCGCGATTGCGATTTGAGAAGACGATGCACATTCTCCAGACAATTGATTTGGGTGTAGGACAACGGCGGCTCGGCGCCACCAGCGCCGCTCGACGACGTCGGACTCGACGCCGTCGTCATCTTCCGTTGCGCGGCCTTCTGCTGCTGTTGCGCGGTGCTGTTCACGACGAGATGCTCGACGAGTTTGTCGATGTAGACGCCAAGATCCGACGGATGTTGGCACGAGCCGAAGAACGCGGCGGCGGTGGCGGCCGCGGCCGCCGACGGCGACGGATGCGAGCATTCTTTGCGAGCCGATGTCGACGGTACCGGCTGAAATAATCGAAAACGTTAGAATCGAGTCGTAGTGATTGTGAGATTGGTTGGAATCGAACTCAACAAAAAAAAACATTGCTGGTCGTACTTCAGCGAGCTCATACAAGTAGCCGAGAATGTCCATGCTTCTTTCTATTTGAGGGGTGGGGTGGTATTGTCTTGTTGTGGTGTATTGGTAAACGACTGGCTGTTGCTACTGCTACTGCTACTGGCTGGCAAGAGGGGGGCGGCAAGCAACCAAGGGAAGAGGTGGGGGGGGGGTCTCCGACACAAACCAACACACACACACGTACAGAGGAGAGAGAGGGAGAGGCGCGCGGCAGGTACGGGAACTCCCAGCACCGGCTGGTGGGAGGGGCAAACCGCACACGAGGCGACACCGGGAGTGCGCGAGGGGGTCAAACGAACGGAAAACACCGTGATAGCGTGTGAGCACCATGTTCTCACGCAAACACGGAAATGTTCGCGCCGTTGTTGGCGCTCAACGCGGAAATAAAATCTTGTGTGTGTGTGTGTGTGCTCAATGCCAATCTATGTACAACTCCGAACTGTGATCTACTGCTGGTGCGCCATTCTCGCCGGGTTCCCACGCTCGCTTCCACAGGGGAGTCGATTAATCAACACTATTCGAGTTTCTTGGTTCACAATTGAAAAGAAACAAATGGTTAATGTAAGATGTACATTATCTTCAATTTGTGATTCTAGGATTACTGTAGCACAAGTTTCAACACCATCGCTGAAATTCTTGAAACTTGACGCGACCTCCGATACATTCCTCTCGAACATTTTTTGGTTGGATTACTGTACATCTTTCACATGCCCATTTTATATAGATATGCATAGTTTCAACAACCTAATATAGGATTACGGTAAGACACTGAATCGCACGTGAGATTGTTTAAAGAAACATGTAGTTGTAAATGGCAAAAAGGTCACACACCTTTTAGCAACAAAGAAATGAAAAAATACTCATCCTTTTATTCGTTTCTTTCCAATATTAATGTAAAGCATCTTGAATTCGAGTACATTGACGATGAGGAACGGGCCGACCCCATATTGGATAATACAGTTATCCTATCCGGCCGATGGGGCCGGCCCAACGATTGTCGTCGAGCTCAAATCTAAGCCGAAATCGAGTACGCGTCGACGGTGGGGCAAGCAACAAGAAGCAAGTGACCAATGTCCATTGGCGGCACGCATGGGGCGGTTAGGGTCGGCGCGAGAGGAGGCGCCAGTCGCGGACACGGACACGCTGACGCGATGGTGCCGCGACCACGGACGGCACCGCAGCAGCAGCGGCGGCGGCCGTGGTGGCGGCGGTAGGCGCCGCGGCGACATCCCTCATCGCCTCTCCCCCCCCCCCTTCCCCCCCCGTGCGTGTTGCCCTTTAATTTAGTGCATTCCTCGCCTCCTTCACACCATCATCGTTTTCCACTCCCCTCTCGAGATTCGCCGACTGGTACTGGACCCCCTGTCTTTACGGAGAGGGGGGGGGGGGTGGTTCGTGCACACGCTCGTTCTCTACGCTCTCTCAGCTAGCCATTCTTGCGCTTCCTGCGTCTCGCATCGAGAGACCGACGAGACACCGATTCCGAGTGTTATTGCAACACTGTGGTTGGAGGGGCTGCTTGATAGACGCCACCTGGTACCGCGATTCCAGAACAAGGGCGTCATGAAATCCACGCACGCGTGTGAGAAGAGTATGCCGCCGGCGGTGCCGCCGTCGACGACGACGACGACGCCCCGTGACCATCACAGCGAGGAACCGAACCGAACGACGATGTCAGCCAGCCTCGCCCACCTCACCGAATGGGCGTGCTCGCACTGATAATGAGGACGTGCCGCTTCTTTCGTGTTTATGTTCCAAATTGAGACATTCAACGGATTAGGCGATCGCCGACCGGCTCGCGAAGCACCAGCGACACGATGAATTGGGCGCGACTAATCTCATCAATATCAACGCCATTCGGAGAAGCAAGTTTCAGAAATCAAAAGATCGCTCGATTCAAACGCGTGTGAGAAAAAAAAATCTCGATAAGAGCACAATCATTAGCAACATTTCGCGAATCTCATGTATAATCTCGATTTTGAGAAAAATGGAATTTCAAAGAAAGATAATATACTGTATGAGCAATTTTAATTGAAAAGCTAGAATTTCAGAAAGTAGAACATTGAATACAGTAATGTCTAGAATTTCAGCAAAAAAAATGTTTCCCCCCTCAATTTCTTAGATTGAGGTTTCGATTCCCCAAAATTGCGCGTTTCGTTGGTCCGAGAATCATCACCTCAAATTACTACCGTATATCGCCCCGCTCAACTCATCCTACTAATTTCATTGTAACACACACTCCACACCTCCCCTACTAGAGGGCCCACTTAACAATGTTATTGGTGCCAGGTAAATGATATGTACGTTCGCATACGCACAATTGACAAACAGATAGAGATGATAGTAAGCGAACGGAACGGAACACGACCGACCAGCGTGCGGTGCCAGTCACTGTCATCATTCGAATCGAATCATCGGCGTGTGCAGACCGACCAATTTCTTACTGATAAGAATGAAAGACTTACTCGATTCATTATCGATCGCAGCTCATCCTCGAACGTCTTCGCCATCACCGGCGGTAGCACGTTGGTCTGTTGGCCGTTGGCGGGCGCTGCAAGAACGTCGGCGTCTGAAATCGTCACGATTTCAAAAGAAACACACAAATCGAATTACCTCCAATCGGGACCGAACAGATGCGATGTCTCGCGACGACGAGCTCGATCTTCTTCGTCCACGGGTTCAGATAGGCCGACCATTCGGTTTGCGATCGAAGGATTGCTCCATTGTGCGCGACGAGCCGCAATTCGGCGATGCTCTTCACCACTTTGCCTCTCGAGTTGTGCACTAGAAAAAAATCACACGAAATTGGAGCATTTCCATTTTTGGATTGTTGATCTCTCTCTCTCTCTCCTTCTCGATCGCTTCTTCCTCGTGCCTCACAAGCTAGCCAGCCATCAAGCTAACCCCCCAACAAAACACAAAGAGAGATTCGCGAAACAACACGTTCTTCAAGCCACCATCTCGACCATCATCATCATCATCATACGGAACTCGATCCGGTCCACATCCATCAAGCTTCTCGACAACATTTTCAACACGCAACTTACAATCGATGTGAGCTTGTCGCACAACGTGCACGTCGGGCGCGTAGACGAACGCGAGAAGGGATTTTCCAATGAGATCGGTGGGCAGTAGGCCGAGGTAGGGAATCGATCTGAAATCAATTGTGGTCGGATCGAAACACGCCGAATAATGGCGGCGAGACTTACGCATAATCTATATGGGTTAGCGCGCACGTCGACGAATGTTTCGTGATGAACGTGAACACGTGGAACGGATGAATCGACGGCGAGAACGCCGAGCGAAGCGCCAGCACCGTCGTTTTGGCACGATCGCGCTCGAATTCGCACAGAAGCTCACAAGCTCGAAGGCTATTGTCGGGCCTGAAACAAAAAATCATCATGATCACTCATTTGGCTCATGCTCTTCCTCCCCATCCCCCCTCCCTCGCATCAATCATCACAATGAGCTGGACAAGGTCCGCGAGTCGGCGTTTGCATAATGAAACGCAAACAATCAAATGCACGACATTTCGCGCGACGCCTGCGTCACACTCTCTCTCGGCCGACTGTCAGACCCCCTCGCTCGCACTCCACGACTCTCGCCGCCCGGGGGGCTGGCAGATATAGCGGGTGAATTCCCACGCGTGCAACGCACCCGGGGGGAGACTGTCTAAATTTAGGATCAATGTGTACGGTGGGTTTTTTCTCGCCCGTCCCCCCCCCCACCCCGACTTCGCCGCGCGTCGGCTCAAACGACTTACATGGTGACACGCGCGAAGATTCGCTGCTTCACCGAAGCGGCCGCCGCTGACAAAATGAACGATTGACCCTTCGACTCGAGACGCTCGAGAAAACTGCTGCCGATCGGCAAGTATTGATCGTTGAACTGATCATTGTACGTCACCGACGAGACGACGGTGCCCTGTGGCAGCGAGAAGGTGCACGCGAACAATAGACGATTGTCGGACTCATCGTCGAGCTCCACCGACGATGAGGACCACGTGTTCGGCGGCGACAACGTGGCACCTTCTTCTCGGACCGCCTACAAAAACGAATCGAGATTGGGTTTTTAATGGAAATCCTATCAAAATCGACGTCAACAAGAATCTACCGGATTCAAGAAGGCAACACAATCCGGAATAGAACGGAATGAGTATTTGTTTGAATATCAATCCTCAAAATTTTCTTCACTCCAACATCAACAAAAAAACAACAAACAAACAAATAAATAAATAAATAAACAAAAACTGAGCTCACCTGGTGCTGATGGTTGGCTGGCACAACGATATTGGGTGTTGTGCTTGACTGGCCCGCTGGCTCCATTCGAAAGGCGCCACGTTCTGAAAACGCAAAATAAAGAAAAAAAATTAATACTAATAATAAAATTGGCTAAAATGGATTGCAAAAACGGAAAGATAGCATTGTCGAAGAAAAATTGAATCGCGGATTACGGTAGCGAAGATCCTACATAAGTGCTTCGAAACGCGACGACCGAAAACGAGAGCGCAAAGTGGGTGGCCCCGTCCCGGCCTCTTGTTCTCCCGATCTCCTCGTTTTCGAAAATCGGTGGTGCCTCAAAATTTCACCCAAAAATGGCGATGAATTGACAACTCGGTGGGAAAAAAAAGTGCAAAAAAAATGTTGTATAGTCGCTTTTTTTCAGGGAAGAGAAGGCGGGGAAAAAGGAGGAGGAAGAAGAAGGAGGCAAAAAAAAAACGGGGGGTTGCTCTCGAAAGGACTGGAAAAGAAAAACGAGGCGAAGCATACCGCTATACGAATTCAAGTACTACTAGGTTTTACTACAACCCTTAAATATATACCCCTCTACTCTTATCAATTTTGTACGTATAGTTGCAACGACGAAAAAGCCTGATAATGAATGATTCGGGGCCCGAATCAGATAGAGAAAAATCGTATAGCGATGAATTTTTTTTGCAACACGAGTGGTGTCGTCTCGGGGTGTCTATGTTTTTTTAATGTTCAAAAACGATATGTTGCATTCTCAACTGATAACGCAATAAAAGTGCACTGTACACATTTATGTTTTGGGTAGACTTCGGATTACGGTAGGTCGGGGGGGGGCTAATGGTGTTGGGTGTGTGTGGGGGGGGAAGGCGAACAAAAGGAATGGCGACAAATCCGGAATGCTGCTGGCCACATAAACCCCCGAGGACCTTCATCAACGTGAATCCAGTCGCCAATAATAATCAAGATTCCAATCAGGTTCTCCTTCCACCAGGCCCCGCGCCAGTTAGGAACAAAGAGAGGAACCTGAAGCCTATCGGCGTGGTCAAGAATCAATCGGATCCAAATTGTGAGGCTCAGAAATGATTTTTGTTGAACAAGCCAGCCGATCGTGAGAATAATAGAGCAAACAATTCCAAAATTAGAAATTTAGTTGAAACAATTAATAATTGTACAATTCATTCTATTTACACAATTGCTGATGGCCGCTAGGAATACATGAATCGCAACACCGACTGCTAGGCTTCAACGCGCCGCCACCACCACCACCACCACCAGCAGCAGCAGCAGCATGATGATGATGAGGAGGAGAGGAGCACGGCCCGTACGGGACGGATTCGTTCGTTCGTTTCGTGCTTGGTTCGTACTCACAGCGAAGGGGGGGGGGGAAGAGACAACGGCTATTCTAACATTGGGGGGGGGGGCGGCTGGGGGCGGCGGCGGCGGCGGCTCGAGCGACTGACAACACACACGAACACGAAGCGCATGCAGTGCGTCGCGGCGAGAGCGTGTCAGACACGAGTGACCAGTCAGCCGGCTGGCGCCAGGCAGCGCGTTCACCAACGAGTGCGGCCAGAGAGAGCGAGCGTCCGACGAGACAGTGTGGCCGGACACACGACGTCCGACGAACGTCGTGCTGGGTACCGCGACCAACTCGGTCGGTCGGTCGGTCGCGCTCGCTCGCTCGCTCCTCCTGCTGCCGCTGATGCTGGCTTGGCTGAATGACTGACTGACTGACTGGTGCGGCTACTCGTCGCTGCTTCTGCTGCTGCTCCCCCTGGTACCAGGCGTTTATGAGGGCAACACGAGGTCATACATGCCGCGCCCGCCCCGTTGCATGCCTTAATTAGCAAACTGCCGTCGGCAGCATGTTGCATTGCACTTTGTGCATATCACATCGACATCATCATCATCCACGAGAGGCTCGCGCGCGACTCGTCGTATATCACCAACCGGTACCGATGGCCCGCCTCCTCCAACGACTTGGACGACGAGGAGAAGCTAGAGGAGGAGGTGTCGAAAGTTTCAATTCTCAAACACGATTACTAATTATGAACGCTGGCACAGCTCGGTACAACATGCTCATGCTTCATGAGGAGGACGACGAGGAGGGGATGAAGGAGGAGGAGGAGAAGTGGAAAAGGGCATGATGACTCGAGAAACAAAAGAACCGGGTTACTGTAATTAGAGCACCGGAGCCTGGCACCGGTAAAACTTGATAAAAAGAAAAGATGTGTGCTGCCAAAAAAATAAACAAAAATAAAAACGTCGGTGCACTTCTCTCGATGAGTTGAATGATTGCCTGATAAGGGAGCAAAAATTGCAACAAGCGAATTGGCGAACAAAAAAAAAATAATAGGAATCGAGTAGTTCGACGACGTCCTCTCTCACTGTCTCTTTCTTGTTCTTCGTCAGTTCGGGTTCGAGGGAGAGGCGAGGCTGTGCCGATAAACTGTGAAACGACAGCAGCGACACGCCGTGCCTGCCGTGTGTGTGTACTCTAGATCGTTCCGCTGCTCCGCCCACTATTTTCTTCGGTAGTAGTGTGCAACAAAAAGAAAGTGGGATTCGAACAAGTGCTGGAAAACCTCAAACAGACAATCTAAGACGTATTCCATTCTTGGCCAACAATTCAATGAACCATTGAAATCAAAGACGTTTCCATTTTTAGTTTGCAAAATATTAAAAAAAAAATGCATTTTGAAGTCAATTCTCAAAGAAGTAAGAAAATTGCAATTTTCCCTTCAAATTTGTTTTTTTCAAATTAGCTCTAAACTCGTGGAAAAATTTAAAAAAAACATCATTTTCAAGGGACCAATCAAAATTTTTGCTCATTTTCAATTTCGCCCCCCTAGAAGAAGAAAAAAATTCAAATATTCTAAAGAGTCGATCAGAAAACGTCGCCAATTCGTTTGCAACATGCGCCGAACAGATTTGTATTCCATTTTGCGCGAATTTTGAAGGCCAACAACCAATAATAATTCAAAATGTGACAGGCACGAAAAAAAAAAAGAAACAAAAGAATAGAATTCGAATCAGATGAAACAATAATGCCCAAATATGGGAACAGTGTTCGCCCCGCCTCCGCAGCTAAAAATTCGAACCGCCCTCTTTATTTTATTGTTGTTGTTGTTGTTGTTGTTGCGATTTGTTTACTTACTCGACGATCATTGTGTGGTGTGTAATACTACTCAGCTTCTCCTCCATAACAAACATTCATACATTTTGTTTTTTTTTCTAAAGAACAAGAAGAAGAAGAACTGTTTCAACCTTTTTTGTCGATTCACAAAGGAATTCACAATTGTCTTTCTTCATGATTCGTTGTTCTCGTCGCCCATAAACGAGATGGTGATGGTGGCGATGATGGTTCGTCGGGTTATTAGTGGACGACGGCCGGAGGCTAATTTCGACAATAATACTAGTCGAATCACAATTGTTTCACGTGGGGCTTGAATTGAATTCCAAAAATTTTTGAAGATTGAATTTTTTTAAACATTGTCGGCGTCAAACGACTGAATGGAGGCGGGGCCTTCAAATTCGCAAATCAGTGTAGATTTAAATTTATCGTTGACTGAATATTAAATGCGCGTACGCTATAATGCAATGTACGCAGTCTCGCTGCCTCGAAACGCATTGGCACATAGCCAATCATTTTTTAAACTTCGTCAAGTCGAGTGACTCCAACAATACCTATTCATGAAATCTATATTTCTTCTTCAAAAAAAAGTGTAAAATATTACATTACAAACCCGAATTGGAAATTTTGTAATTTAAAAAAAGTACATATAAAGAAAAATAATTATTACACATTTAATTTCCCAAAAATAAATATTCCTCTTAAAATCCATTTTTTAAACAATCTCAACATTTCAAAATTGATTGTCTGTAAAAACAATAAATTTGAAAAACTCAACAAATTTCAGACCGAATTATCATTTGAGTCAACCATTTCTTGAAATTTAAATCTTAAACCTATTTCGCAACAAATATGGTCCATTTTATTTGAAGCATGACACAATTATTAAAGAACAAGCAAATGGGACCACAAGGACCACAAACCATAAAAGGTGTTATGCCATTTTTCGCAATATTCAAGTTCGAAAAAAAAACAAGAAGAAGGAGAAGAGAAAAAAGAGATGTCTCAAGAAAATCGAGAAGAACAACAACAAAAAATTCGTATAATCGTAAAAATCTTCATTTTCGCGAAACGAGCTGATTTTGGGAACATCTGGGCCAAACATCTGAATGACCTTTTTCGAGAATATCGAATCCATTTCCCAAATAGGGTCTAAAGCTCAAAATAAAACGGAAAATCTACGGGGGGGGGGGTAATCCCTCAAATTTCCGATTCACCGCAAAAACAAAAATGATCATTGGTTATGAGGAATCGAAAAAATAATGCGAATATTCGAATTGACATGAAAAATTTGAATTTTCCAACAAAACGGCACACAATTTAACTTGATTTGAACCCTTTTAAGAATCAAAAATCAATGATTTCTCATATTCACCTGCCAAACGACATCACATTTCTAGAATATTCGAAATCAAATTTTTTTGGTGAAACAAAAACCAAAAACGAAGGTCAATAAGCACAATTTCTACGCAGATTGTGGAAAAAGCTAATTTTCAAACATTTTTATCCGAAAATCTGTACCATTGGTCCAAAAAGCTCAATTTTACTATAATATTATAGTATCAAATGAAGAGTTGCTACGAGAATTGTCATTTCCTAATCCTTTAAGAAGTCACTACGACACTCAATCGAGGCTAAAATTGTAATCCCCCCCCCTTCAAACATTCGTAAAGTTGATGAATTTGCGCAGATTGTCGGCCGATTCCACGAGAATCGACTTATGGCGTGTTTTCGTCGCTGCTGATGTCGATGATAATACAAAAATCCGAAAAGAAGGCGAAAAAATAAATGAAAACAATATAAATCTAAGAAAATCTGCCGGTTTTAAAATAAACATGCTAATAGTTTCTCTAGGCAAAACAAAAATAAATAAAAATAAAATAGTAAAAAATTATTTTTTTTTTCTTAACAAAAATATGAATTCGGGTTCTTTTTCGAGATT